GTTTCAAAGTCAAACAGCTGTTTCCTGATGATGCTCGATTGCGATTGCAACGCCGAAATACGCTGGCTCTGTGAAGTTGTCATGGGTTATGCCCATGTGTAGGCACTTGGTCGCCTTCGCCACTGCTGAGGCCGATCTGCCAAAGGGTCACATCGAGCATACTATGCCAGTTCTGGCCAGCGTCTCGCAATTCGTAAATACTCTTGTGCAAATGCAGATGTTTGGCGACCAGGCACATCACCACGGCACGTAATTCGAGGTAGACTTCTCGCACTCGCCATGAAGGGAAGCAGTCTCGACGTTTAGGTGATGGAGATGCAGATTGTTCATGGCGGCTAGAGCAAATACTGTGTGGAGGTTGGTCAACAGGGAGATATGGATCTATGTCTCATATTAACCTTCCCCTTGGGTCTGCGAGAAGCCCCTGGAACTAGACTCGCTTTATACTGCTGCACGTTCGGCTGTATAAACGCCCATTTGGCGCCCATAATTTGTCTGCCCGATTGCAGTTTTGCGTGAACCCATATTTTGTTGTCCTGGAGGTTGTCGAGCTCGCTCTTGAACACCGTCTCCTACTTTTCAGCGTCATCGCTTTCGTGTATGTGCAAGGCTCTGTTGGACCGGAGGATATGGGAGCTGATAAGTAGGATAATGCCGCACGTAGAACACCATCAAGGGCCATGGATGTTCGAAGGCAAGGAACAAGCTTCAGAGGCTGCACGTGTGAGCCAGCACCTTATGGATATATAAGGAGCCAACATACAGCACCCAGAGTTCGTGTACCGTAGGGAGCAACAAGAAGTCAGAACATCCTGTTTAAGTCATAATGTGCCATTCCTTTATTAGCGAGGAAGGAAAGCGATCAGCACAGCAGCAGGCACTGATGCACCAATCGAGGAGGAGCAACCCTTACAAGAGCGCCAAGTACCCAATTTGAGAGGAGTGACTGATGCTAGCAAGCCACCTGGCGAGCTTTCTATAGGCTGTGCTCCTTCGAAATACTTCGACGTGCCTTGGCCATGTCTCCATTCCTCCATTGGTTCACATTCTCGCACTGCCGCTGCTTCTGTGTGAAGGGCTAGAGCATGCTACCTACCATGCAAGGATTCAGTCCCCGCTACCCACCGTTACACAAGTTCTCCAGTTTGCGTTGGGACCAGATATAACGGCGAACACTGCACCGACGTTGGGCATATCTCGATATTACCTTACCTAGGCCGCCATCCATAAACTCATCGATGAGGCCATGCTCGGCCTGCGTGCGCCAGTGCTTTGTTTGTTTCATGCCACCAAGGAGCGCTTCGATCCGGCGATTGATGCCCGAGCGTAACATGAGTGTTCCAGGCGACTTTAACCTCTCTGAATACACTCGTTGCAGTCTCTACTTCAGATTCGGCATGGCAGATCCAGATGTTTAGACTTGAATCATGTTCTCGGCAGAATCATGTTGCAGCTCACTATGCAGCAAAGCGTTTGGCTTCTTAGCAGCTAGCTTTGCGTTCATGTATGAAGCATAAGTGCATGTGTTGCCGTCGCTCTTCTGAGTGAACAACCTGCTGCTACGGGCGGTTTAGTAATCATCATAAGCTCGTATCTAGCACACCCCAACACTTTCCTGCACCTTTTGCAAAGAGAGTTTGTGACGGAGAAGTGCGTTCGCTACCGTAAGATGAACCCTCTATACAGTTCTCTGACTCTCACAAACACCTAATACCCTCCCGTTAATGTACCAGTCGCTTGACACATTGCAAAGCGATGTCCTGTTAGCTTCGCATGAATTCCGGCAGCGGTAGTTGCAGATATGAAAATTTCACAGGCACAGTTATCAATCATCAGATGCAGACGTACCATTAGGCATGCAGGCCGAGATTCAGCAAACCCTCTTTCTGGCTTCACGCTGTTTCATTCTGCTCTGCCTGCTCCCGCGCCATCTTATTATGTACAGGCACATCGTCAATGGCAATTCCCATCATCTGCATATCATCATCGACAATCTCAAGCGCATGGTTGGACCTAGCATGTCCTGCCTATACCCGCTCATGCTTGAGGTGCCTTCCGGCGATATTGGCGTTGAAGGCATGTGGGTACAAGATGTGTAGTACTGCCACAATCGAAGCAAGCATGCAGACTAGCCTCTCTGTTTCGAAGTGGGCCGAGGGCGTCGCCATGAGATCCATCGGGAAGTCTTGGTTGGGCGTGTAGCCTGTGTCTCTTATGGCGCCCCGGTGCAGCTTGTGGCTTGACCTCTCATGCCACTGTTCCAGGAATTCGGTGATGCTAGCCTATCTCACTTGCCCACGAAGCGAACTCCGGCTGCAAATAGGGCCTCAACTTTGTGCGTTCAAGGTAGCTAATGCAGCATCGGTCTTGTCGACCAAACGGCGAGCATAAGATCCGTACATGAATGTTGCGGCGAACCTTTTCAAACCTGGCAGAGGGTGCTAACGAGGTGAGTTCACGTCCACCATGAGTTTCTCAATAGTCTCAAACGGTGGGAAGTTAAACCACAGGATCGAAGGGTGAAATGCTTTAGATCTCTTCATGGGCACCGACACTGGCCCTGTGGCAAATACCAGCGAGCTTTCCAGCGAGGTGATCTCTGGCTGCGGGGGAATACATGTGGCTCTTGCTCACCAAACTCATTTATTCACAGCCTTGGAAGGGCTTAAACAAGAATGGCCAGAAGGCTCTGATGTGGTCCAGGTTTGCTTTAGCACAGCCTACGAGCTGTGACCAAAAAGACTTCTCAGTTGCAATCCGCTGTCTTACCAAAGCATCATCATCTTTGACGCTACACCCAAGGAACAGTCTTAAGACGACATAATTGCTGAAATTGCAAGGCGTTAGCTGCAAGAGAAGAATCATTATTGATGTATTGCTCGTTCCAATGCTCAAGCCAGTAGACGCGAGGACTTTAGTCCACTAACCGCTCTTCAGAAACGACCAAGAAGTAACTTTATGCTTGTTGAACAAGGCTGATAACACCTAATCACTGACCCAAAAAAGTCTTTTGCGAAAGATTCACCCCCCGTTATTTAATCATCATCGTCGGCTACTAAGCTTTGGTCGAACCATTCCATCTCCCTACCTCCCGACCTCAATCATGCGGACACATCAGCCATCTTGAAGGACCGCGAAATTCGTTAAGACTGGCTCTGTATGAATCCGGAATATCCTAATCAGGATTATGGCACAAAGGATGGAGCTTGATGGCTTGAGATGCCTCATCCGCCGCCTCTTCAACCCAGAGTTATTGACGCCGAGAGATGAGACCCCCGCATGTATTGCTCTCAACCGTTCGGTTTGGAGTCCGATGATGGGTTGATCAACACTTATTTATTCGACAATGTGATGAGAGCTTCTGGTCGCCAAATTGGCGCCAATGACGGAATAAGAGATGGGTTTGGCCACGGTCCACCCTCTCCCTAGTCTCTACGATGATAACTATCTTCAACATCAATGCGGACAGCACGCAGGTTCGGAGCAGAGCAATCGCGCCACTAAGCAGCGGGCACACGCTGAGGGTGCTGCGCATGCTGACGCACTTCAGTCTTACTGTGACGTCAGCAGGGATTTCCTTCCAATTGCCAACGGCAGCAAACATGAGCTGGTCATGTGCGCCACGCCTTTCAGTCCCTTAATCTGAGGACTGCTATCAATCTGTACACAATAGTGAGCCTCTTGAACTGAGGACCCATGTTCCTCGCAACTGCCTGCGGGGTGGCGATCACAGTGGTGGCCTGCAAGGATAACTTTCTATCGCGGAGTTACGTTCAATGGATTTCCGGCATTTCATGATATTATTCCCGCTAGTCAGAGGGTGGTAGAGACATACTGATTTTAATGCGGGTCAATGTGCAAAGATTTCGGCAAATGACTGCAATAAGCTCAGTCCACTTTGAGCTCCTTATCGACTGTCTCAAAGTGCTCGAAGAAAGCCTCGAAGAGGCGAATTTTGTACTCTGGATCAGCTGAGCCACAGGTCTCCCGGATGGAGTGCCTGTGAGAAAATACGCGGCCCGTGAGCCAGTGCGGTTGAATCCACGTATATGTGCTGTACTCACATTGCAAGTTGAGGGTTTCCGATGTCCACGGTACGGATGCCAGTCTAGCGAGGAAGGGGATTTGAGTGCGGTTCACATTTCGACAGGTGAGGCGGTACGTACTTTCGACATCATCGGCCCAATCGTGCTTCCGCAAGGCATATCATTTCTGACTTCGAATTCCTGGAGCGGCACGTTCGCAATTTTGGCCAGTCGTCTGAGAAGAAATGTTGTGGGCGCAGTCGATGCATATCTTTGCTTAGCATTCGTCTTGATAACTGGCCCGCCATTAAGTTTCTGCATCACGGAAAGATCATGGAAACGTAAGGATTCCAAAAGTGGGTCTGTCAGAAAGAGTGCGACCAGCCCACACGAGTCTCAATCCGAGCTCACCGGCCTGTGATCATTCTCGTAGGAGCTGGGATAATTGGGGTGGAATGCTGGCCGTTTGAAAAAGAGCCGTAGATAAGCTTTCGTCGGGGAAAACAACGCTGGTGAATGCATTCTTACCATGCGCCATGTCAGAACTAATGAGAAATGACTGAGCGATCGCGCGCTCGTACGCGGTAGCCTCCAAATGCTCGTCACCATGCAGACGAATGCCCTTCACAGGAATTGAGACAAGGCGGCGAACGGTGCTCGCCAGCATGTTGCTTTCTGCACCGTGTGTGGAAACGGACCCGACCTCCTCGTTGTCAAAAAGCGCAATAGCTCTAATGGAAGAGGATTTATGCAAAGCAGAAGGGTTCTTGAGGGAACCGATCAGCGCTTCCGTCGCGCAGAAGCATGACACTGAGGAATCGGAATGGTCAGATGATGCGGCAGATAAGTGGGTTTGATGACCTAAGATCTCTCACTTTGGTTGTCTAGACGAGGAGAGAAGATGAAGGCGTTGTCGACGCCGCCGACGGCAGCCGGTTGTGTGTCATACAAGGAGAGCTCGAAGTCTTGGATCTGCTCGACATCACATCCGAGCTCTTTGGAGAGAAGCTGCAGCAACACAGGGTGGTGCTTCGAAGTCATTGTCGGTGTACCAACCCCCTGATTGACGTGGGCATCATCGGAGGCGTTTGCAGACTCCTTGTTGAGCTCGGCTGCGGCAGACAGGCCGAGAATCGGCAACGTGTTATCCTCGACGTTAAATTGGAAATTGTCGCCGGCTCCACGGTTGAGATGAATAGCGAGGTTAGGAATGCGTAAAAGAGGTTCTTTGATGTGAACTAACTTGGAGGTGAAAGAGGTCTGCGCGTGGCTGTCCGCAACGATGACCCTACCTGCGATTGAAAGATCGCGGTCAAACCATGTTGACCAGAGGCCCCCGCCATATGTTTCGACAGCTATAAAGGGTCAGAGCACACATGAGAACTGCTTGCACAAATTTCATAGTCCAAAGTGACCTCACAGCATTGCATATAGCCTTCCTTGGCGCGCTTAGATATGGGCTTGATGTGGAAATTTGGAGAGTCGGTCTGTCAGTGAGCCCGGGCGTTAGGGGAAAGTCAGCACGTCGTTCTATTCGTCCTTCACGGCGCCGCGGAGTGCTGTTCGAATCACATGTGCTCCGACGACGTGAACACCTCCACCGGGGCGAAAGTGGTGACCAACGGCGAAAGCAACAAGCGCAGATTGGTTCCGGGTGAAGCTGCAGCGGTGGGAATGGAATTGAAACAGCTCGTATAAGTGAACCCCGAAGCATTTGAGCACAGCACATACAAGTATCTTCCTCCAGCCTCGATCAGATCTTGCCAAGATTCGGCTTCTTGCAGACGGATAAAGCCGGCTTTCTCGAGCATGTCGGCCGACACTGCAGTAGCATGGAACGGGGTCGGACTTTTGTCCACATAGCGTAGGAAGCGACTAGCAGCTGCCGGGATGGAGCCGGTGCTGTTAGATAGTTGCCTTATCGCAGTCTGAGAGACCAGCACGGACCAGCGGTGAAGCAAGCGTCCATCAGAAAGGTGTTGCGGTTGTGAAGCAAGGGAGCATACCGCTCACCATGTTGACCACCCAAATTCGCAGATTTCAGACTGATCACGCGTTATGCCCGGTCACGAGCACGGTGTAGAAGACAGGGTTACGAGGCCACCTCTATCGAAGGACAATGCCGCCTTCGGTATTTTGGTTGGTCTGGTACCTAATACAGATGACTGGTTGTCTGATGGAACCTCAGTATGCGTCTGTCTCGTTCAATGGTGACTTCGTGTCACATCAGCTCGCGCGACACGTCACACTGACTCCGAAGCCGCACACAAGTGTGCAACAATTAGCCCGGAATAGAAAGGTAGGGTTGTTAACCCGCATCAATGCTCGGCAACGATCGGTTTCGAGCCTTTCTTTCTTTGAACTGGGGACTTCTTGTGAGTCACCTTCTGTTCCATGCACACCTTCTCAAAGGAGCCTGAGGACTCACTAAAAGCGGTGTAGCAGCAACGCACGGCGCTCAAGAGTTCTCAAAGAGTTCGTGAGGCACGGGAAAACAAAAAGCTTGAGGGACAGCATGGGGGAACAGACAGGCGATCACAACCCAATCCAAGCTGCGGCTCAGCAGACCGCGCCTCCTGGCGCAGCCGCTGCCGGTCCTGCTGCTGCTGCTCCGGTAGAAGAGCTCAAGTGCGTTTGAGGAAAAGCATGGCCATAAGAAGATACTAGATGGATCACACTGACTGACGATGAACCCATCTGATTTTGTCGCTTCAGTGAGGATGGTACTCCCTTGACTGAGAAGCAAAAGAAAAAGCGGGCAGAGAAAGCAGAGAAACAGCGTATCAAGGAAGAGAAGGCCGCAAAGATTGCTGCAGAAAAAGCAGCCAAGGAGAATGAAGTGGTGCGTGCGCATTGCGAGTTTGCTTGGAGCGCCAGACCACCTGACTGATGTTGACACGTCTCGCTTTTTCTTGCCGCGTTTTCTTCTAACTAAAGGACTTTGCCGCTCAAAATTACGGTCAATTGCCTCTGAATCAATCTCAAGAACGGCATGGTACGCTCGACGTCTTCGTAGCGCTTGATTTTATGCCTGTGTATACGCTGATGTTCGGCAATTTTCCACCCAGGAATTGAGTTCACCCCTCTTGGAGCCATCTCAGCGGAGCGTGATGGCGAACGAGTGTTTGTGCAGGCTCGCCTGCAGCTTTGCCGCTCTACTTCTGGTGGGTCTCCGGAAGTGCAGCTCGCTGTCAAACAATGACTGAAAGTGTATCTTCACCTTGTAGCCAAACTTGCATTTTTGGTCCTCCGGAACCGCTTCGACTGTGTGCAGGCAGTCTTGGCGGAGACTCCTGATCAGGTCTCCAGGAAGATGGTCAAGTGGACTGCGTCGCTACCTGTGGAAACACTCCTCAACCTAGAGGCCAGCATTTCGAAAACAGCAAAGCCAATCGAGTCATCCGTCATCTCTGTTAAGGACGCAGAATTGAAGATTCACAAGATCCATTCCCTTGGCGCAGTTGTGCCCACTGCAGACCAGAAGTTCTCTGTACAGGACGCGACTCGTTCAGAAGCAGAAATCGAGGCCTCTCAGAGTACAGAGCAACCGATGCCTTCCATCGGTCTCGACACCAGGCTCGACAACAGGGTGCTTGATCTGCGCACTACGACAAACCAGGCTATCTTCCGCCTGACACACGGTGTCTGCCGGCTCTTCAGGGAATTTTTGGACACGAAAGACTTTATCGAGATTCATTCTCCCAAACTGCAAGGTGCTGCTACGGAAAGCGGGGCTAGCGTCTTTAAGGTTTCCTACTTCAAGGGCCAGGCCTTCCTTGCTCAAAGCCCTCAGCTGGCAAAACAGATGGCCATTGCGGCCGACTTTGGTCGTGTCTACGAGATCGGTCCCGTCTTCAGAGCAGAGGACTCGAACACCCCCAGGCACATGACCGAGTTCACCGGCTTGGACCTTGAGATGGCCTTCAGCGAGCATTATCATGAAGTCCTTGATCTCATGGCAGAGCTTTTCACCTTCATCTTCCGCGAGCTACCAAAGCGCTATCGGAAGGAGATCGACACTGTGAAGCGCCAGTATCCTACTCCCGAGTTCTTGGTGCCGGCACAGCCCGTTCGCCTGAACTGGAAAGAGGGTATCAAGATGCTTAGAGAAGCTGGCAGCCAGATTGGAGAGCTTGAGGACATGGAGTGAGTACGGAGAATGTGGTTAATTCCTCTTACGGAATTCTAAATTATTGTGCCGATTGCGCTTACAGCACCGAGACCGAGCGCCTGCTGGGAAAGCTTGTTCGCGAAAAGTACAATACCGACTTTTTCATGCTGGACAAGTTCCCTCTCGACATACGGCCTTTCTACACCATGCCCGACCCTACCGACTCGGTGAGATTGAACACTTTGGCTGTCCATCTAGACCTGTTGCGCCTGTGTCAGTCACTGACTTTACTGGAATTGACTATTGCCAGAACTATTCAAACTCTTATGACTTTTTTATGAGAGGCCAAGAGATCCTGTCGGGTGCACAACGCGTCCACGACCCTGATCTTCTCGCCAAGAGAATGGAGAAAGCCGGCATCCCTGTCTCTGCGATGCAAGGCTATTTCGACGCATTCAGATTAGGAGCACCGCCACATGCAGGAGGTGGCATTGGCCTTGAGCGAGTTGTGATGCTCTACCTTGGCTTACGCAACATAAGGCTGACGTCACTGTTCCCGAGAGACCCGAAACGCTTGGAGCCCTAGGTCAGAGCGCAACAGTCAAAAAGAAATATGCCTCGTCATATGAATGTCTCATGATATATTGTTACTGGGCCTTTGCCTGTCGCACCAGCCATGCAGTAATGTCTTCAAGCACTGCCGCCGTCTTTGCCTTGTCTTCGTCAGTCATACCACCGCCACTTTGAACGAACTTCATCATGACTGCAGAGTAGAAGAGTAGAATGAGGTTGCCGTGTGCAGTGTGATCAATCTTCAGGCCGCGCTCACCATGCTCATACCCCTCCCAAAGCCTTAAACTCTTCTCCTGGGACCCGATTGTTTCAAAGAACTTCACTGACCCACGGTAACTTGTTGCTCTGTCTCTGTCACCGTGATGGATCGCAACTGGAACGGTGATTTTGGATGCATGAAGCTCTAGATCGATGAGGCCGGCCAACACCGACAGCCCCGTTGCAATCCTGAGTTTTCCTTTGTACGTTTGAGGGTCTTGCTCGTGTTCTTTTTCCACGCGGGGGTCGTCAGAGACATTTCCGCGGACCGCCGCTGCGAGCGGCAATCGTCCGGCGAATAACGCAAGAGCTTTCGCCAAAAGTTCCACCGCATATCCAGGACGTGCTATTGATCGAAAAATAGGTCATTATGATACGCTAGCGCTTCGAGCTGACAGGGGGGCAAACTTACACTCAGGGGAGATGGCGATCATCGGGGCAACGACTACGACGCCACTGATTTGACGTTGCCCCTGGTCACTGATACGGTGTGCAGGATCTGGTGAGTACAGTGCAGCGTAGTATAAAGCGGTGAAAGCTCCCCTGCGATGTGAAATGAAAGGCATGACGTGAGCGAAAGGAGATGTGATCGGGTCATCGAAGACCCACATGCTGTGGCCCTCGAGGAAAACCTTTCTTGTGCAAACATTGCCGGATGCCTTGTCGTTTTCCTGTATTTGACAGATAACAGCCCGCAAAGCCTCTACGAGCAAACGCATGGACGGTAAATAGGCATGAAGGCCAGTGCTTCGACCAAAGGCCGGCAAGTCGACTGCGATGACACGAAATCCTGCTTCCATGAAACGAGACCCATGCGGAGCTAGCTTTCCCGAATAGTCGTTCAGTCCGTGAATCTAGCCTCACCCAGACGCAACAGAGATGCAAGAACTTGTCAGATTGATATGGATCGTCAGACCCACAGGTACACGCTGTCAATACTCACAAGAATTACGTCCGCATTGACTGCATGGGAACTCCGACGGTCAGATGGAATGGGATACGCCTGCTTTATACATGGCAAACTCACGATGTTCCCTATCAGTCGCCTCAAGCATTTCCCACACATGATAAGTGACCCACGCAGTTCCAGGACGATCCCAGCTTTTTCCTTTGCGCAATGCCTCTCTGCTGAGAATGACTCTTTCGGTCGTGGCCTTCACCTTTGGATTTTCGTAAATAAGTCGCTTCTCGGTGTATGAGTAAGGGAGCCTATCTCTACCGAATGTAGGATCTGAGATACCTCGGAAGCTCGGGTGGAAGAGGAGCGGTTGGATGAACACATGAAAGATGAGGAGGGCCGATTCCAACACGAAGGCGTGGAGGTCCGAGGCGAAACTGGATGGTGCGCTACCCATGGCGTGAGACAAGGACAGTGAGTTCTACTCAGAACTGTGGCCGACTGCAAGGTGCAAATGAGCAAGAGGTTGAAGAACACAACCAGTCTGGCACGAAGAGAGGTTCAGCTGGCAACCTTTTGGTAGGAACGGATGCACATTAAAACAAGATCTGAAGATGTGATTCCGGAGTCGAATCTAATCTAGTGAACCTGGTTACAAGTCATACATAGGACAATCCATTTCTTGTTGCGACCGTCAGCGCTCACAGTAGGCTAATCCCCAGATGTACAGAGGACCTTTACGAACGAAAGGAGAGTGGCTAGAATCATACAAGCCCGATGAGCATACAGTTGCAAATCGCATAGTCCAGCATGAGGGATCAGAGGGGGAGCAGCCCTGGCGGATGTGTACATGGTGTTGGGCTGTTTACAGTACTCTCGTTCCTTGGTCACCATTAGTTACATATATGGGTGTATAGAACTTGTTACCCAGTAGAGCGAGCGATTGATAAAGAGCTTCTCGCGAGAGTCATACTCTCCACACACTCATTTCTTTCGTACGAGAAATATCAAAAGTGGCTATCCAAAACCAAGAGTCAAAGGTTCAGAAACTGCGCAAACCTCTCGTCAGTTGTAATAATCAGTTGCAGGCTTTCTGACACGGTAGTGGGCGCAGATTATACCAGTACAGCCGGCTCTCCTTTTCGTATACACAATCGTCACTGCACATCCGCTGGCTGGCACAACAGCGCTGTCTACAAAGAGATATGTGAAAATGCAGGCGCCGCGCTTCAAGAAAAAGAGGCGCGGCGTTGCTGGGCTGTCGGCAAGCAGCACCAGTCTTGGTTCCACGGTTGCAACGGTGGGCGATACATTAGGTACGGCAAAGTCGACGGTTGATGATGCAGCGTCAGATAACGAACAAGGGGTCATCATCCGGCGCACATCGAAAAAAGGGGAGCAAGGATCCTCGAAACAAGCTGCGGTAGGGAGCGCATCTTCCAAGACGAACAAAGGCGTCACTTCGCTCAGCTTTGATGGTGATGCCATCGGAGCGAGTCACACCGTGAGTTAACCTTCTGATGAGCTATAAAAGGCTACTGCTGAAAAACACTCGTTGCTCACAGTGCGATCCCGAGGTTTTTGCCATTCGTCGATCGAAATTGGCCCTCGCTGCTCGGCAAGGCCTTTCGTACCACACTGAGACCTCGGAATCTGAAGGTGCCACTCAGGTATACTCTGCAACTCAGTTGGCAGACCTCAAAGCCTCTACACCTAACTTCCAGAAGAAAGTGACTGGGGTAATTGCCTCGCGTGATGTCCCGACTGATCCGGTCTTGCAAACAAATCAGACGATGATTCCTAGTGAGTTGGCGGTGCAAAATGCAAAGCAACGCCGTCAGCGCGCTGCGCAGGAGCTTTCCTCGACGAGCACACGCGACTTTATCTCTTTAAGCTCTTCCCAAGATGGAGCGCATCCACAGAGCAGACTGAAGCGCGAGGACGATGATGTCGGAAGTGGAGAAGATGAATTCGGGGGCTTCACGGTAGACGAAGAACGTTTGGCCCTGAACATGAAGGACAGGAAGAAGGCCGATGTTGAAAGGCGACAGAAGATGCGCGAAGCATTCGAGGGTGTACACATTGATGCAGGAGCCGCTGAGGATTCCGATGAGGAAGAACAGCGCCGGGAAGAGATGGATTGGGAAGCTGCGCAGCTTGCACGGTGGCAGAACCCTGTCCGTATGGATGAAAATGAGCAGGTGAGAATTTGAAGCCGACTCGAGTCCCAGTCTGCTTGGAGCATTGCCAATCATTATCTTCTATTTGCTTTCCCAGTACTATGCTACCCGTGTGCCAGAAGTGGCTGCAATCCCGGATCTGTCGGCTGCATCGGCCAGAATCTCAGCTGTGCTAACTGACCTCGAGGAAATCATCGCCAATCGACAACGTCTGATCGATGACTCGCGTGCATCTCAGCAGCGTCTAGATAATGACGCCGCTGAGAATCGCCGACTTATCGAGGCGATGGACGCGAAGGAGGCTTGGTACAGAGAATTTCAAGAGTTCACGGAAACCCTTGCAGATTTCCTGGATGACAAGGTGAGTGCTTGTTTTCTGATTTATCTACGTCTGCGCAGTGAACCATTTACCCTGTTCATCTTTTGTCGAACAGGCTCCAATACTCGAAGCCATTGAGAATGAGCGCACATATCTGCTGCGCGATATTAACAATAAGCGACAGACACTCCGAGCACGCCAGCTGGAAGACCTTTCGTCGCTGTTTCAAGGCATCCCGCGCTTGGCGGTGTGGTCGGACGACGAGGCGGACGTACGTGCTTACAGTCCAGCTGAAGATGGCGGTCCCGAAAGTAGCGTACGCGAGCAGCGGCGCGTAGACTCGGTTGCCGGCCTGATCGCAGACGGCTTGCTGGATCCACAAGCGGAAGAGGGCTTGGCCCGTCTATCCGCTCGCCTAAACAATCTCTTTGATGACGTCAAAGCGCCAGAATTCGTAGACCCTGCGGCCCGTAGCGACGCAGACAAGGGAGGTGCCCTGCACCCGCGATCGGTGCTCGCCCGCTTTGCGCAATGGCGGGAGAGGTTTTCGGGAGACTACAGCGGGGCATGGGGCGGTCTGGCGCTGGCAGGCATATGGGACTTTTGGATTCGCAAGGAGCTCGTAGGAAAGACGCTCCGCGGCTTCGTGCCACTGCAGGTGGAAGCGCTGTCCTGGCAAATGCACGTGCACGAATTTCAAGAGATTGGAGCGGGCATTCCGGATGCGATCAGCGGTGACGACGAAATTCTCGACCACATGATCACAAACTCGGTTGCTACGACATTGCGCAGCCTGGCTGAAGGTGGGGCGTACGATCCTTGGAGTGTCGGACAGAGCAAGGCGGTGGGTTCCCTTGTGACGGAGCTCGCGGAGGTGATGGACACAAGCTCCGCGACGTTTAAGGTGAGAGCGAAGGCTTCTTTCAAACTTGATGTTTGACTGCTACGGAAGAGTGGGCTAACGTGAATACCTCGCTACCTCTGACCAATCTCAAGTCCCTCGTCGTCGCGTTCGCTCGGCCACTTATCCGCTGGACAGATGGCCTGCTGCAAGCGGTCACCGAGACAGGCGTCTTGCCTAGCTCAGCGCAAGGCAAAGGAGGGCGAGCCGAACAGGCCCGACGAGAAATTTGGGAAGCGTGCATGGTATTGTTTGTGCAGAATTTTGGCACGCTAGGGTCTCGACTCCGCAATGCAGAGCCGCTGATGGCGGAAATGCTACACTCGAGGATAAGCAAAATCTTCGCAGCATTGATATCCGGGGCGTCTGAAGCGGAAGCAAAGACGATGGCGGCCGAAGTGAGTGTCGCCCGACGGAAGACCGGGATGTTTGACGCATGGGATGGTCAAGCGTCTGACGCACTGCTTATCCCTCTTTTCCAGATTGCCAGCGCACTACCAAGAGGCCATAGCATGGTAGGACCTGAGCTTGCAAGCCTGCTGGGATATGCTACATGAGGCGGTCGAATACATGTACAGGAGCACGGCTTTTCAATCGAAACAGATTGTGCGCACGCAGAGCACGGTGCGCATCAATCGTCTGATGTGGATGATGATAACGATGATTCTGCTGGAATGCCTCAGAGCAGTGCGCTTGCTTGCAGCGGAGGGACGAGCGCCTCGTCGCTGTCGCCTTCGGCCATCTCGACGTCGGTCTTGAGTTCTCCCAAGCAACCATTCTCGGCAGCGTTAGACTCAGTATTGCTTCCGCTAGCTACTGCTTCCGCTGCGGCTGTAGATGCTGTCACATCTGCAGAATCCCTCGACGGTTCTGTTGGTGGATGTAGACTTGCGGCAGTCTGGGTCTGGGTCTGCATTTGCGTATCGGTTGCGGTCTCCGACGCGGGCAGGTTGGCCTTTTCGGCGACCAGCTCGAGCTGGTCAACATGTGACTGAGACGGCTGCTCTTCGCTTGTAGATGCAGAGAGTGTGTTCTCCGCTTTCCTGCCTTGCTGCTGTTGATGCTGCCGCTGTACGCCATCTGTTGGTGCTCCCGAGGTCTCTTCCTGCGCTTGAGATACACCCTCCGCAGCTTGTGCTTGAGCTGCCTCCGACACAGAAGCTGCTGTGGCACCTTCCACTTCCACTTCGCCTTCTCCGGCTTCAGCTCCTTCCCCCACTCCTTCCTCTTCTTCCCCTTCATCCTCTCGCGCTTCTTCGTCGAGCTCTTGTTGACCCGCGTCGTCCTCGAGCTCAGCCTCGGCGTCGAGCGTGAAGTCGACGATTTGGTCTGTCTTGACCCATTTGAGGACCGAGTAGGTCGACGTCGGTGAAACCTGAACCCACTCTTTGCGCCAGACGCTGTCAACATAGGTGTGATACGAGTGGCATCCACGATAAGTTTTGGATCGGATCAGCACACGTCCAACCTGCTGTGGGGGACAAGTCCAACTGAAGCTATCTGACTTGCTTGTGACTGGCCGCTGGTATGTATTGCGTCTCTCCGCCAGCATCGCGTCCGCAGGAATAGGCAGGGCCTTTGATTGGGCTCTTGACTCACTTTACTGGTTCCTTCATGGCCCTTCGCAGCTCATTCTCTGCGTTGGGTACGAAGCGACCGCCCCATCGCGACGCCATGATGACTGATACTTCTGCTGGAGGTTCGAGCTCTTGATTATCGCTGCAGCTGCTTCTGTTGTAGCGTCGTCGAAAACTCGCTGGTAAGCACAGCAACGCGGTGGATCAACACAATTGACACGATAGCGCGACGACGCGACGTGTGTGAGCCGAACGAACCGGGATGGAATGGCGTGAGTGGGGGGGGGGTCTAGATCGGTTGATGGTGGAAGACATGCACGTGCATCATGTCGTCGGCTAGAGTGGGGAACCTTTGAGTTGGTTAGTTCTGTTCGGAAAGAGCCAACCCGGCAATGAAAGAAACTTGGCACGTCACGTGATAAAAGTCCCGGTCTGGTGGACCCTCGGATGACCGTGTGGCGCCAGGGCTGAGGCGAGGCGGTGCAGGTTGTGGACTGCAGACTCGGGTGGAGTGCAGGGAGAGTCAGAGTCAAATTCAATGCCGTCCTCTCTCTTTGTGTCTGGGTCCCGTGGGCGGCAGCACTGAGAGACGTTCGTTGGCCATCCACAATGAAATGACCACCATTTCTCGAACCCATTCGTCTCCTCGGGCTATCCCGCTCGTTCTAACCCTTGACCGTCGTCCACCTTCCACTACCACCCCTCTACCCCTCCCTCGAAAGCAATCCGACACTCGCAGTGCAGGCGCGCGAGAGTCTGGTTGTCTGCCCCCTCTTTGCACCCGACATTCCTAGCAGCCCTTCACGAAAGAACCAACCAACCAACCAACCAACCAATCACCCACCCGCCATAGCCATTCTACGCATTTACTCTTCCGCCATGGTTCATCGCCGTGGAATGAGGTTCTGCTGCTGCGGAGTACCCCTCATCAACATCGGCGCCTACTTCATCCTCATCGAGAATGCCCTTCTCGGAGGCGCCATCGCCGTCCTGGCCTTTGTGCCGCCACAGATTGTCGCCCTCATGGGCGCCGTGCCAACATGGTCCAAGTTCATTGTAGGCATTCTCGGCATCGCTGTCCTCTTATGGCAGCTCCTTGGCCTCATCGCCATCTCCAAGGAGAAACCCGGAATTTACCGCACTTACATTCGCATCAACTTCATCCTCACACTCGCCACCGTCGCCGCATCTGCTACGTTCATCACCGTGGGCGCGGTCCAACACACCAAGACGGTCAACTCGTGTGTAGCCAGCTTTGGTGCGACACCCCAGTCGGAGTCAACAGCGCAGCTCGTCGCTCCATCTGGTACCGTCGGCAATGTCGGTCGGGACATCTGCAACGTCTTCATCTGGATCCAAGTTGGCCTCATGGGGCTGCTCGTCGCATTAATTGGCCTGACACAGGTGGGTCCACCTGCTCTTCCATGCATTCTTAAGTATACACACGATCTAATTTTGCTCTCTACGTGCCGCTCGTTCTACCAAACGATAGTTCTACATGTGCTATGCGCAACGATCATATGGACAGCAACAAAGGGATGCTGCACGAGACTGGAAAGCGTAAGTGCCTGGGCAAGTATCAGAGCTCGCCTCGCATCATTGGCATTGGCTTACATCCATTAATACTGGTGCTTCTGTTTGAACATCACAAATTTCTGGTGGCATCAGTCTCAAAGGCGAAGAGATTCCACTCGCAAGCTGGGAGCACCACGCTTGAGTTCAGGCGCAGCACTCGGGTCCTTTGCAATCAGACCGACCTGTGCCATGCCGCATACGACTGGAGAGATATAGACGATGAACATTCCAGATGGAAATCATGTTCCACCGCATACACGGACAATTTTGCCACTCGCATGCTCGACGTAACCACCCATTGTACTTTTAGGCACGAGTTTTACCATATTCTGTATCCTTAATCTACACTTCTCCCCTACAATGGACGTTCAGGCTTTTTCAACAGCTAAACGCCGGCAGAACGTTGATGTGATTTCCCTGTATGCAAGGGTTGCGGGGCGATATCATGGATTACCCGGGGTCGTTTCGCTCTTGTAGACTTTCATACAGGGCCCGTCGACTAGAGCTGCGCGGAGCCAGCAGTGCTTGCGAGCTCGGCACGCGCCGCGGTGAGGGCGAGGACGGAGATACTGCAGAAGCAGAAGAAGATGAAGAGTACTGCTGCAGCACCGCTGTTCGCGTGCTAGCCGCCGCCCAATCTGGTATAGGTCGTCGGACCACGCCGTTGCCGTTGCCGCTGCCGCTCACTCGTTGCAGATGCACATCGCCATTGTGGATAGCGACTGCGGGGCCAGCACACGTCTCGCTCATGGAACGTCTTGATTGCGCATCACCCTTTTCAGGAGGCCGAAGTCCGCGCGATGGCGCTGCTGCAGGTGTCGTTACGATATCTCTCGCAAGCTCGCGTACCAACACGGCACTGTCTTCTTTGCTGAGACTTTTAATGATCTGGACGGACGCAAGCGACCTTATTCAGTCGACTGATCTAATTAGCTTGCAACAGTCTCGGCTCACATCTGAGAGGCCGCCGTTGGAAAGGACCGCGCTCCTGTCTGGATGAACATCGCACAAGATCTTGGTGATTCGCAACAGGTTGAGCCGGACGATGGCCTTCTTGTGATGCAGTCGGTCTGCAATGCGCTGAAAGAACGATGCGAATCTGGCCAGAGCGACAGCAATTCCGGATGATATTCTGCAAATCTTTACGAATGGTTCCAGCAGGTTCTCGAACGAGACACCCTTGGACGAGCTAAAACAGTTAGACAACGACGCCACCGAGGTGGGTTGCAGCAGCACGCCCTCCACCCGAGAAGTCTCATCTTGCAGCCAGACCAGAACCGAGTCTAGCGCTGGAACTTGCCAGTATACGTCTTCGAGAAGCTGCAGGTAAAAACGCAGGCCATCATGCTGCCAAAAGATCTTCCTCGTCGCCTTGCTGGCATGCGCAAAGTCGCACAGTGTCGGAAGTGCGAACTGCCTCATTGGTGAATTTGTACGAGCGACGCGCAGAAGCTGTGGAATGATACCGGCCTGTGCTGCCTCCTCTTGGCGCGACTTGCTTAGACGGCACACTGCGCATCAGGGGCGATGTTAGTGGAACACGTGGACAATAACACCGGCGGGACTTTCAGCTTACAGTTGTAAATTGCATTCAGAACTTGGTTTGATATCTCCTGCAAATTTGCACCTCCTGGTCAGGTAATACCGTAGAAGAACAGATTTGAAGGGTCTCACATTTCCGCAAGGCCCCCCGTGATGGTCGGACAGGATCCGTGTCAATACCTCTATCGAGTTGCAATTTTGCAGCTGGTCCATGATCTGGGGATGCATCGATAAGTTCTTGATGATGCGAACAGCGGTCACGAGCGACAGCGAATCAAGGGACTGAGTCGATTTGAGGATACCTAAGCCAGTCATAGCCCTATCTCGTTAGAAGCAACCCCACCTACTAACCATTTTTCAACTTACGACGCAAGACGCTCCGTGATGCTAGTTGCTGCTTCATCCAGCTGTCAGACTGAGAGTAGATGAGGAACGTTTGCAGGGCCTGCACTTGAGCCTGTTTTGCATATTGGTCCCCTGAGTCCGCGGAGACCGAGATCAACGCCGTACTGAGCGGGTCCAGTAGGCCCTGCTGCGCCAACATTCGACAGAAGTTATTTCTGGATGCGGGACTCTTTCAATGCCCAAAGAAAATGAGATGTTAAATGTCACGTCCTCATGCTCTGTTCGATCCTTCCAAAGCCCACCTGCAACTCCAAAACGCTGTTCACGCAACCGACTCCGAGCCATACGAGATCTCGTTGCTCATTATAGTCTTCGTCGATGAGGTTGACCAGCGTCTTCAGGCCGCGGCAGCTGAGCACGAACTGAAGCGTGAGGCTGGACGTGGAGCACATGGCGTAGACGAAGTGCGCGGCCTCCAATCGGACGTCATGGTTGAACCTCTTGGAAGTGAATGCCATCACTACTGGAATAGCTCCGATCAAGCACAGATTTTCTTGAGCTTCGGGATCCTGAAAGATGAGTAGATTGAGGACACCAAGGATCCGGCAGATGACTTCTGGATATCTGATAGCCTCCAGTAGCTGCACCAGAGATAGAGCGCCATGTGAGGCGAAGAATTGATGCTTCATTTCAGGCGCTTCGGTGAGGATGGTGTCCTGCCGTGCAGCCATGTCAGTGCAGTCGTCGCTCCGGCTTCACTGGAACACTCACGAGTTGGTCGCATATCTCGATGAGGCTCAACTCTTGATCGCTCGGATCCAGCCTCTCTACCAGCTCGTTCACATACTGACACATGCGTGCGTGATGATCACGAGCAACATTCGCATCCATGTCGCCGCTGCTCGCAAAAACTTCCTCCAATTCCGAAAACGGATCCGACTCGACATCATCTTCCTTCTCGTGATCGGGTGGAATGCGTGGCTGACTGAGACGCAGAACGTTGGGCAAGACAAGGTCTGCAGCAGCGAGACCGTCGTCAAAGTCGTCTTCGTAATTCTCCAACGCACTTGCCTCTGAATAGCGGCCTAGCGCCTGACGCAAGTCTTCCGCCTGAGCAGGCGAGCGCAGAGATCCTTGTCTAGATGCAGGCGGGCTGCTCAGCTTGAGTGTCACGTGTGGCGAGACTGGCGCTTCGGTCCCTTTGGGTGTTCGCGCACGCAACGAGTCGAAGGACAATTTCAGTGCCAGCGGCTTCGATGACGAGCCTTGCAAGCGGCCAACATCCGAGTTTGAATGGGCGAAGTTTCGTAGCTTGACAGAGATGCGAGAGTCTTCGTCGTCGACAAAAGCTTCGCTGTAGTCGTCTGGATTCTTGGATGTGGTATGTGTCGACCACACCGGCCCGCGCACATGCGATACAGTAGTAGCAGGTTTAAGCTGAGTTGGTACTGCCTCTACCAGCGACGACCTTCGAACTTCTGGCTCCTTCAGACGCCCAAGGGCGGCGATTTTGGTCGTTGTCACGCCATCTTCAAAGTCGTCGTCCCAGTTGTCACTGCGACCTTCTCCCTGGGGAGCTCTTGCTTTCGATGGGTCCGCGAGCGAGAGCGCGGCAGTGACGCGATTGGTAGGCGCCAAGGGCGGTGCTTGTGCAGATGGCGGCATCGGTGCCATCGACCCTACCCGCGAGACCAAGCGGGATTCCTTGGTACCTTCTGCGCCTTCCATGTGCAACTGGCTTGGCGGAAAACTGCGCATTGTCGGCCGCTGCTTTCGCGGCCGCTGTGATACTCTGATGGTTCCGTCTTTCGCTTCGAAGCCGCCAATGTAAGACAAAGGCTCTGCGCTAGCTTTCCCCCCCGTATCAGTAGGTAAGGTCATCATCGCCTGCGGAGGTTCTGCATTGCTCATAGATTCTTTCAGCCTCAAGAGTGTCTTGCAAATGCATCTGACAGAAGCCTCACCTTTAAGGATTTGGTTCCATTCTTGTACTGTTTTCACAGCTTCGTCATGGACATTGGGTCCGTTGCTTTTCAAGGAGCCGCCTGTTCTCATCTGCTGCAGCTGGCGTCTAGAATTCATCATCCATGGATGACGTAGAAGCTTCTTCGCTGACACGCGCAGATTTGCGTCCTTCTGGAAACAATGCATGAGGAAGTCTTTGACTACCTGTGTTCGGAACCATGGCAAGAAATTAGCGGCTGATATCATATTGTTTTAAGAAGAAGCATAGGAACTCACTGGTGATGCACTCTCTGGAAGAGGTGGAAAATCATCTTGAACGATTCTAAATAATGCTGGCATGGGTTCAAGTTCCGAATATGGCGGTTTGCCCTCAAGTAATTCGATGACTACGCAACCAACACTCCATATATCGCTAGCCGTGGTCGCTCCACTCTGGTCGATCACCTCGGGCGCCATCCAGTAGGGGCTACCAACAACGGCGTAATCGTTCATTGCTCCTGTTTTGGTCGCTACACCAAAATCTGCGAGCTTGACCGAGCCGTCCTTGTTGGTGAGGATATTGGCGCCTTTGATATCACGGTGAATCACACCTTGGTCGTGCAGGTAGCAAAGACCTTCTAGTACTTGTGAAACATAAACGCCGACCAGGCCTTCCGGAAATTTGCCAAATTTCTTGCAGATATGTTGTAATGAGCCATTTTCGCAATACCTGCACATATCAGGGAGCGTCAGATGATGTGGCTAAAGACTGCTGAAAGTGTGCTCACTCTAGAATGATGTATAAATAGTCGGTCGTCTTCTCCGAACCTTTGTACTTGACGATGTTGGGATGCTGTAATGGAAGACAAATTTAGCTTTTGACTATATATGACACACATTGGTGCACAATAACATACCTTGAGATTTCGCAAGAGCTCAATTTCAGACTGCATGAAGCCAGGAGGCGTCAAGGCGGTGTTACAAGCAACATTAATAATGCAATCCGTGTCCACTTCGTGCTCACCATAATTTCTCCTAATTCTGACTCTGGAATATTGCTCAAGTCAATTTGTTTCACAGCGACGGTCTCTCCCGTCATCCAGTTCAACCCTCGGTATACGGATCCGAACGCTCCCCTACCCAGGCAGTCACCAAGAGACTGTCAGAGAAAGCGCACAGCGCGTAGCATTGTCAATAGACATGAAAAGACATTAGTGGAAATAGAAACTGACGTAGTGTGCAAGCTGCGCGTCTCCCGCACTACCCATGGCGGTTCGACTCGGCTTTAATTCTCGAATAGCAGGAGTTGCAGCTGCTGACGACGTTGCACGTGCGTTCAATTCTGGCGCTTGCTGGGAAGATGACGGCCGCAGCACGGTTGACCCAGGTGATACTCCCGGCGATCTCGAGCGGATAGAAGATTCACTTGCGGCTCTTCCATGTCCAAGACGTTGGGAAGAGTCATTCGCATCGTCGTTGTATTGTCCAATGTGATGGCTACGTGATCCAACGAGGCCTTCCGGAGGCGTTGGCCGCCGAGCGGGCGGTGCGTGTGCATGCGAGGGGTCCACAGCTGATGAGAAAGAGGAAGCACCTTCAGCCGCGGATGTAGGCGAAGCGTGTGCCGGGACCGGTGTCGAAGTCCAATGCTCCTTGATCTGGCCGAGACGCGGAGACTTGAGGTGGTTGGGACGTACGGTGGCGCCCCCTCCAAACGAGCTGCCGCTGCCGCTATTCGTCCGCCGATGAAGCTGACCGAGCTCGTTTTGGTTCATCATGGAGTTGCATCTGGGCAGCAAACCACGTCCTTCCTGCAGCCGGTGCTGATCACAGAGACATGTCTTCTATTCTTGCTAGGCCAACGTATGTTTGGCCAGCAAAACAGTACGACAATTCCAAAGATGCAACACGCAAGTCGTGGTCCGATCGCGTGTAGCGCAAGTGGCGAAAAGAACGAGACACTTGTCACAGTATCCACAGTAAAAGACGACTCAGCTCTCTGATGTAACCCCCCCCTTTCAGTACTTTTGCTGTGCAAACAACATCGCATCCTCCAACGCTGCCATTCGCATCCCCTGCCCGATTCAGTAATTGATCACCAGATCAACCCGCGGCCAGAAGGTCGCCTCGGATACGTTCTAAAATGAACTGCTTCCCTGCAGGATGAGGGCAGCCTGAGAACCCAGAAACCTGTATGCGCGGTGGCTACAAGACCAATGTGGCCAGGCCGGTATGACCTCGAGGTCCTCGATGCATCCCTTCTCATGCATTCTTACTTGTTTTCAACATCATGACTACAGCGCCGGTGAAATTTCTTGGGTCGATTTCGTCCCCTTCAGTCAGCGGGAAATGCACAAACCGAATGTAATTGATGGGAATAGGAAGCAAAGGCAGGCGAGATCTGCGCGCAAGTCTAATTTTGACAATTTCTAGATTGGTATAGGGGCAATACAAACTTACACTGATGGCAGGAGTAAGCCCAGGCGGCTCATGATTGCACCAGCTTGGCCTCTTTGACGGACATGGGGAATCGAAGCAGTTCAACAATCACTAGAAGTGGACAAGGGGGAAAGGGAGAGGACTTTGTCAATATGCTGCGCCTGCTTGGCTTTCGAAGCCAAGACTATTCTACACCGAGATCAGCACTTGCGCTCTGCCGCCCGCAACTCACCGAAAATCGCATACAGCCCAACGATGACGCCAACGTCAATTTGCTGATCGGCGTTATGGTACTCGGTGTTCAGACGCGGCTCGATCGGCTCCAGGGCATGAAGCGTCTTGAGCTGTACGGACGTGAAAGCCAGGGAGAGACCCCAGAACACGAGTACGAGAGCGTTGGTGATTGGGCGGACCCAAGGTGCTAGGGGTACGTGATAAAGAATAAAGACGACGATGATGCCAGCGAGAGTGAACGGGAGAAGACCGACCCCGCGATTGGCAAGTGCTAAACGAGTGATTTCCAAAACATCTGCAGAGTGGAGTATCCACCCACATTAGAGCTGGTCCTTCAGGGAAGGCTTGTCAAGACTCACTCATGAGCAGAGAAGCGATGATGAGAATTTGGAAAAGAACAGCCAGCGCTGTCCATAGCCCAGAAGCCTTCTCTGTGAAGTGACTTCCTCTAGTTAACTGTCCAGCTGCATTGGACTCCTCGAGGTCCGATTTTGCCTCGCCCTTAAGTCCCTGACCGCCTTTGGCACCGGTAATCCGCCTTTCTCTCTTCTGTGCCGAGAAGGCGTACCTCTGCAAGCTCGTTTTACGTGCAGAGATACCGGAAGACTTGGATTTCTTGTGCGTAAATACCAAGGCTGGAACGAAGAGGATAAGGAGCAGCACGAGCAGAATCCAGGTTGGGAGCGGCACCAGAACAACATCTTCAAAGCATGTTCGGAGCGTTCCGTTGTATGGGCTCGTGAAGGAAGACTGTAGAAGCAAAGGCCCGCAGCCGCAGAGACAAGGCAGAGAGCGGATCAGCGTCAGTATAGGGTGAGAGAAACAACAGATCGCCTCGCCGCCCTCACGTTGTTATTATCATAACGGTAGCCGCAGCTCGGATGGTAAGAGTACACCGCTTCGGATGTAATGTCCGCCGGATATATCGGCGCGCTGATCATGGTACCCATCTTGGCGTCTGGAGCCGCAGACCGGCAGTCAATTGGAGTGGTGTGAAAGAGGAGGAGGGGGGCGCAGGGGACGGACGAGGTGGAGGAGAACACGTGTCGGGCAGCAGGCAGACGGTTCGATATGCTTGTGACCAGTGGACCACCGGACGTGCAATTCCGATGAACAAAAAGGGATTGCACTCTATCAGGAAGGGGCTTTGTATTGCAGCTATACCTGTCGCTGTTATATACGTCTCGCCTGATGGAGGATCGTTGATGTACTGGGAGTGACGAGGCCCATACATACATGTAACAAAGTTACAAGTGCAATTTCAGCTCATCGTCCCCTCCACCAGGACAATGTTTTGCATGGCACAATTCAAGCCAGCAGAGAAACGGCTAGCCTGTAGAGTGTAGACTGCCTGCAGTGCCTGAGATCTCAGATCTATAAAATGAGTGAACGCTGCACCTGCCTGTACTGTGTACACCCTCCACATTGGGTCCAACCCGTCTGCTATGGTATTTCTCGTGCGGAGAGCGAACGACGAGAAAGCAGGCATCTGTTTTGTGCGGAGATTGGCAGAGAGTGGTCTTATTTTTTGGGCTCATTTTGACTGGAATTGAAGAATCAATCGGTTCCGCAAGGGTGACAAATGATCGAACCACTTCGGAGACGCGAAACCAAAGACCGGAGTCAGGTCCTTTTCTATATCAAACCATGCCGGACCTCCAGTTGAAGATGAGATCTTGCGAACCTGCAGATGTCCTTAGTCTATCGCCGTCTCGTAAGATGGACAGGATGGTGATGATGAAACCTGTGAAAGCTAAATGGTGTGGTGGGGACAGTGGAGACTGAGTTCTAACAGCGGAACCGTTCTTGGATCTGTTTTGCTCTCTGGCACCAGACAGAGAAGGCATTTGCACAACCCTACTCGATCGTTTGCCTTCACTTCAGGTTCTCAGTCCTCTTGACGCTGGCCGACTTGGGCAACCTCATCATGACATCGCTTAATCGCCTCTGGGTTCATCGCATTTGGGTCTTGTATTTGATCTTTTGGCCATTCCTAGGATTCACGCGTTGAATTCTCATTCAATTCTGTATGCGAGGTGACCACGCAAATCTGGAGGCGAATGACTGGCTCGATAGTGGTCAGGGTTGATTGAGGTGCTATCTCAGGCCTTGCCGACGATTTCGACTACAAACGAGAGAGGTGTACCTTCATGTTGCTCCACCGTACATGACTTCGGCAGCGGCGGCAAGCATCAATGCAGAGGGCCTTCTCGCTGAAGTGCAATCACAGACAGGTGATGCTGTGAGCCTAAGTACCTCAGAAAATCGCACGAGCGGCTTGGCCTTCTGTTCCTTCGGCACCCGTTAATTGCATTCCTTTTTTGTAATAACAGTTCCTGGCAAGCATTCTCGAAGATGTAGACGTGGGTTGAAATTTCTACCCTTGGCGTATCTATAGGCCCCGTTGGTCTGATTCCTCGAAACTGCTTGCACTTTGCAGCCTTTTGGACCAGCGTACATTGCCTCTCTGGACGCCCTTTTCCATACGCAAGATGAGAGTCATGGCCTGCTCACACGTTTCGCGACCACTGAGATCCAAGGTCCACCGAAGAGCGGCAAGACCTCGCTTCTCGCATTTTTCATCATGACATTCTTGCTGCCCGACTCCTTCAACGCACTTTTCACTCGTCCTGCATTGACTTCTTCCTCTTCGTCTTCATCTACATCAGCTTCTGTCGAGCGCAAGCTGTTGCCAATTCACTTAGGTGGCAGAGGCCCCGGTCGCGCAGTGTTACTATTTGACAATGACGGCCGCTTCCCCCTTCAGAAGCTTCGACGGATGCTAGATTTGCACATTTGCAACCGTATAGCAGAAGCGCTCAGGCGGACAGACATCTTCGATCGCGCAGGCAGTCTTCCATGGAAGCAGCCGACGAAGGAAGAAATATCTGCCATGATCGATAGTTGGCTCAACCTGCTGCACATTTGGAGACCGACTTCGCAAGTCGCGTTTTCTGCTGCTGTACAACATGCACCAAAAACGGTAGATGCATCCCCTGGCGTGTACGACATTGGTGAGCACCCAGGAGGGATGAGATAGCAATATTTTGCACGCGAGAAATGCTGACAGGTCATTGGCTACAGGCCTTATAGTGGTGGACTCAATCTCCGCATTCCATTGGACAGATATACAGAAAGCTGATCATTGCTCCTCATCGAGCCTTTCTGGTCCACCCACGCATCAAGCATTCGCTAGCGCGCTGCGCCATCTCAAGCATCTGCAGGATGCATCTGCCGCGCCTGTCCTGCTGAGCAATTGGGCAATCAGTGAAGGTGAGAAGGCGCCTGCAGCAGTTGCACGTGCCAGCGCAGGTACCTCTTGGGCTGCTTCGGCCACTTCGAAAGCCCTACAGCCAGGTCCATTGCCTGGTGGTAGATGGTGGCAGGAGCATCTCCCTTCTCCACCCTATCCTTCGTTCAGCATTTCATCTTCAACGCCTCAGCTATCACCTTCACTCATCATTGAGAATCATATCACACTTGTTCCGGCATTGCCGCAGCCTTTCCCAGTTGGGACGACCGAGCGGGCTGCAAGGACCGATGGCGCGAGGCTACAGGCGCTGGATCGCTTGCAAGTCACCGGATGGCTGCGAAACAGGCACCGCGGGTTCTTGGGGCATTTCAGATTCAGAGTGGGGGACGAGGCTCTCGATGTCACTGTGTAGGCATTGTATGTCTATGCAGCCAAACAACATACTACTCGGCCATTTTATATACTGTCAAAGGTCCGCGGTCACTGTGCTTACGTAATATTCTTGAACAATAACTCGTCATTATCGACGATTGAGTCAGCATAAATTCGTTGTATGGGAATCCTTCAACGAGCGCTTTAGCTTTCACACACACGGGCAGCCTGTAACGCAGCTGAGAGGGTAAAGCGCGGTACAAAAAGTTGATCACTTTGTGCCAATGAAGGCTGCACCGTACTTTTTGAAGCGCACTATTGCATCATCCAGAGTCCGAAGCGAAACCTTCTTTCGAGCGTACGGCATCATGAGCAATGCCAGCTACGGCGCTTTCCCGCGTCCGACGGACGAGCGGGCGCAGGTCGTTGCTCAACGGATACAAGGAGTGCGCGAAAGGGTCAAACTTGCAGCTGCAAGGAGCAAGGAGATTGGTGGGTCGGGAAAGGAGGTAAGTGCAGTTACCCTCTTTGAGCGCAAGGAGCGTCTCTCACATCTCCCGTTTTTCAGCCGCGGCTTGTCGCGGTTTCCAAGCTCCACCCTCCTTCTGCGATCATGGCAGCATATGTGGAGGCGAAGCAAGTACATTTTGGTGAAAACTACGTACAAGAACTTGTCGAAAAGGCCAAAGTGCTGCCAGCCGAGCTGAGATGGCATTTCGTCGGTGGTCTACAAAGCAACAAAGGCAAGGCACTCGCCGCGATTCCGAATCTGTATCTGCTGGAGACGCTAGACTCCGTGAAAGCAGCAAATGTGCTGGAGAAGGCGCTGGCAGCACATGACAATGATCGCAAAGAGCCATTGCGCGTATATATTCAAGTCAACACCAGCGGTGAAGCAGCAAAAAGCGGAGTGCAGCCGTTGTTGAGCGAAGCCGACCTTGCAAAGCCAGAGCACCCTCTCATCGCACTAGCGCGGCATGTCATCGCTACGTGTCCGCACATTCTTTTCCTTGGGCTCATGACCATCGGAGCAGCATCCAATAGTGCCAGCGCTGACTCATCCAAAGCAGCGAGCGGCCGCGAAGAGATCATCAAAGCGAATCCGGACTTCGAGCGGCTAATCACGAGCCGGCGACTGCTGGTCAAGGCCCTGCGCTCGGATCAGGACCTCGGCAAGGCTGTGGAGGCGAATACTGCTGCGAAATCTGTGGTGCTCGAATTTTACAAGACCAGGTTACTGGGAGGTGGCGAGCGGGAAGGAGGACTAGAATTGAGCATGGGCATGAGTGCAGATCTTGAAACCGCCACTATGGCAGGCAGCGATAATGTGCGTGTGGGGAGCGATTGCTTCGGCCAGCGCGCACAGACACGAGACGAAGCGATGAGAGCAATGGAACACGAACTCAAACAATAGATGCAATTTTTGACCCCTTGTCATGAGCTGCCAGGCGCATACACGGGGGTATTAGTTCATTTTGCGACTGCGCGAGAATACAGAGACACCAGCAACAAGCGCATCAGATAAGGCCATGTCCAGTCGCTCGTCCTCTCATTGACATTTGCGTCGAATTTGCCCTTTAGTGCTTCGTTGCCTTTTGTCATTCCTCTTCAGCAATCTCCTCCTCGTATTCGCCTTCGAGGAGCTCATCGTCATCCACTGTCGCGCTCTCGTACTGCTGGTATTCAGAGATGAGATCTTGTAGATTGCTTGCTGCCTCTTGGAACTGCGCACACAATCAAGACAGGTCAACGATGATCGCCTAGTGCGGAAATTGCGCAGAAGGACGACGCACCTCGAGCTCGTCCATGCCCTCGTTAGTATACCAGTGCAAGAAAGCGCGGCGCCTGAACATTGCTGCAAATTGCTGCTCTGTTCGTTTGAACAGCTCTTGCACCGAAGTTGTGTTGCCGATGAATGTGGCGGACATCTTGACATCTGGCGGGGCAATATCGCAGACTGACAGAAGGAGAAGAGCTCAGCATATACCCTTTGATGACATGGGCAGCGATAGCGCGGAAACATACGGGAAGTCTGTGGGTGAGGCAACAAGTTAGCAAATTTTCCGAATGTAGTGACGAGGGCTGATAAGAAACTCACAAGAACATTCTGCGGAATCCACTCGACGAAACCTGTGCTGTTCTTCATTTGCAGGTTGTACATCTCGTCTTCCACGTCCTTCGATTTGATCGGGCCCCGGAAGATAGCCGCAACCGTGAGGTACTTGCCGAGCCTGGGGTCGATGGCGGCCATGGTGCAGTTGGGAGACAGGCCTTGTGAGACGAGCTCAGACACCTTCAATGACGAGTAGGCTTTTGAGCCCGGTGCTACCAATGGAGCATAACCGCAAGTAAAGAAGTGTAGACGCGGGAAGGGAACTGAGACAAAGAGAGAGTGTGTGAGTTCACAAGTCGCGCCTGCTAAATTGAACTTCTCTCGGACGCACCCATGTTGACACCCAATTTTCTTAGGTCGCTGTTCAATTGACCTGGGAACTGTTACAAATGTTTGGGGTAGAGCGTGTCAATGAGGCATCTGACATTGAAGACAATATCTGCACATACACGCAGGGTGGTTGAGCAGCCCGACATGGCGCTAGCAATAATCTGGTTCAAGTCCTTGTACCCTGGGTCCTTGACTTTCAATGTCCGCTGGCAAATATCATCTGCAAATTTATGCGCAGGTCAGATCACAGCTCGCCTGTCTTACCGTTGATAAATTAAAAAGGGAGACGCACAAAGAGCCTCATTGTCCAAGCAAAACGACAAGTCGACGTTCTCGACAAGTTGGTGGAAAGACAAAGTCGCATTCTGATGAAAAATCGTCAGTGAAGTGGGAGAAGACGCGGGCCGAAGGCTGCGGGGGTCCGACTCACGTATGGCTCGACCACGACCTCGCTAACTTTTGGAGACGGAAGCACTGACCAGCTCGCCAGCATTCGGTCAGGGAATTCTTCGCGCAACTTGGTCAACAGGTTCGTTCCGAGACCAGAGCCGCTGCCACCGCCGATCGAGTGAACGAGCTGGAAGCCTTGAAGCATGTCTGCCTTCTCCGCCTCCTTCCTCGCCACGTCCATGATACCATCCATGAGTTCTGCACCCTCGGTGTAGCTGTCAGCGTGAAGATTTAGAGCGTGTGATCAGCTTCGATCCCTCCGTAGAGACATATTAAGACCACGGGCGCACGCACAATCCCTTGGCGAAGTTGTTACCCGCTCCTGATTGTCCGTGTATCATGTTATCCGGCCTGAAGAGGCTGCCAAGGGGCCCGGAGCGGACCATATCGATAGTACCCGGCTCTAGGTCTATGGCGACATTCCTTGGGACGTATTTTCCTTCGACGCCAGAAGGCTCGAAGAAAACGCCCACCTTGGCAAGCTGGTTATCGTTATCGCCCACATATTGACCGCTTTCGTTCAGGCCGTGCTCGGCGAGGATCTTCTTCCAGAACTCGGTCGAGACTTGCGTGCCAGCTTGGCCTACGGAAAACGTGATGAGCTCTCTCATTTTGAATGACTGCGCTGTTTCGACTCCGATATGCTTCTGGTGAGCGACAGTTCACAACACCATGCGATGATGCGGACCGGAGTGGCGAAGAGAGACGCGTCGAGCGTTTCAGTCTTGCTGGAGCTAAGCAATTCGATGCGTCGCTTTCCCCCTTATTACACGCACCGTCCGTTGCAAGCTGCAGAACCACAATGGAATCTCGGCACATAAAAAGAGCGCTCAGGCTCGAAAATCGTCGTGAAGGTGACCGAAGAAATGAAGGTGCAAAGATGTTGAACGATGAAAGATATTGACTGTGGTCTGCGCGCGACTGTTGTGGAAAGTGAGAGCGACACCTTGATAATGACACGTCTCCCCTCCACCTAACGCAGTACAACAGCAGGTGGCAATCTACTCAACTTCCCAATCGTTCATTTTTTCCACGGTCATTAACTGTCGCCATCTACTATCATGTACCTTGCTACGGGCTGTGCTGCGCATGTGAGTCCTCTTCGAATCCGCAGCAGAGCAGGTGTACTATTGCAGAGGGCGGTGCAGTGTTGTGGATGCACTGGCCCAGTATTTACAGCATGGTGATGTGCTCTCCACGAAGGTCAAGGAACCATGGCTGCAAAAGAACGGCTCGGCAGGTCGATCCTGATCTTCACTCTGGCACATCGATTGTTTGCATTCGTCTTACTACAGCTATGTGGGCAGCTGTTGCCCTCCTTTGATGCTTCAGCGAGCATACTGCTCCTCTCGGTGTCACCGTCGCTTAAACCATGGCTTGTACCGCTCGTGCGCTGGGACACGCTCCATTTCTTGGGCGTTGCGTCCCCAAAGGCACTCTCGCGATTTGGACAGGCTTTGCCCGGAGGCTATGCGTATGAACACTCGCTGGCTTTCCAACCTGGTTTGCCTGTTCTTATGCGCCAGCTCGGGTCTTCTACCCACGGCACATGGTCGCTCCAACAAAGTATCGTGATGTCCACACTACTTGCATGGGTTTGCTCATGCCTTTCGCCGTGGCTGCTCTTCCAGTGAGTCAGCTCTGCACACTGGATATCGACGGTCACGCACCGCACAAGGGCGCAGGCTCGAGAGATCCAGTCGGCGTTCGTTGATCTTGCCCAGTGCCTTCCTGAGCGCTGACGTTCCTATTCCAGGTTGACAGCCCGGCATTTTTCAAGCATATATTTTGCATATCTTGCATCTCTTCTGTCGATACTCTCGCCCAGTCCCGCAAGCATGATCATCCCAAGCCCAGAAGTTTTCTTCTCATGCTTTGCGGTCGTCGGCCTGTTGCTGTTAGCGCCGCCGCCCCCGAGCGGACGTGGACAGCAGAAACCTTCGTTCATCAAGCAATGCATGGGGATAATCGGGGGCTCCTTTGCATTCGCGATCTGCACCGCTTTTCGAGCGAACGGCATCTTATTAGCGGGCTTCCTACTGTGGGCTGGTCTCTGGCAGCCAGCGCTGCAGTGCCAACCGACGCTCGAGCGCGTCGTCCTGGGCGTCGCTGGCATCATTGGCTCTATCGTTGCGGTCGCTCCCTTTGCTGCAGGACAACTGTGGGCGTACGGAAGATTCTGCAGGTATGCTGAAGAGCCGCGACCGTGGTGTGACGGCAAACTTCCGCTGGTGTACAGCTTTGTGCAGCGCGATTACTGGTAGGTTGCTAGGCAACCCTACCGCATGGTGCACTGTTCCAGCTGACAGGCTTTGTACATTGCATCTTGTCTCGAATGCTAGGGACGTCGGTCTCCTGCGCTATTGGTCTCTAGGCCAGCTTCCCAATTTTCTCCTCGCCGCACCGGTCCTGCTGCTGATCGGCTGGAGCCATCGCTATTCACGCGACTGTTGGCGCATGTCGGCCCGCTCGGTACTGGCTCCATGGGCTGCAGACGCTTACGCCGCATCGGCACCCTCAGCACGATGCCACAGCTCGCCGACGAGTATCAGGGTGTTCGCACTTGACGCGATAACCTCACCGTCCGCATTACCGCACGTCATCTATCTCTGGGCTAATGGTGTATTGCTGCTGTTTGCGAGTCACGTCCAGATTGCATTGCGTTTTGCCAGCCCCGGGGGCCTGCCGGTCTTGTGGTGGTCGGCAGCCGATATTTTCCTTTTGGAAGACACAAGCCCGCCAACAACTGCATCATCACCAACGTCATCGCCCTCGTCGGAGGCGTCGGTATCAGCATCGCCGACATCGCGGCAGGGGGACAAAGGGAGGCTCCATGCTCAGCTGAGTAGGAAGGGGTCGTGGCTGATGTCCTATCTTGTTGGGTGGAATATCGTCAGCCTCATACTGTATGCTGGCTTCTATCCACCAGCTTGACGCTGGCTAGTAAGTACCCTTTACATGTACGTTTTATCATTTCAAAGCAAGCAGGCCGATGCTGCCGAGGTAACCGTCATATTCGGCTGCGCGTGCGTGCCCCGTGCAAGCTATCCATCTCGTTGACGTGCATCCACTGTCGCATGCAAACCGGCCTCTTTACACCTTGATCATTCCCGCACCCAGCGAAAGGAGCCACGGCTTGGCCATGGCTTCGACAGCTGGCTATTCGCTATGCTCCAGCGTGATGACGATGTCCATGGTACATACCCGAGTTACAGACTTCTAACCCTAAGTGGCAACACACATAATTGCATATAAGAGAAATTCTTTTTTAATAAGTGAGAACAGAAATGCCCCTCCCCGCTGGCCGCTGTGGCAGCTCGTAACACCACGGGGCAGCGAAATGGAGCGAGGACTTGAGCACAGGCGGCACAGTCGGCATATCAGGGCAAAGCCCCGCTGTGTAGCAGGCACCCCGCATGGGCACTAGTTGCACCGCGCGCAGTAATGCAGCCTGAGGCGGCCAGGCCGAGGTGGCGTGCAGCCTCCATGTACTAGTATTCTCTACCGCTGCACGAGTCTGCAACGGATTGGCAGCTTGCTTGCTGGGACAACGCGCTCATCATGAGAACCGTGGTGCAGTGCACAAAGTCGACTGCACAAGCGACAAATCAACGAAAGCGGCCCGTCGCAGAGCCGATAGATTGACACCAACATGGCACAGCATCTTTTTGTTGAGACGGCCCGATGAGCACAGCATCGTTGATCACGAGGGGCGACGCTTCGGATGTATGTCCTTGCAATCACTCGCCGCCTTGCAAGCCTCTCAAAGGACACAACAGACGTCCAGATTCAGGCTTCCTCTTTCCTAAACGGCAAGGTGTCCCATTCTCAGCTAGCATGTGCTACTCTTCCTGACCCGGCATCGACTTTCCTATAAATACAAAAAGGTCCACCTCCCCTGGGCCTCTCTAAATTCCCAGGAGGAATTTAGCCTGAATCCTCGTGAGACACGGCCTTTACTGGCTCGGCGCTCCTGTGCAAGCCTATGATTCGTTGAGGTCTGATTCATTTTTCTCCACTCTCCTCGCGACAAACCCACCCTTTCTCAGGCCGCAGCATCCTAAGCCCCAAGCCCCTGCCTGGCTGCTCCTCCCTGCACATCATGGTCGTCGCATGCCCTTCGGACAACACCGAGGCGATCGACCAGGAGAAGTTCTGGAACGGCGAATGGGATGCGCACAAAATCGGCTGGATCGTCTCCGGCGCCGCTGCTGCCGTGACATGTTTGATCTCTGCCTTCACCATTTATGGGCATCTGCTGCATTACAACAAGCCGCTCGAGCAGAGACAGATCGTTCGCATTTTGCTCTTTGCGCCCGTATTCGCGGTGGTATCGTTCTTCTCGTACCGATTCTTCCGAGTGTACACGTACTATGAGCTCGCAGAGGTGCGTCCTTTGCCGTGCCGGCAAGATCGTTCCTTGGGCAGCTACTGATCAAAATGGATTTACGGTCAGGTCGTCTGGGAGGCGGTGGCAATCGCTGCGTTCCTGATGTTGCTCTTGCAGTACATTGGCGAAAGCGTCGTCGCACAAGTCCAGGTCTTTGCCAAGAAGGACAAAAAGAAGCTGCCCATGCCGCTCTGCTGCCTTCGGTATCGCCCTTCCAAGGCCTATTTCCTTTTCTTTCTCAAGTGGTCCGTCGTCCAGTACGTCATCATTCGGCCCGTGCTCTCCATCACCGGTATCGTCCTCGAGTACTATCATCTGCTCTGCAATTCATCCCTCTCTCCAATGTACGGCCACGTTTACCTGCTCGCCATCGACTTCGTCTCCATCTCGATTGCGCTGTACGCGCTCATCGTTCTTTACGGTCTCGTGAACCAGGAACTCAGGGGCCGGAAACCACTAGCCAAGTTTGCGACTCTGAGTGAGTTTTGAGGTCCATTCCTTCAAGGCTCCAAGTCGAACGCAACTGGTTTAATTGACACTTAAGCTCATTCGTTTGTCTGCAGAGGTCGCTGTCTTCTTCACATTCTATCAAAGCTTTGTGTTTTCCCTCCTTGAGGACCATGGTGTTATCAAAGTGAGTGTGTGAGAGCCATCTGGTCAACAAGCGAGTGATTCGACACCCTATCAACCTTGTCATCTGCCACATTTGTTCTTGCAGGCAACCGAATACTGGACCGCGACGAACGTCGCAAGCGGACTGAATGCACTCTGCACCTCGCTCGAGATGGTCATCGTCGCAGGGTTGCAAGTCTGGGCCTTTCCATGGACTGAGTACCGTGTCAAGAACATTACTGATGGCAGCGGAAGGAAACTGCACAAAAAGGGCCGGACCAATGCGTTCAAATCCCTGTTGCATGCTCTCAATTTCTCCGACTTCATCATTGAGCTATGGCATTCCCTCCGCTTTGTCTTCGATCGTATGCGAGGTAAAGAGTATACGCGCCAGGATGCGGCGCATGGGAAGTTTGACTTTCTCATCTTCCAGGGCGGTAAGCAGGCGCTGGATGCCGCCAATGCCAACGCGGAGAAACTTGGTGGCACTGGCGCAGCCACGACAAGCGTGGACAACCTATATGCGCATCAACAACGCATGGCAGGCGCAGGGCCTGGAGAAGTGTCTACAGCATTTGGGTTCGACGATGACACTGTCGCTGGCGGCCACGAAGAGGGCATGGCCATGCACTCTATGATGGCAATGAAATCGGATGCAGCGTACGGAGCCAATGCCTCGTCTGCTTCAAGGTCATCACTCTTACCAGCCTCTGCAGCGATGGAATTTACAGCATGTCATCAGTCTCCACGACAGGCGGCAAAGAGCCCTCAGCAACAGCAGCAGCCGGGGCACGCATACCCTTTGCCTGCGTCGAGCAGGTACAGCAATGCGCAAGGGGCATATCACTCGTCGCAGCTGCAAGATACTGATGCGCCGTCAGCGGCGGCGTCTGTTTCGAACCTGCATATGCCCAATCCGCACGCTGATTCCGCGCCGCAACCTACTTCAGGCCAAGTGCAAGCGTTTGCAGCACAAGAACAACTGCACTCTGTGGACGGCAGCTAGGTTACGCTGGCCCCGAATCGGTATTCTGCAACCTACCCATCAGTTCCACGCGAGTGCCCGCTCAGCTGGGACCCGCAGGCTAAGTGCTCCACGGGCTCCCGATTCCCCATTCCTTTCCCACTTTTGCGCTGCACTAGACATAAATTACGAAACGCTACACATGTGTATTAAAGCCATACATCTCTTTATTCGCTTCGGTCGAATGGGCTTTCATTCTATGGGATCCTAACCACAAGGGCTCTCCGCCACAGGCAAACCGCGAGATTTGAGTTGCGAAGGGGGTTAGTAGTCAAGCTGAAGCAGCCGTGCTTCAAAGCAGGCTTGCAGAACCGCTGTGGACATCACTTTTTTGGGACCAAGAGTAACTGGCCGTCTTTTCATCGTTGATCTTCATTCTTCACTGTCGCATATGGGCATGTCGTATTGGCGCTCATATACGACGCTCACCGACTCTTCCTTCGACTGCCTGTCCACGCACATTTGCCCGAGCACAAGGCGTGCATTTGGCTTGGATTAGGCGCACTGCGCAGCTTTCCACGATCCATGCTGTCGACCAACGACGAGTTTCGAACTGCGAGTCTCGCCTACGTCGCCTATCACTGCCAACATAGACAACCTCGATTGCTCCGCACCTCGACGGAGAGTGACGCTTCGAATGCAGCCTTGGGCTCTCATGTCTACAGCCATGGGTGGAATTGGACGGAATATGCGCATCCGTATGCCATGCCGGTGGGCTACCTGCATCGCGAATGCCAACTGAACGCGCCTATTTTACTTTCGCCCGACGAGGACGAGAAAACGCCGGATGATGACGAGGAAGACATGAGCCATTCTGAGAGTGACGAACCCTGGCAGGATCAAGTGCAAGCAGCAGACCCTTCCACCGCGTCAAGCGGCGCCGCGGCATCATCAGGGAATCCATATCTCATGCAGCAGTCTATATGCTGGTCAACCACCTGGAAAGTGCCCGGCTTTTACTTCAATGTTTTGCACGGTAAGATCGAAGGTGAAACTGCACTGCGGGTTGGAACCGTCATTTTCTTACGGTAGCAATGCAACGCAGGAGGACGAGTGCTCGGTCTCGAGGAAGTTGTCCGGTCGCCGTTCATCCTCAATACCTACCTGGAAGGCCTTGATGTTGAAGTATCTGCAGCGCCAGACATGGCCGCATTCCCACAGCTCAGCCAGGGTGAGCATCCTGTAACAGGATTACCATGCTTCTACCTTCACCCGTGCGAGACTGCGGCACGCTTGCAAGAGCTAGAAGCGAGCCACGCTTTCAAGCAAGCTCGGCCCAAAGATGGTACGGACAGACAGACGCAACATGAGCGACAAAAACTGGAAGCATTCATTACAATTGTCAGCGGCGCAATAGATATGCGAGCGCCTGCTATCAGTGTAACAGCAATAATATGAAGAAACAGCAGAAATAAAGAAAGAGCAGCAATATTGTGCGATCAACGTCCCTGGGCTTCGACTTTAGGCGGTGCGGTGTGCGCAGGAAAAGATTTTGGGAGGGGAAGCGTTGGGGTCGTTGTATGAATCGACGATCGATGCAATGCTCGCATAGATGCCAGCAGCCATGACGAAGAACATGACACCAAGCGAAGCAGAGGCTACGAGAGCATTCAGCTTATGCTTTGCCGTGCCGACAAACCACCGTCCCTTGTTGAGGTGGAACCAGAAGACCGATGCGAAGATGGAGAAGAGCACCCACAGAAGAGAGCTCTCCAATCCAAGGAATTGCGGGAAGACTGGAATCAATGAGGACACTAGCCAAGCCAGAAACCAGGTGCAGGCGTTGATGCCGATCCATGTCGCCCAGCCAGCGAAAGTGTTCGTTTGCATGTGGTACGGCCGATCGCGAAAAATGCGGACAAATATTTGCTTGGCGGCAATCTGGCCGCTTTCGCAGCCTGCAATGACGATGGTGACTAGTGCGATGCCGTACACGGCCTTTGCGTGGACCGGGGGCAGAGAGTCGAAAGCTGGCGCGACAACGTACTGCCCGATCTCCAAATAGACTCCGAGACCGACACCCAGGTACACAATCACGTTCAAAGCGATGAGCATGGCGAGCGTTCGAGGGAAGTGGCGAACGTTCTTCATCTCGCACATGATTGGGCTGCAGGGAAGGGCGCAGAATCACAGTCAGTACGACTGAAGCACCCTGGTGCAAAAGAAGGGCTTCCGTGGCTCACAAGTAGGCGGTGTTGGCGCCGAAGCTAAGGAAGATGTTTGCAACTTGAAGCAATGCCGCTGTGGTAGTGAGCGGCTCAGCACGGGAGGTGCCGAAGAGCTGAATATTCTTGGCGACCGCCTCCCCAGCGGGTAGCTGCGGCCCGCTGATGCCGGCTATAATGATTGTGTATACGATCGCGATGAGAATACTTGAGATTGCGGCGACGGCAAGTCCGCCCAGCTTGGAGTAATCGCGCGGGAAGTTGAAGATGAATGAGATAATCGCCCACACTGCCCCGAGTGCGAGACTGCAGCCATGCCAGCCAAGCGCATACAGGGCTTGCGATCCAAGGATGCAGTGCGAGCCCTGGAGGAAGATGGAGAAGGCGACCTGGCTGCAGCCGAAAAATTCGCGTCCAACGCGCCCGAAGAGAAGGTAGCCGGCGTCTTCGAGGTTTGAGATACCTGGATAAGCGATGCGAAAGTGGTAGTATTGCATGCCGGCCCAGAAAGCGAGAACGGAGAAGAGTAGCGCGATGAGGACAGTGGGAATTATTCCGATTGTTGCCATAACATTCGGGGCGCTCAGGACGACGACGGCTATGCAGAAAGCGGCGAGATTAAAGAAGGCTCTGTTGGCAGCAGTGGGTAAGCATTGGGATTGAGGCTTGGTGAATACACGGCCATCCACACGTACTTCAAGTATCCCATCTTCTCAATCTCCTGTTGCTTACCGAAGGAGCGGCTGCTGAGCGGCGAGCCTCCCTCCTTCTCAGGATCTGTCGCTGTGGCTGCTGCACTTGCAAATAGTTCCTTTTCGAACAGCGTCTTGCGCTGCTCAAATGTAAGTTTGGAGCCGAAGCGCAGTGGCGCCTCTTGCTGCAGCGTGGCCGTCGAGATTTGTGCATTGGGATCAATGATCCCTAAGCCCAGTCCCAGACCCGATGTCTTGTCGTTTTCGGTACCCGACCCTTTCTGTTTGTCGCTGAATCGTCCACTTGCGACTGTGTCGCCGCCCAGAGTGGCATCCGACGGGGACAGAAGGCCAGGAGGAGCGCGGGCCGCAAGCGCATTTCTGACGAACGATCCTAGAGAGGCGGAGCTACGCTGTGCGCGCACCACTGCCTCCTCTCTTGCTTGCCAGTCCTTGGAAAGCAAGGCAGAGGCGTTGTCCGACACGCCAGTGGTGCTGCCATTGGTGGAGCTGCCTGCGCCGCTATTGGACCGTTTGTCCATCATTTCGGCCCCAGGAAGGGGTGAGTGGATGCGCGGAGAAAATATGGAGCTCAGCTGATGCGGAGCAGGATGCATCTTTCTTCAGGTCGAGTCTTGCGCAATGATCCTCGTTCATCGAAAGCCTTGAGCACTGGTTCAGAAGGGGACCACCTTTGAGACATGCTGATGCGACTCAAGGGCTTTTATCAGCCCATATATCTCCCAGTCAGCGGGAAAGGTCTGTAGAGTGTAGTTGGCACCACATCCGGGATACTGAGTTCGAACCTGCCCAAATTCTTTGGACTTCGGCGGCACGCAGCAGACTCGACTGCAATTCGAGCTGGATGTTGGACCCAGGCGAGACTCAACTTCCAACAAGGAACCACCATTATGAGCATTCACCCACAGAACCCAGGAAGTAGTCTGCTCTTGACCGATAAGTGAATGTGGAGACAATCGAGGTGATCATGATGTGCTTGAGCCGTTGGCGCCGCGCAGCCGTTGAGAATTTACCAATCTCACCACCACCTTTCCCACTTTCCGCCGATCAGCCATCGCGTCCCGACGGCAAGGCGGGCGTTTCGCCACCCTAGCTAAGTTGCAAATGAGGTGGATTCTCGGCATGTTCGATGGTCGACTGCAGAGGCAAATGGGAACTTTCACGATCCACGATGGCCTGGTGAAGGGGTGGTGCTGGTTGAAGCCAGACCGCTTAGTTGGCTGTCGCGAGGGTTAGAGTGGTGTTGATCTGCGTTGGATTCTCGACGCGTCGCGACACGCGCAGTGTGTTGTTTGCCTTTGGCATACTGCTACACTATTTCGTTATGTGGCCTATGTTCCACTCAGGACTTGTCCACAGTCTGTCAGCCTATCCTCAGAATCTCAGATCTCCTCGAGCCTCTTTCCGCGGGCTCGAGTGAGCTTCTAGGGTTCCGGGAGTACCCTGCTCAGCATTGGGATGGTGACCTTTTTAGAGAAAGAACTCAGAACTCAGATGGCAGATCTCCGATGTGGAAACTGCACCGGTCTAGCATCAACCCGCCATGAGCTGCCATGCAGCAACCGGGCCTCTGGCCGACAAACCTCAGAGATACTGGCGAGCATCTTCAAATGCTTTTTGTTGCGTGCAGTGGGGCTTCAGTACATGGTGTGTCGCCATTCATAAACTATCGAGTAGCGCCCAAATCGCCCTCATCCTGGTCCAATTTTAGAAGGCCGTCGGCCTCTTGCGTGTCGTCGATGTCCTTGTCGTCCGCGGCAGCGTGAGCGACGTCGGCGCCGGCATCTCCATTTGTACGCGAATCCGCCCGAGCTGCAGATGAAGAGGCAGCTCCAGAAGCATGTGTGCTGCCTTGCCTGCTAAGCCCCGGCCCCTTAGCACCCCGACCGCCGCCTGGGTTCCCTGCGACTCGTTGGTCGAGTGCCTTTAGTGCCATCGCTCTTCTTCGTTCTGCCTCTGCACGGCTGGGCCCGCTAGGTATGTGGGATGCATTCGGCCCTGTCTCAAGGTCGCTGTACTGCCATGGTTGGATGACGTGTAGCCGAATGAAGATGCGATGTAAGAAATTGGAAAGAATCGTCACCGGCCTGTGCACAAAAGGCGGGAACCAGGAGACGAAGGAGAATGTCTCGCTGTGGTCCCCTCGGAAACCAGATTCGCTCAGCCTAAAGAAGCGAAGCCAGACCCAACCAATGAGCCAGCCGAACTGAATCAGGATCCAAGGCGAGATGAAGCCCAACATGCAGAGCACTGTTGAGAAGGTAACGTAACCCATCGGCAGGTTCTAGAACACCATCGATGGCAAGGTCGACATCAGCGCTGTGGACCAACGATAGATTAAGCAGCTACCGCTCACCTTGACATGAAAATTGAGCCTTCCATTGAATATTTGAACTTGGTGTTCCGGGATCATCTGTGTGAGCCCGACTAAGAAGCCAGTTTGGAGTCCAGTCAATCCATGGTACTGAGTTCCATAGATGACGTAGACGTTTCGCAGCACCGCAAATTGGAGTATGGCAAGCGCCCAAGCGATAATGTTACTACCGATAATGACGACAGCCGAGAATTTGAGTAGCTCGACTGCTCCCCAGATTTGCTCGAGGTACCGCCCTAGCAATGGTATCAAGATGAGCGAGAGTACGGCCTGCCGCAGTCGATGTATCAATTGCAGTTCCGAACGAAGGTCACATATTTATTTTCTTCTCACCTCGATGAATGATGTCTCGCAGAAGCCAGATGTGAGTAGGGTCCTGTGGCAGGATGGACGCGAACCTCCTCGTGAGCAAAAAGCGCAACCCGATTCCAGTCAAAGCCATTCTTGCCAACCTACCAAGGGTACATCCAGCTCTGTCCAGGTACAATGACCAGCCATGGGAATTCGAGTGCTGAATCTTGCTTGCTAAAAGACTGGGCCTTCAGCTTCTCCTCGGTCAGGGTGAAACGCATCAATGCCAGGATAGTAGTGAAGCCCAGCAGCGCGAAGGTCAGGCCTCGGGTCGCTGGGGGAAGCGCCATTGGCGAGAAGCCAGACATGGCGAGCTCGCTGATTGACGGATGCCCAACAGCTTGATCAAGCTTTCCCACTATTTCCCAGGCTGTCGTGAAGGTACCTGTACAGGATGTGGACACGACGACAGTCCGTCATGCTTAGGGAGATGCACTTAATGCTCAGCATGTATCAAACTTGAAGCTGCGACACTCGACACCAGGCGTAATACCAACAGAGAGAGGGCGGAACGCACAGCAGAACTATAAACTTAGCAGATGAACTGAATGAAACCAACGCTCCTTCAGCGTGCTAGTCTTTTAAGGTAAGATACCTCGCAAACAGCTTGGAGTCAACTCTCAAAAAGGTCAGGCGACAGCACGCGGTCTGCACCATGGCATGGACATGCCTAATCTGTTCACCAGTCTTGGGTTGGGCTGCACCTCATCATTCATCTTGCTGCGATGTCTCGCCGAGAGTGAAGATCGATCCGCAGCGTTATTCGTCTATACGCGTACCTGTCCGCGAACCCTCCCCCTTCCTTGGCTCCGCCCCTGAGTCGTGAACATGCATGCAAGGTGCAGCCGCTCCTCGCTTTCCGATGCGAATGGTTCCCAGTCGTCAAGAAAACGGCGGTCAACTATCGTCATCGTCTTGAGCGGACGTTCCAAGAACATTCACACGTTCAATGCAAGTCTCTGACTGCCTGGTTTGCGATATGGTCATGAGCAGAGTGCTCCATTGTGGGTATGATACATGCATGTGAAAATGTGTGTATGATATACAGTGTCACCATACCGATGCCTCCGAAACCATTTGCAGAATCTCGTGAAAGCGAACTTGTTCCTCTTCCGAGCTCTCAAATGCATCCTCACCATCCTCGTCCACGGCGCTCTGTGAGGATGCCAGCCTGCGCAGGCCTAGAGAGATGATGATGGGTCTCGATGTGTTTCCACCTGCCGCCATGTCCATGGTCGACGGCCTGCCTCCCACCTTGGAGCTGCTGGTGGCTTGGGTTGTCACCAGGCTTGCGACGTGCGAAGCCATTAGCGGGTACAAAGTCGAGTAACCATGCGGCGGCGAGCCGAGCAGGGTCTGCAGAGAGGTGGAGGGTAGCAAGAGTGGTATAGAGCTAGCACGGGCATCTCTTGCCATCGTGATCTCTTCTTCGTCATCGAAGTCTAAGTCTGACGAAGATGGCTGGAAGTGAGCTGGCGTCGACACGGTTGCCTGCATCTGGAATGCGTCATCATAGGTCGGGTTGTCAGTCCTCACGACTATGTGCGGTCCAACACGAGTAGGCATTCACAATGCAGCCAAGCTTCCCGACTTGTGAAATGAAGATGCAAATCCGATCTGTGAATGACTGGCATACGACGTGCGTATCATGTCCTAGGATCGTTCGAGCCACATGCCGCGTTGGAATTGGTAGGCTGGAGCTGGCAGCCGCCCGAACTTGCGGAGCTCCATACTCCGAATCGGAAGAACCGTTGACTTTACTCATCTCTAGGATGGGTTAGCATGTGCTTCTCAGACAGTCAAAGCTCTACGCTCTACGTACGGCGCAGTCGGTGTCCATGGCTCCATGCTCCTAGTGTATGTGATCCTTCATCCTGAGCATGACACACGCTGCCTTTTCTATGAGTGCGTAGGTGAGGGGGCGAAGAGGCTCACAAGTTTGACCAGATTCCACTCGCCCAACCCAACTTTTGTCCTGTAACTTTCGTCACCTGTGGACGGGAATGGGCGGAACCACAACGGATCCAGTCAATATTCAAGTTTGTCTTCTTCCAAGAAGAAAGTCCACCTTAATTTTTCATTCGACTTCTTTCCTTCCAACTTTCGACTGTCCCTTGTGCATGCAAGAGGCGAAACACGTCAGCTTTCCTTGAGGGTGCCTTTCCGATGTTACTAACAAGGTGAGTCGATCGAAGAAGCGGTCTTCAGTGTGCGGTGTTGCGAGCGCCAGAATCGGGCGCGGCACGATTTGGGGTCCCCGATCTTTCAATGATGATCAACATATCACATTATCAAGCTCAACAGTCCAAGTCATCCCATTGGGAGTCGTTGACGACTTACTTCTGCAATTCTGAATCTATGTTGATTAGGAAATGTGCTTGGACATTGCGAGGTGGAAAGGGCTCGGGCAAGATACTGAATGGATTTTCCCAGAGCTGACCATTCATCGCTACTGTTGTCTGCATGCACAGCATTCTTTCTCTATCGCAAGCATCGATCGTGACTCAAATTAACCTGTCATATAGAAGAACGTATCTTGTACTGCGCAGTGTCGCTCCTTAGTCTGCAGTTAAAACATATTCTCTCTGTACTTGACAAGTTATCCAATGTCTGTCTCCGCTTCACGCACATGTCGATTTTATGCTGTTTCAGACCCTTTTCAAGTCTCCCGTTAATTCTGATCTCGTTTCCTTCATCCAGCCCAAACGTTGAGGCGAACTCTTCTTGGTGTGCAAGAGTGACCATCACCTCCGTGCACACCTCCATCCTGAACAGCAAGGTAATCGTGCGCATCGTCTTTGTCGGGGAATCTCTTGCATGTAGAATCCCTTTGCATCTTCACTATCTGTGATTGCTATGGAGCTGGACAGTTCAAAGTATCCTGGGACAGTGCGCTTGTCCGCTTCTTCAGCATAGGTTCGGTGTTGAGAGTCGCTCGGAGCTGAAGCTGAGAGCGCCGTAAAGATATGTTTGTTTGGGCTGCAGGGGCGCAGGCAGCGGATGTAACAGAGCTTGCTGATGAGCGGCATCACCGCTGAGCAAAACAAAGGCGGGCCCCTTAGAGGCGCTCGTACGAGCGAGCAGCACCATGTGATCGTGGTCATGTTGTATAGGGCGAATCGACTTGGGGTACGCCAGTGAATCGACGGTTCACTTCTGAGGCAGCGTACCTTGGGCTTTGTACTCACTCTTTCTGCCGATGCGAGGAGCAAACTCCCATTTCCGAACTAATCCCAGGCAGAGTCAAACAGCCCGAATCACGTGCCCATCACCCTGTCCTTGAGTTATTGATCTGAGTGCTACATTTTCAATGTCCTGCACCTCGATGAACGTTCGCCCTTTCCAGGCGCTTGTCAGAAAAGATGAGAAGCCCTCTGCCCCTTTTGGCCACTCGTGCCCACCACCAACCCAATCCATAGTTCCCGGGACAACAAAAACGGGCAGAAAGGTCAGCTAGTCAGCCAAGTCGCTGTCGTGGGCGACATAAGCATGACTGAAGATGATGCCGTTCGGGCCAATGTCCTCGAACTTGGAAACGCCGAACTTCTTCAAAAGGAGGGTCTTCAACTGACCCTCTTCCGTTAACCGGTCGGGCCATATGAATTTGATCGCACCGCTACTGAATACCGAAAGCAGCTGTGAGAAAGTACTGGAATACCAGAAAACCAACGTTAATCATGTCTGTCATGTAATTGTACCACAGTGATTGGCTGCTCTTACACAAGCCATGCCCAAGGTTCAGAGCCCATTTAACTCTCGTGCGACGTGTTCTATCAAGCACTGAGGATGTGAAATGAAACGGGATGGTTCGCATTCTTGAACTGTCTCTCCGTGTTGGTGTCCTATGCATCATCCGTCCCAGTTTGGCGGTAGCTACCAATGGCGCCGAGGTGGAAGAGCGTCACCCGAATCGAGGATGCACTTTTCTCTGCGGCTGGAAGAGTGTAGGAGGGCAGCGAGTCTGAGTCTACAAGGGCAAATGGAGACATGAACTTGGAGCGCGTAGTCAGGTCTTTGGGGACGCAGGTGTCGAAGCACATGCTAGCTACCTGGCAAGACGCTCGTGCCGGCTTCATCCTGGCTTGGCGGGCACACGGATCGTACCTAGAATCAACGATGCCCATCGATTTTCACTTATCCTGCAGCGCTTCCGATGAGACTCAAGGCTAGGTGTCTGCTAGTTCAGAGGGTTTGGCGAGCAACTTGATGACTCACGAGTGTCTTTTCATTGTGTTAATGCTATGGGGTGTTGGTGGATGGACGACCCAGTCACGCTTACTTCAAGATCGTCAGGACTATATGGCGTAGAAATTGAACGAACATTAGAGAGCAAAGGCATCTCACGACTCGCGGATGTATGCCCTTCCACATATGACCGTCGGCGGTAAGAGCAGTCAGATCGAAGCTACCTCCCATGATCCACTACATTCACCGCAATCAACAAGTCATTCCAACGACTTGTTCATAATCACCGCTCGACAGGATGTAGGATTTGGAGGCTATACTATCAAAGTGTTACGCGCCAAATTTAGATACTGATATATATATATATATTTATAGGTGCACATGAAGCTTCCTTGATCGTATTCGCAAAGTCTGAGGGACTGCAGCCATTTGGAGTACTTCTGACATTGCAGTTTGCTGGAAGTCGTTCCGCACTGTGATCGCCACAAGACGTGTGATCGCTTTCTTGTGACAATGGTGAAAGTTGTTTCTGTGCGTACGGCTCTCGTTGGAAATGAACACCCCAGCTGGGGAAAGGACGATAATATGCAGCCGACATATCTGCTCTTCATGCGTGCCTTTAGGGGACCATGACGTTTGGGGAGGAAGGCAACGAGCAGGCCCGAGTCTATGACCTCCAAGAATGCCAGAAGATCCTGGACATTTTCAAGTCACACGGACATGACGAGCTGTATGTCTTGTTCCAAGCAGCCAGAACCCACCCTATTGTGCTCACTTTCATGCATTTCTGCCTGCACAACTGGCTGAAGGGACTCGGCGAGGATGTACGCGGACGGTACGACCGAGAAGTACTTGAAAAGGCTCAATATCGAGGCTCAAGGCTTCAAAGTTGCAACGAAGAACTTTCCAAGTGCTCGCTTCCAGAGTTAACCCTTGAAATTCTCCCACTTGTACGACCACACGGCTGCCGATATCCGCAATGCGCTGCAAGAGTTGCTCGACGCTCTAGAAGCCAAACAGATCCCACTGTATTACCTCCACGCTCCTGACCGAGAGACACCTTTTGATGATACAGTGCAGGCGCTGAAAAAGGAGCACGAGCAGGGTCACTATGACCGTCTCGGTATCTCCAACTTTACAGCTGCAGAGGTGGCGAATTTCTGCGACGCCTGCAAGAAGCACGATCTTCCCCCGCCTTCGGTCTATCAGGGCCTTTACAATGCCATTTGCAGGTAAGGACGTTGCCTTCCTTACAGACATATGATATGCAATGCTTAAACAAAGACTGCCGGGATCGCAGATCAGCTGATCCGGAGCTGCTCACTGAGCTTCGGAAGCAGAACATGTCTTACTACATTTACAACCCACTTGGTGAGCACGAAACTTGGAGACTCTTTGGACCGAGTTGAGGCTGACAGATAGCCTGGCCTCACCAGGCGGCGGCTTCTTCGTTGGCCACCTGAGTAATGAGAGCCCAGTCGAGGCGGGAAGCCGTTTCGATCCCAAGCGTGGCCAAGGACAGGCATACCGCGCGCGGTACTGGAAGTGCGTCTTCTCGCGTCAGCCTCATTGACTCTCCACACGACTCTCCACACGATGCCAATCCGTTCTTTTTGCAAACAGCGACGCATACTTCAATGCTTTGGAGAAGCTCAAGCCCATCTGCGCAGCAAACAATGTGACGCTGCCACAAGCTGCTCTGCTCTGCGCTGGCTGCAGCACCACAATGCCCTGTCGAATGAGAAAGGTGATGCGATCATAATTGGCGACAGCAGCACCAATCACATCGATCAGAATCTGAAGGATCTCGAAGGCCCACCACTGCCTACGCCAGTCATTGACGCGCTCGACCATGCGTGGATGAGCGTCAAAGCTGTTGGTGCGGCGCCACGTTACCACTTCTGATGTTGTAGCAATGTAGCCTAACATTCATGCTGGCAGCCAGTGGACAAAACCGAATGGATTCGGATGGAGTGCCGATCGCTTCGATTACACTCTCTAGGATTATTCGTCTCGACATTCAGCGCGCTCTTCGCACAAGCAAGCCAAACATGACCGAAGTGGCAGCAGAGAGCGAGAACCACGTAGCCGCATAAACGGCGTGTTGATTCCTCAACTCGATCGTCGGTGCTCGTCCGACAGGCGCGCCAGCGCTAATGCGAGCAGCCGCTTCGCCCGCATTGCCCGCGAAGATCTCCTCGAGATAGACAGGGATGACAACCTGTTCTGGCTGTTGCTGCTGACCGGTGTAGAAGGATGCCATTTCGTTCGCATTGGCGTGGAACCACTCGTTCTTCTCTGGCTTGTTGGGCGGCGTAAATGCATTGGGAGGGTAGACGCGCGGCAGCAGCGCCAGCACCTTTGTCTGCTTTTGCACATCCTTCTCCGTCGGCATATTCTTGAGTCTGCGATTGCTTCCTGTCCCTTCTAGCTGCGTCTCGGCGACAAAGCCACGGTTGACGAGGAGCGCATCACCATGTCCTTCTGGCCGTACTAAAGGCAGGACGAGGTGGTAGCCTAAAGCGCCTTCCCGGACGCGTGGGCCGACAAAGATTGGTCGGCTGTAGTCGAATTGCCCGTCCACCTCGACGAGGCGAAATGCAAAATCGTCCAAAGCTCCCAGACTTCAGGGGGAGAACACAGCGTAAGGGGTGTCGCAAGGGAAAGTCAGAAGGATAGTGAGATGAGAACGAGCAGTAGCAATAGTATCTCCTGCAGCAACGCGGGACGCACTTTACTTTTCTAGGTAAGCGCATCGGCTCCATCTGCAGCTTATCCTCCAGCTCTTCAATCAAGCTCAACTTCCACTTGAGCCTCTTGATCTGCCAGTATCCCAGTCCAAAGGTAAAAACGGGAATGAAGCCAAGCACGAGTGTGGTGGGTGACTTGTACCATGGCGCGCGCTGGCGGTCCCTCTCTGGCCCACCTGGACTGCCGCGCGCCCGTGACGATTGACCACGGTAGGAGGAAGAATAGAGCGAGTCATATGGCTGTGCATCGGTTCCCGACGCTACTGCAGTGTCCGCTTCTGGTACGTATTCAGGCGCAGGAGGCGGGAACGGAGCAGGCCCAGAAGAATCGGGAGGCGGTGGTGGTGGTGCCTGAGCAAGGAGGCGATATGGGGAGATGTGCAAGTTTCGTCTCGGCTGCTGCCGAAGGGTGTGATTTGATCTTGCCAGGTCAGTCGCACCTGCCAAAGCCTTTCGACACTCGACGCAAGGCGTATTGGACCGACGAAGAGAGGTGCCAGAAAATATGGCTTCGGCGGCGGCAACGGCTCTTAACAGCGACATGCTGACTATGCGCTCATGCAGCAGCATAAGACCAGAGGCGAGGCGAGGCTAGATAAGACGATGCTACCCTGTCCAAGCTGGACTCTCTGGTTAACACATTGAATGTTCCTCTCACCCAGCCAGACGGACCTTCGAAAGGCAGCAGAAGCCGATGGGCAGTTGACGCGCTGACCTAACCGAACCGGAATCTATTTATTTCTTTTTGACTAACATTGCTTTCTTTTTCCGGCAACGGCGAAAAAGGCATCACCCTCAGTGCTCGTCGCAACTCGCAGCGCCAACCCTACTTTCCTTGCGGCGTCACTTTGTGTTCCGCTCATATCCCCGGCTTTGCTGCCCACGTGTAAAAATGATGTCCCTAATGAAATGAACGGTGCTGGCCATCTAACCACGAAGCAGTTCCATAGGCACACACCTTATGGCAACTTGGGCAAGGCTGGTCCTACTTGGTCCGCTTGCTTGCTCGTCAAGGAGTCTCCAACGGCTTATATGTTCTCGGTCTTGCAAAGCCTGCGCTTGCCATTGCTCCGGCCGGCAGGGCTGTACCGGGTTTGTGCACTTCGGTGACGCGTGGACGATTCGTCGACTGACCCAAGTAACAAGCTGGCCTCGGCAGCTCACTGTCGCACATGGCTCTGGGTCGGGATCTGTTCCAAGGCGAGTATCTTTTCAGGGCTGAATAAGGCGCTTGTATTCGCCAGCAGATTTCGACATTTTCCCGTTGAGAGCGCCCCACAGACACCTGGAGCGACAAGGCGACGATATGCTCGTCTACACGCCTATCTGCGCGCAAGCAACCGGTGCAAGTGCATGCGTAGCGTCAAGGTCGACGCCATTCTCGTCGCGTGGCTCGAGGAGATGCTTCACTTGGGCAACGTACTCTCTTTTCGATGGCTTGTCCGGTCTGCCGTCAGCTTCGACTTCGCGCACAAGCCTATCGTTCAGAACACGAAGTCAACGGCGCCTTAGGACCAGTCGACGATACAGTACCAGTCAGGCTTTGATCGGGCATGCCTCCTGGGCATCATGTTGTGGCAGAGCAAGCAGATTTGCAGCGCGAGGCCCTGCTCTATTATATGCACAGTCACGAGCGTGGGACACCGTTCGAGTCTTTTCAACATGGCACAAGGCCCGGCCGCAGAGACGCTTCCACTACGTTGCTTGGCCGTCATTACTATCGACTGCTTCATTACGAATGAGAGCGACCGCGCGCCTATCCTTTCCTATTAAGATGAGCGCGACTGCGACATTCACTAGCACCGCCAGCCAGGGCAAAGATACACCCACGCCTAGGGAGCAATCAATGTCCATAAACGAACTGATGCGCCTACCAGACCTGTTGGAGGAGCCTTTGCGCGTCCCCAAAGACCCGATCGTCCTGTGCCATGGACTGTACGGGTTTGACGTCCGTGGGCCTTTTCTTGGTCTTGAGATTCACTATTGGGCTAAAATTAGCGATCTTCTTCGCAACAAGATCGGCGTAGAAGTCATCACCAAGGGTGTTCCGAGGTGAGTGCAGTCCTCCGCTACAAGGGTGAAAGGGAATGTCAGAGTCCTCTGGTTGACCAGCCCATTTCATTCTAATCCATCAGCACTGGCTCAATCAAGGAGCGTGCTGAAGCACTGCACAACTTCCTCTGTTCCCCAGCCGCGGGTATTCAAGGCCGTAAGGTACACTTCATCGGACACAGCATGGGCGGCCTCGATGCGCGTTACCTGATCTCCAACATCCGTCCCACGCCGGAGCAGTACACACCACTGTCACTCACCACCATCTCGGCGCCACATCGTGGCAGCCCGTTTATGGATTGGTGCAATGCCAACGTTGGCATCGGCAGCGCCTTTATCGAGATGGAGATCGAGAGGGCGCGAAAAGAGGGCTTGATCCCACCACCTAGGAACAACGGGAAGGCGGTGAACAATGTACCGAAGGACGGCTCCAAAAGCGGGTCAGGGAGTGCGCAGAAGGACTCGGCGTCAACGCTCGGCTCGGCCACCTCGCCAACTGATCTTTTCAGCGAGACAAGTACCGATGCAAAAGGATCTTGCGCTGTTGCCGCCGCTGGTGAAGCTGTAGCAGACTTCAAAGCTGAGGCCGATGCTGCAGTAGATCCAGATGAGCACCCTCGTCCTCCGTTTTCGCTCAAGACGCCTCTGCTTGTCCGGCGCAAGGTCAATGATAGTAGCAAGGATACCACCTCAGGCGAGCGCGTGGGAGAGAAGGCAAGCCTGAAGGGCGTCGCACCATTCAAGGGTGATACTGGGGTAGAGAGCCATTTAGAAGGAGACGCCCGGAACGCAGCAGCTGTGGTCCACGCTGCGTCCACCGCTGTCCGAACTGTGGCTGCGCAAATTGACAAAATGCAAGACGGCAATTCGACTGCTGCTCCACCCAGCACAAGTTCCACTGCCGCTGATTCCAAAGGCAAGGTGAATGAAGAAACCAATGAGTTTGCGGAATCGGGAGTGAAGGCGGCTGTCGACAGCTTTCGGGGTGCGTTTGAAAATGGAGGAGACAAGAATGCTACTCGGAGCAAATTTCGTGCCACTGCCGACGTCAGCAAGGCTGCCGCCAACGCTGCGTCTAAGTATCTGGAAGAGGAGAAGAGAGATTCGTCCCCATCTGGCCCTCTGGACCTTGGCGTCTTCTCTCGTCTCCTCACCAGCATCTCTGGCTCCTTCAGCAATTTTCTCCTTTCGGCTGTCGACCAACCAGCGTACGCCATGCTATCCACGCGATACATGTCCACGGTCTTCAATCCGACGACGCCAAACCACCCTGATGTCAAGTACTACTCGATCGCCGCACGAATCCGCAAGCTGCCGGTCTGGCACCCGCTCTGGCTACCTAAGGTCATCCTAGACGCGGCTGCGGAGAGTAGGACGTCAGGTGGTGAAGTCGATGGGAGCGGCGATGCGCTCGGCGGTGACTTGCAGGGCAATGACGGCATCGTCAGCGTCAGGAGCGCCAAGTGGGGTCAATTTCTTGGCATCGTCGAAGGTTGTGATCATTGGGATCTAAGGGGCGGCGGCGCACCTCGATTGGCGGGCAAGATCAACCCTATCACTGGCCGGCCGTATGAAAGCACGAAGGCAGAGGAGGTCAAGTCCAAGGAGGTGAAGGAGAATGGAAAAGATTCCGACGACGAGGAGCAGAGCTGGATGGACATCAATCGCATCTTGCGCTCTTTGCTAGGGTCCAAGAAGAATAATGATGCCAAGGAAAAGAAAAGCCCTTCGACCACAATCAGTGCTGGGCCTTCGTCTGATGGCCAGATGAACCTGAGCACGTCAGCCACAGCTGTGACTGGCGCGTCGCAGCAAGAGCAGCAGCAGATGGCCCCTCCTGCCTCTAAGGACCCTTCCAAATCAAAGCACGACGATGCGACCTTAACTACCTCATTGGAGCATGACGCCACACAGCTCATCACTGACGGTATTCAGCAAGCGCACACCACATCCACCACAGCTGTCACAGGTGTATTGCACGAAGTAGCGGGCTGGATCTCGCAGCGTTTGCCGCAGGGCGATGAGGGGCGCAGGAAGGAGGCGGAGCGCAAGGCCGAGGAGCAGGAGCGATTGACAGCCGTTGCTGAAGATGAGCTTCCTACCGCAGGTGGTGCTCAATGCGATGGCACCACGGGTATGGTAGTCTCGAAGAATGCCCCGGAAGACCCGCTGCATGCGACGATGGCAGGGCTCATTCCAGACGTAAAGCAGTACACTTTGTCAGCAATAGCCGTTGAGGCTGTGGCTGCGACTGCCTCAACAGCAGCCGAGGATGTTTCAAACTCACGGCAATCGGCATTCATCCTAACTGAGACGTCACTCAATATCCCTGCGGCTGCCGCAGACATGACTCGCGTAGATGTCCAGAGTACGTCTCCAATTACCTCGGCGTCGGTCTCATCTACCAGTGCGACCACTGACGGCGACAGTGGCAGTGGCAGTATTAGCATCAGTAACGCGACAGACAACAGCGAGGAGCAGCCACAGGCGAAAGGTGGAAAGCGCGACAAAGGCAAGAAAAAGCTGTCAAAGGGTGACGAGCAACTAGAGATATTTTGGGTGGCTGTATGCCGTCACCTGTGGGCGCAAGGGTTTTAGAGAAGGATGAAAGATGCATTGCAAAGAAATCTTCTTAATGCCGCATGTTACATCTTGCCCCATCACTTTCAAGGTTCTGTAATGGACACGAGCACATGAGCTACATCTGCAAGCCCAGCCTGATCGTGTCGAATGTCTGTCAGGTTGAACATCCTTGCTTTGTGGCGGACTTGGGCTGATTGTAATAGCAGCATTTGGCATTCTCCAATTTTGTCACGTCAGGATTCCCGATCAATATTCTCTCATGCATCAGGAGGTTTGCAATCTCACAAATCGGCAGGGAGGTGGCAACACGACAAAGCCTATCCAGCCACTCGATTAGACTTACAAGCTAGTTGCATGATCCTCTGACATTGAGTTCGACTTCTCCACTCCCGTGATGGGAGTCCGCCGCAACAGGACCAGCAGAAGACAAGCCGCGAGCCGCACGCACATCCCCGAGGCGGAAACAGGATTAAGTGGACGAGCATGTATTTGATTACGCTCATGCGCGACGGTAGCATCAACAAAAGATGTAGGGCCATCAATGAGAGGCAGGTGGAACACTTCCTGCTGGCTCGGGCGATGCAATGTTGCCAGGGAGGGACAGGGAAGGGTCGACTTCGCTCGCCAAGTGGCCACCGAACAGAACCTGACCGTGCTTCTGTTGGTAAGCGTCCATGCGCTCTTCGACATGATCGCGGAAGTGTCGTAGAAGACCTGTGAAGGACGCACAAGCAATGTCAGAATCTGGAAGGGAAGAACTGTCACCACCAGCTGGTACAGCGCTCAATTCACCTTGAACCGGCCACGCAGCGGCATCTGTTTGTGGTAAAATGAGTGTGTTAGAGTGAGAAGAGCAAAGAGGGGTTGGGAGCCAGGAGGAACACCTACCTGCAAGTGCACAGATCGTGTGCCCTTCAAATTGCCTGGTAAGCTCCCAGAGCTACGTAAAAGATATGGGAAAAAGTATATGAGCTTCCTCAGAAATGAGAACGAAGTGAAAGGGTGAAGCGACACACCATGTCGATCTCGCGGTAGGTACCACGGCCTTCGACGAAGCGGTCCATCTGTGATGGGGCGAAGTGCAATGGTAGAGTTCAGCAACCAGTCTTTTCTCGTCGCTTCTGAGATTTCGCCGCGCTACTTGTTCCCTTCTGAAGCAAGGAGACGCGCAAGAGAGGCGTAACTCACCATGTTGGAGACCCAAGTGGTGCCCTCGCGGCATGGGGTGCACTGCCCGCAGGACTCGTGCTTGTAGAATTTGGCGAAACGGGCGATGGCCTGGATGACGTCGGTGCTCTTGTCCATGACGATGACGGCGCCTGTGCCGAGCGAGGACTGGGCGTCACGCAGCGAGTCAAAGTCCATCAGCACCTCCTCGCACCGGTTCTTGGGCAAGATGGGAACGGAGGATCCGCCGGGGACGATGCCGAGGAGGTTGTCCCAGCCGCCGCGGACGCCGCCGCAGTGGCGCTCGATGAGCTCGCGCAGGGGGATGCTCATCTCCTCCTCGACGACGCAAGGGTGGTTGACGTGGCCGCTGATGGCGAAGAGCTTGGTGCCCGAGTTCTTCTCGCGGCCAAAGCTTGCAAACCACTCGGCGCCGCGGCGCATGATCGTCGGCGCCGCGGCGACTGTCTCGACGTTGGCGACTGTCGTCGGGCAGCCGAACAGGCCAACGTCGGCGGGGAAGGGCGGCTTGAGACGCGGCTTGCCCTGCTTGCCCTCAATGGACTCGATCAGGGCGGTCTCCTCGCCGCAGATATAGGCACCGGCGCCCTTGTGGACGTAGACGTCAAAGTCGTAGCCCGAGCCGCAGGCGTTCTTGCCGATCAGGCCATCCTTGTACGCCTCGTTGATGGCTTGCTGCAAGTGCGCCGCCTCGAGGTAGAACTCTCCACGCACATAGATATACGCTGCGGAGAGTGGGAACAGCGTCAGCTAATAAAGCACCTGCGGAGGGCGAAGGAAGAGGCTCTGAGGCGTGCTTGCCTGCTCACCTGCGTTGGCGTTCATGGCCCGACCGGCGACCAAGCATCCCTCGACAAGCTTATGAGGGTCGCCACGCATGATCTCCCTGTCCTTGCAAGTTCCCGGCTCACCCTCGTCGGCGTTGATGACAAGGTAGCGGGGGCGCTTGTCGTTCTGCCAGCCAGGTTTGTTCATGAAGCTCCACTTGAGCCCCGAGGGGAAGCCGGCGCCGCCGCGGCCGCGCATGCCGGACGCCTTCATCTGCCCGATGATCCAGTCGTCGCCCTTAAGGAGGATGTCCTTGGTCCTGTGCCAGTCACCGCGGGCCTTGGCGCCCTTGAGCCCAAAATCATGGCGCATGTATGCGTTCTGGAAGATGCGATCCTGGTCGCGCAGACCGCCATATGCCCGCTTGGGCGCATCGGTCACTGTGGCCAACCCGCGAGCACCTGCTGCTGCAGGGCTAGCGATGCTCTGCACAGGGGTGTTACCGCCGGTGCGGAGGCATACCCGAGCGTTGGCAGCAAGAAGAGCTAGAGATGCAGCCATGAAGGGGCGCACAAGACCGGTGTTAGTGAACGAAACGCGACGAGCGATCAATCTCATCTGGCGAGTGCCGGGCAAGCACGGCGCAAACTCACAAGCACGCTGCATCTTGAGCTCCTCTCTGAAAGCGACAGCTGGTCCTTGCCTGGTCCCAACTCTGCGTGAAGCCAACAAGATGGATAGCAGGTATGATTGGTGGTTGTATTGTAGTGTTAGTTGCACCCAATGTGTGGCGGGCGGCTGGCGTGAGAATCTAATAGAATGATGGATGAGAACGGAGAACGGGAAAAATACAGCAACCCTAATGTTCAAGTCCCCCGCAGCCAATCAGAGCGCGTGCTTTCTTCAGCGCCACCACCAAGCCCGCCACGGCCAGCATGCATGTGGGGGATTCCATTCTTGTGCTCCTCGCACACTAGGACCACGTCGGCAGATGCGTTCACTCTTTGATGGCGAGCAGTTCTCCCTCTTGAGCAGCGACCCTGTCTTTTTCAACTTTTTTGAAAGGGGGGAAATGCTTGCAAAGAGCTTCGCCTTGAATGGAGTCGCCTGAATCTCCTCTTTCGTAGCCGGCAACGTCGATTCGGTGTTGGAACAAGAGTGGGAGCATACAAGGGCGTGAAATCAATAGCGTGGCGGTAGGTATGCAAGTGGGATAGAGCTAGTGCATGTTACAATCAAATGCCATCTTCAGGCTCCACGCTTCATGCGCGTGAAGAGAGGTCGATGACATCGCGCGCCACGCGCGATGTCTTTTCTAAGCCTCTCACGTAATTGTACATGATGGCGAACGGACTGCATTGATTCGCACAAAGAACAAAAGCCCACGGTTAGCACGGCGCTCCACGCCTCTGGCGTCAATGGGTGAACAAGCGCACTACTCACGCAAAAGGCGCAGCGTGCGCAGTGACATTGAGCAAGTACACAGTGAACATCACGTTGCTGTAGATGTTCATGATGATCGGGACGACCATGGTCCACCGCGAGCGCGGCGGGTCGCCCTGCACAGCCATGCCGGCGTCTGGGTCCTGCATTCCGGCCGCAAGGCCGATCGCGACACCGCCAATGTTCAGCTCAATGTTCGCGGGGTGCTGAGCCGGCGCACCTCGACCTACTGCAGGAGCTGGAGCTTGAGCTGGAGCAGGAGCAGGACCAAGACCAACGACGACGGCTGGATCGGGCAGCGGATCGGGCGGCGGCAGCGTCGCGGTATCCAGCATGGGGTTGAGGCGAGCTCGTACGCCGCTTCCTTGCTGCCGTTGCTCAGCTCCCTGCCGCCGCAGGTGACGACGCTGCTTCCATCTCTGCCAATGAGCAGTAGTGAACAGAGCCCCGACCGTGCGCAGCCACTCGTGATCGAACATGATCGCAGCGAGGTGTTGAAGGTTCGGGCGGATCCGTTCCAGGAACACATTCAGCACCACCACCTTCACGACAATTTGAAGCAGGAGTGTTACGGACGCCGTGACGAAGACGAGCGCACCGAGCATGATGGCGAGGCGTACGTACGCGTCCCAGCTGCTGCGCGACGCATCGACAAGCGCAGCCATGTCGCCCGGGCGCACCCGGCCGGTGATCAGGCGTCTGCCGCGCTGGGAGAGGTAGATGTCAAAGCGCGACATCGCCGCGCGGCGCTCGTCACCTAGCAGACCAGCAAGCACGCGGCGGTAGCCCTCGCCGGCGCTGGCATCGGGGAACGTCCAGTCGGCACCAAGCCAGCCATTGGTGTACGTCTGGCGAAACCAGCGCGCCGCCGCGCTTGAGCCCTCGAGAAGCGAGACGAGGTAGTCGATGAACTGTACAATAGCCAATCCGGGCCTCCCCTTCATGAACAAGAACGACTCCATCAGCGACCACGAGCTCGCAGCCGGGCGCATATAAATCGAGACCGGGTAGCCGCCCCACCAGTTGGGCCAGAACGGGCCAAAGACCGCGACTGACGCATGGATGAGCACGAACAGCGCTCGCCCTGCCCAGATGCGTCGTTGGCTGCGTATGGGGATGGGAGCACCGGGGAGGATTTTCGGCAGCGGCATCGGAGCCTGCAGTTCTTCCTCAAGGTAGGCAATCGCAGCGCTGGTAGCAACTTTGACGAGGAGCCACACGAGCTCGATCGCACCGCGCCTGCTAGCGATGACGAGTGTCACGGCGACTGACGCGCGCGCGAGGCCGATAAACATCCTCCCAAAGGACTTGCGCAACGCCTCGATGTTCTCGTGCCAGTATTCGTAGAATGCGTGTAGCACAAGGCGTACGATGCCGAGAAACCCGGGCGGGTAACGCACGGCGACCGATTGCGACGGGTTTCCGTGGCGTTCTTGAAAACGTGCAAAGCTGTGCTGGATTGTCACTTCGCGCATCCCGCGCGCTGCGGCGCCGGAGCGCACCACCAGATCGGAAGAGGACGCATCGGCGACAATGGTGGCCTGCTGTATCAGACGCCACAGTTCGGACGGCATCGGCTTGCGGCTCTTCTCGTTGCTTTCCCCCGCATCCGTCCCTGAGGAGTTCCCGCTTCCTCCAACGGCGTCGCCAACCGTTCCTACGCGCCATCCACGGCGGGCCAGGTGAGCCTCGCGCCAAATTTTCTTGATGTTCGAGCTGATCACCGTGTAGGACCGCAATGCTAGGGGCTGTACTATTCGGTCATCATTGATTTCCATGCTTTCATTCTTTCCTCCGTGTACCTTTGTTTCTGGCCACCCGTCGTCGACTGCGCTTAGATCGTAGTAGACAGGGTCGTCGCGCTTGGTCTCCTGCACGAAGTTGATGGCGTCAATGGATGCTCGTGCGAGAATATCAACCTGCGTTGGACACAGCCGGTAGGCTCTGTTTCCAAAGAAGTCGTCGAACAAGAAGTGCTGGATATGGATTGCCGCTTTGTCATCTGCGAGCGAGATGCGGTAAGGCGGAGGCGGGTCGCTAAGGGTGTACAGAAGCGCCTTCTGCAGCGGCGGGATCGTGCCAATCGCGCGAACCGTATGTATGCTGAGGACCCCGGCCAGAAGTGCTCCCACTGCCACGCCAGCAATGGCAAGTATGACCCGGAGCGGGTGGCAGTTAAGCGCCCAGATCATGACGGAACCGCCACGTGGCGGCTTTAGCCGGTAGCGAAACGAGCACTGCCCGCAAATGTTGGCGCTCGAGGGCGACGTGCTAGTCGTCCGCCAGCGGTAAAGACATTGCGCATGCACCCACTACGGGGGAGGAAAGATAAAAGGGTAAGAGAAGAGGATGTGAACCGACATACAAAGATAAAGTCTGAGCGAAGCGCACTTACCTTCATCGAACCGGCGCAGCTGCAAGGTGCTATAAGAGGTCCGAGGTTGAGCCCATTATCATCAGCCTCACCCTCTTCGCCCAGGCACATCCGACAGACCCTCTCTTCTGCCGCATCTACCTTGTATGGAGGAGCTTTTGGGCCATCGTCGTCAGCTTTTGCTTCGCTCGCCATTTGCGGTTGCGGCTGCGGCCGCTGGGGCTGCAAAGACCTGTTCCTTTGGGCCCACTTGCGGGACCTCAGCTGTTCAGCCTCGATGTTCTGTCTTCGTAGGGCACCGGAGGATGACTCGGAGATGACGCCCTCGCGCTCGAGCTCGACCGAGACGCTGCGATGGATCTTATGGACGGCTGTGCGGGCGGTGGAGAACCAGCCTTTCTCTTGCCTTGGCTTCCATTGTCGTCGCCGTCGCCGCCCCTCTTCTCCATCGTCAAACGGCCCAGCACTGCTGGCTAAGTCGCTGTTGACAAGCTCGCCAAGTAGGCCACCGAGCTGATCGTCGACATCGTCCGCCTCGAGCTCGTCATCCTCAAAGATCCGGTAGCGCTGGGCCCGCTCGGCCAGCTGTTGGGCCAGCTCACGGTCAATGTCTGCGTCTATGCCGGTCTCAGTCATCGTTCTGCCACTAGAGTGGGACCTCCATTCGATCAGGGTCCTCCCTTTCCCTAAGCGGCCCCGCCTTTCCTTCCGTGCCGGTTGTGATCCTGCAGAGCAAGTGTTCGCGTACTATATAACCTGAGTCCCATGGGGATAGGATCAGCCAAGGGGGCAGGCTGCTGGAAGGGGCACCGCCCGGAAGCTCTCGGCCGAGAACCCGAGGAGCACCGCTTTGTCCTTTATGGGGAGCATTTGTATGGGAGATGTTGTATGGTGCGGCGATGGAAATCGGCACAGCCAACCACGACAACGCACATGCATATGCACACGCACACGCCTGAGGCTGCCGCCGCCCGCCATTCCCTCTCTTTGCACCCATCGCTCGCCGCCCGCCTTGCCCAAGCTGGCGTACCTGCACCGGCCCCTCATCTCGACGCGGCTGCCGTCGCCGCAGAGGCGGCCCCGGTTCCGGCTGGTCGGTTCGCCCCTTCCTCCGTATGCTTCCCTCTGGCCCTCCCACCTCTTTGCTATTGCTTCTATAAGGAGCGCTGGTCGCATCGCCGGCGGTGTTCAGCCTCCTCTCCTGCTGGCGACGCACTGGAGTACACCGGGGCGGCAGCAGCAGCGGCACGCTTGGATGCTGTTCACTTCACCCTCTCCGAAAGGCGACGCTGCAGCAGTCGTTGCTAAAGTTGATGAAGAATCGTCCTCTTCGACAGCCTCTCCCGCTTCTCCCCAATCGCCAGTGCACAAGCTGCTGAAACTCGAAAAATCACCCGTGAAAGATCAGGCGGTGACCGTAGTTGGCAGTGCAAAGTGGAACAGTGCAGCGAACCCTGCTCTCGAGGCGGACCTGTCGGAAGCCATCGCACAAGAGCTCCGATCTGAACTAGAATCTTTTACGACAGTAGGGGAAAATGCTACATGGATGGAAGAAACCACAACATCAGCAACATCGAGCAGGATCCGCCGCCCTCCCTCGGCCGTCTTGTCTGATCAACATCCCCCTTACAGCATCTCCCGCTCATCCTCTCCCGCACAGCCCACCAGTCCATCTGCAGTGCGAGCAGGATGGCAGCTGCTGCCGACCGAGTCTCCCGCGTCACCGCGGTCGGTGTCAGCGCTGCAGGTATACTTGCCCTCGGCGGACGATGGCGTCTTCATCCGTAGACCGGGCGAGGCGTGGCAGCCCGTCGACGCACCATGGTACCATGGCAGCACGAGCGGCTCTTCCCCTCCACGTGTGTCGACCAGGAGCTTCAGCAGCACATCTTGCCAGAGCGCCAGCGCGACGCTCAACGGACTCCTGTCTGATCGGACGCTGCCATCTGGCGATGGCCACCAGCAGCCGCAGCGACGAGAAGAGGAGCCATTGAACGAAGACAGCTTGCTCATGAAAGGCCTGCAGTCCGTTTGGGATCGCTTCGCCGGAACTGCAGGACCGCCTGATGTTGATGGCGTCATCCGCACACCTTCCGATCCAAGCAGCCTGAGCAGATACCAGCACGCAAACGCAGGGAGCGAGACCGACGCATCTTCACGCTTCTTTGACACCATCGCGTCGCTGCGGGGGGTAGCGAGCACAGCAGAAAATGGAAACAAGTGGGTTGAAACTCACCGGCAGGAGATCGAATGTGTCGTCGATCGAGCTGAGAGCAAGGCGCAGAAGGAGGGTGCCACCGCCGCCTCCGCTGGCTGTGACGTTGAGAAGGGCCTGGACGTCGAGGGAGGCGAGCACGGAGGGGAGACGATCACGCGTCGGCAATCACTCCTACGTGCGCAGGACACATGGCTGACACCCAAGCTGCCCGTCTGCTTCAGCCATGGATTGTTCGGGTTCGACCAGCTGACGCTGATGCCGTCGGTCACCATCTCGTACTGGCGCGGTGTGATCGAGGCGCTCGAGGCGAACGGGTGCGAGGTACTAGTGTGCCGCGTGCCGATGTCTGCGAGCATCCAGGAGCGCGCGGCCGCGCTCAAGGCACAGATTGAGGAGCGCTTCGCCGGCCGCGAGATCAACATTGTCGCGCACAGCATGGGCGGGCTCGACTCGCGCTACCTCGTCTCGCAGCTGCGCCCGTCGTTCAGCATCAAGAGCTTGACGACGATTACGACGCCGCACCGCGGCAGCACGTTTGCCGACTTTATGCTCGACAAGGTTATCGGGCGTGACAAGCTTGCACGCCTGCTGAGCATGCTTAAGTCAGTCGGTCTACCCGGTGGCGGACGGGCGTTCGAGAATCTGGCCGTCGACGCGATGCACGAGTTCAACAAGCGCGTCCCGGACCACCCAGCGACGCGCTACTACTCATGGGGCGCGCAATTCACGCCGAGCGTCTGGAACGAGTTCCGTATCCCGCACGGCATTATCTACGAAGCCGAGGGTGCCAACGACGGCATGGTTTCCGTCGAGAGCAGCAAGTGGGGGCAGTACCAAGGTACCCTCGACAACGTCAGCCACCTTCAGATCGTCGGCTGGCAGACCGGCGGCGCGCTCACCAAACTCGTCTACGGACCCAACTCAGTTTTTGACGCCATCAGCTTTTACATGCAAATCTGCGAGGATCTGGCGAAAGATGGTTTCTAGAGAAGAGGAACCCGGGGAAGGGGGAAGAAGTTGAGTTGGTTCGATGCTGGAGCATGTCCTTGGCAACTTGTTATGCTTTTTTTTACCATGCATACAATGCTGCCTTGTACAGGCCTTTGCACAGATTGTGCACTAATGTACGCAATGGATTTTCCAGTAGCTCAACGCTTAAACGAAATTAGAACATGGGTACACCTGATTGGTCTCACTATTCAGACAACTGAAAGTGCATGTCATGGAGGATGAGGAAGAGCATTGCAGGCATATATTGATTTTGCGGAACGGAGAGGGCCCAAGCTTGCTCAGATACCCATTTACTACACGCCCTTTAATTTGGTGAATTGTTGCTGGAGGCATTCATGAAACCTGGGACACAAAAAGCGAATCAATTCATCTGATCTAGGCAGATCTTTCAACGCGGTTTCCAGAATGGTGTTCTAGCCTCGAAGATGAGCACCCCGGGATAACCAGCACCGGTTGATGCATACCGCCGCCCGATTGCGGTGTTGGTAAGCTGGGGCACATGTGGAATGCTGACACCAGCCTAGGTCTGGGCACTGAGGAAGGATGACTTTGAGAGATAACGCCTGCCAAGATACCTTGACTCGGAGACTCGAGATGAACACGCTGGAGGCCGAGTGATGTGAATGCACCTAGAGCTTCCTGAAGCCAGCGGCCCCGCTCACAGTTTGTTTCAGCCTATAGAGACATTCTACCTCGAGGCTGTCTGCAGCATCCTGCTGCAGGTGTCCGCTTGTCGGTCTCTTCACTTCAGGCTGACACGAACTGCACAGCTAAACGGCAAATGTGTAGTGTGATATGCACTTTGACAGGCGTCAAACAGCCAGCGGAGGAATGTGGCTCAGCCATCACTTTCGCAGGTGGGTCGCGTGACATTCTACGCTCCCGCACCTACCAGCCAGTTTGCACCACCGCTTGAACCCATACAACCGCCCCAGACCGCAGTCCGCAATCGAGTTAAGTTGCGTCGGAAGCTCCGACTCACGTTTGCGCTAACCTGTATTGATTTACATTGAAGGTAGGCGCCCAAGGCTCCATGCCAGCACGCTTGCTCGCTGCGCTCCCCGTCCCAGTCCCAGTCCCAAATCGCGGCATATGAGGCCCTCAGGTACACCACAGACCAGTACACCATGGCGCATGCGTACCTGTACATACCCGCTCCCCCGTAGAGTTGGCCTGGAAACTATGTGGGCCTGCACCGCAAACCCCCGAATCCCGGTAACTTCTGAGCCCCTTTCCCCGAGAGCTTACCGTAGCCCCGCAAGGGTTAGAAAATTCACCGAGTCTGGTCCACTAGCCCAGTCACTCCGGGAGGTTTGAGCTCCTGGGAACCGCAAGGAAGCTGCTTTTCCGGGCCCTGGTAACCCCCAGATTTGTGCTCTGGAGGTAGAGTGGAAGAGGTTCAATGAGTTCGCCATTTGGCTGGCTAAGTAAGGAATGAACATATAGAGGCTTTACGGGAGGTTGGCGGAGCTCTATTTCGAGTAGCCCCTTCCCAGAAAGGCTTGACAGGGGTTTCCGGGAGGGTTTTATGTATTCAGGGGCTCGGTATTTGCCAGGTTTCCGGCCAACTTTACCCCCCGGTCAATTAATGAGACGAGCTGTCGACGACCTCCCTCGGCTCCTGCCATGGAAACACTGTCTTCGTTTTCTTTCCAGCAACAACAACACTAACACAAACGTTGCTGATTGCCACCCAGGCTTGAGCGCGAGAGCTACGACTGCACGCAAAACGAGAATGTTGATATTATCACTTTGATGTGCGACAGCGTGTCTCCTTCTCACCTCTTCGTAGCGTGGTTGCTTGCGAATGAAATGGTCCCATTCGAATGACCCTGCGTCATTCACCAGCAGAGGCATTCACTCGTGATTAGCATTAACCAGGATAAAAAGGCAGAATATTCAACACGCTGCTATCAACTGCGGAGAGTAGTCAAAAATGTCAAGTCTGAAACTTGATTAATGCAGGATGCCAAAGATACACTTACCAAGACTGAAAGCTGGGACTGTGAGCTCAGGCGCATACCAGAAGAGAATAGGAAACATCAGAAACGGCGGCCGAGTCATTCAGCGCGTTTCCACCGAAGTTTTCCGCACCGCTCTTGCTGGCGATAGAGGATGACCCCAGGACCAAGTGGAAGGGTTGGTGGTTGGTGAGGTGCTACTCTTTACTTGGTTGCTGTCAGGATCTGCAGGACAGGGTGGCGCGAGCATCGGTTACGACGAGGAAGCAAACCTCAGCTAAGAGATAGATGGGCAATGTTTGTAGCAAGAAAACTGTTCATTCACAATCGCCTGGAAGAATCTTCCAGGGAGGTTGACCAGCCCGAGTGGGTTTAAGTACATCGTTGATGCACTCAAGTATCAGCTCGTCTGAGTAAGTCTGGTCCGCGGAATGGTATTGCTGACCGAGGCCAACGTAGTTGAGCTGGCAGACGCCACTGGCAGCCTGCAGCTCGGAGAATATGTTGCCATTGCGAGAGATGTGCAGCTGGTATAGACCGTTTCAGGGCGGCTGGTAAAGTGTTTCCATTGCCCGGGTACTTTTTCGCGGAAATCTGGTCCAAGCTGCTGAACGACATGACACTGGAAGCAGCGGAAAAGAAAGGAAGCCGTAAAGATGGTGGTCTTCATGATGGTCGTTTGGAAGAAAGCGTGACCTGGCGATAGATCGAGACTGTGTTGATGAGATGGGAAGAGGAATTGAATGTTCTGGGGATAAGGGTAATACGCAGAGTTTGGCACCAAGACGTAGCTCCCCTCTTTTAGAACCTTCCGTTGGCCTTCTTGCATGAACCACTCGTTTCGAAGGCAGAAGCAGGGTCTCAGGCAGTCAGAGGGACGAGCGATGGAATATGAAAAGACTAAGGTGAAAAGGCTCAGAGCTCCCCGGACGGATGGTTTCTGGTAATGCTGGTGGGAACTACAGTCTCGAAGATAGCGTTTGTGCCAGGGTTACAGGGCCAAGCCGGGTCAAGCTGAAGTGCTGTTTCCGCGCCAAGCCTCCGCGGCTCCGCGGAAAGTTTATTATGGCATGGGTATCGTCGCATTGCAAGCCGGGATTGTGAGGAGAGCTCTCTATGTCGAAAATCTAAGGTCTGCGAGATGGTGAGAGCCACTGGCGCAATAAAACCCTGCACGGCCCTCTCCTTCGATATTCATAGCAAAGATGTTTGGTTGCACGTTAGCAGGGAGGCGCTGCGTCATCCGAACTGTAAAAAGCGCGAAAACATGACTGCCGGCAAATTGCTGGGCTGAACGCGGGCTTATCGCTGTTTTTGCAAAGCAACATCTCGACGCTCGTATGTACATGTATCGAACGGGATGATGAGGGCGCTCTCGGGCCAATGCTGCACCTTTTAGATGTTGTGTGATAGTCCCATATTCCCATTGCGGAAGCTCCGACATTCATCGCGAAATTGCGCCTGTGTCACATTCTGTCTTCACAGCTCCACAAACGTGGCAGGGCCTGCAACGGCCGCAGGAGAGGCGGAAGACGGCTGCTGCTGGACCCCCGTACACTCGAAAAGAGCGCAACACACCGAATTAATCTGCAATAAGGAGAACACGACAGTGCAGCCGTTGTGCAGCCGATGCAGCAGAGTCAGCCCCGCACTCCCCAAATCAGTCCCAGCTTGCCGTTTGCACCCATGCTCTCTAACGTTTCAGCCTGCTTCACCTCATGACTGACCCCTTTGGGTTGCAATCATGCGAACTACTGGGGCCCTCTGATGATGCTTCCTTCAGAACAAAGCGTCATTTCATTGAAGAGCGAGAGACTAGCTCGACCCTTGGGGCCCAGGTAGCCATGTATGTCCTTGCGCTAAGACACGAGCCTCCAGCTTGAACGGGCCAACTTCACCTATTCATTATGAACTGCTGCAGCATTCGGTGGAAACCGCTGCGAATGGTGACCGGGATGAGCAGATGGGCGGATGTAACAAAAGCTTAAACGCTGGAGCGTTGAAAACTCGCTCAAGATCTCACTCAGATCTCAGATCTCAAATGAGAGCTTATCGCTCATTATCAACGTCAACGCTCAACGCACTCAACCCCCAAGCGCTCAATGCGTTCACCCTTGGCTCAATGCTCGACCGTGCTCGATCCTCTCAGGGATAAAAACATTGGAGCCTACTCTGAAATTGCCAAGCAAAGGGGAAAATGGGTTGAATAGCTGGACTTTGGTGGTAGGAAGCTTAGAAGCGCCAACAGCGTCACTATCATCGCTTGAGAGCTCTTGCGAATGATGCAGTCACTTCCCAACTCTTTATCTCCGCGCGTAGCCGTCCTTGCTCCCCACTTTATGCAATTCCCGTGAAGCGGCCAGTGGAAGGTAAAGGGTGGTCTCTTGGGAAGCAGGGCGACGGACATCCGGAGCTAGCTTGGAAAGATCTGCAATGTCACGTGGAAAGTTGGCGCTGCATGAGGCCTCCCCACGCGCTGCACTGAGTAGGACCTCGCTGAAATGCCTCCTCCGAATACTCTGGACGATTACAGCACAGCTCCCTCCACGCGGACTATGTCATCCTCAACTTGCCCGTTGCCGACCGCGAAGAACCAAAGCCGATCTGCTTTGGTTGTACAACTTTCATCGCCTCTTCATAGTTGAACCTATGCAGACTGCGAGACAGAAGCTGCGAAGCGTATACTTCCAGGAACTTCATCGCGCAAGTTTCTTTCCCGTCTGGCAAGGCCACGTTGGAAACCGGATGATCGGGGTGAGGTGCTGCAGCGTGCAGAGAAACAAGCGGGCAAGCAAAGCACTGTGATGTCCCAGCGACGAAGGCGCGACCGCACAATTGTGGCGGTGTGACCTGCTTGAATACATTATCGATACTATTACAACAATCGTTGGCGACCCAAATATGGTGTCACGCAAGGAAAGCGAGCCACCTCGTGTGAAACGTACGCAACGCTTTTCTCCCATTCGCTGCAGAATTGCCACCATCGTTGCATCCTTCCAAAAGCCCATGGGTCACCCTCGACGGCTTGTAATCGTCCCACCGGTAGCGGACGGAGCACACTTCCTCCTGCAAGGCCTGCCACTCCTCGATCATCTCTGGTTCCAACGAGCATGTCCGAACTAGGATCCACTTAACTTTGGTGGACGATGTTGCTGCTGCTGCTCGTGAATCCAACGTCACCGAAGGATCGTGTTTCCTTTCCTGAGCCTTCTTGCTCGCGGGAACAGTGGCCAAAAATATGCCCGAGTCGGTGCTGGCGCCATCGTCTTCGAGGTCCATGCGCATCTCGCTGAGCGGCTGCATGTTGCGCACAAATGCCACGCAACGGCCCTGGGAGGTGAGCAACGAGATGCGCTCCAGATTTTTGGCTCGTGTCGAAAGCTTGTTCGCGACGTTTGGCGAGAGTGGCATGTCCGGCATGCCGCTCCCGAACGTAAACGGGTTGTTCATCAGATGTGCTGGAAGCTCTCCATTCAAGCTCTGCAGGACAAGTCGATGGATACGCCCAGTCTCCTGTGCTGGATCGGATGTATCTTTCGGACTGCTCCAAATGAAATGCCGCAGATTCTGCATCTTCGATATCTCGTCTCCATCTTCCACCGCAAGACTCGTGTCGATGAGGTGCAGCTCGATGACCTTGTTAAATATGGGGGCAGAGAATGCGCCGACGAACGAATGCGGGTTGACGCAGGTCAAGCGCTTTGGTTGGCACGCCGTTCCGTAAGCAAAGGCTGCGTCAGGAACACATAACCCTCCTGAGAGCGCAAGATTGTCGACTTTGCGACATGATCGCAAGATGAATTTTGTGTACGTATACACTTTGTCTCTGAGGTTGACTGAGCGGCACATAACGGACTCGGGAGGAGCCAGGGCTGAGAGCAAATCGGAATCGAGCTCTGTTGGGCCTGTTGAGGCAATGGAATCATAATTGACTTCAGTGGCCTGCAAAACGGATTGGAGTTCGCCGGTACCTACTCACCAATCCATAGCGACTTGACCTTGCGCCCAAATTCTGGGCGACTACGCAGCAGGGAAGCGAAAGCATCGATCGCATGGGCAGAAGAGAGAGTCACTTTTGCGTACACATGTTGTGACAAGCGTTCGTAGATGTCTCTTGAGAGGGACAGCAACTTGGGTCCGACCTGTTGGTCGACCGATGCGAGCACGAGGATCTGAAAGAAGATTTCGTACGGCAATGTGCTGGCTTTTGATACGGGCACGTCCTGCCGACGATTTTGAGATTGGGTGGCGGACTTGCTCCTATTGTTCAAGTCTGCCGCAGGGGCCCGAGAGAACAATGCGGGAGTGGGTGACATGGGGCTTTTACAGCCAGGAGCAAGTCACCCATGCTCAGACGAGGCTATCCGACAGCGTTTGCAATGGTTAGCTAAGTTCCGGATAAAGTATGGTTGGCCGCTCAGCTTGGAAAGTTGGTTACCTACAGTCCAGACTAATCGATCAGTCCAAAGAGTCAAGCACGTGAGCTCTCTTCACATGTGAGAGTGTTCACGCAAGGAACTGGCGCACAACTCTCAACTTAGTACTCAGCATTTCGGCCACTGTAGTATCAACTTCGCAGTCCACAACCCTAAGATCCTCCTGCGGGGTTTGAATCTGATTCAAATGACCCCCCAATCGGTCCTGCATCGAACAGAGCGCATACGACTTGTTCATCTACACACTACAGTTACGGCTTAGTTGATTATTGGCAGCCTTCTGCCTTCATTTTGGGAGTTGGGCATGGAGGCCGAGGCCATTTGGTGGTCGCCCAACCTCTTGGGACCTTCGTCAGAACCTGAAATGAGTGCATATACATCCATAATGCTGTTCGTGATGCGAGTGGTGTCTTTGGGTGGGAAGGAAGGCAGGGGAGAACGATAGAAGACGACGATGGAGGACGAGGATACGCTAGGCAAGCAATTTTTATTGATATGACGGGAGGTGAGGTGAGAATCAGTTGTGGAAGCCGCACCATTACATCTATGTTGCAAATCTTTTTTCTATGCATTGCAAAAGCAACCATACTGTTACTCAATAAACTGATGACATCAGGGACGGCTGGCGATTGCAGCTACCAATACTTCTCGATTCTCGAGACATGAAAACAAGTTCGGACTTCGGAGCTCGATAAATCTGTTGACGCCTATGATATATGTTACATATACGATGTTTCATCGGGATGCTGCCACGCTTCAGATGCGGCACCAAGAAGCACGCCCTGCAGCCCTTTAAGCGTCATGTGTCGTAGTCCGGATGCCATCGTGGGGCGCTTTGCTGAGACTGTCGAACTTTTGCCGGTCCAACTCAGACGTGATGCTGCAATCCTGCTGACCTTGCTCTTGCAGCTGCTCTTTGACAACGTTCGCAGCATCTGCATCGTTGGCGATTTGCATTGGACCCTCGCGCCAGCGCATCAAGATAATGATCACAGCCGACATGAAGCAGAATGCGGCGCTAACGGACCAGCCCATCACGTAGTGTGGCTTGGTGCGGTCTCTGGTATAGTTTGGACGAGTCAGTCTTTTGCTCGCAGCGCTGACCACTATGTTCCACTCACGGCCAAAGGAATGACCCATAGACGGAAGAAAAGTTGCCCAACCTAGAAAGCATTGGAGGAGAGATAATCATCAGCATGAAAGTGGGTGGGTTTCCGAGAGCGTCTAGACTGACGAGTTAATGATCGCAATCGCCACTGCTCTCTTCTCTGGTGGGCTCCGAATAATAAGCGTTGCGAACGAGAGGAACACAGGAAGGGCTGTCCAGATACCGGCAGCGACAAAGCACAAGACTGCAAAGCTTGCTTTGGGTGGAATGACTGCAATCAAAAGAGCGATTAGGATATGAGATTCGAGCGAAGCCTAGCCGTCATTGATCGCCACTCACTTGACGCTTGCACAATGCACATGAGGCCCGCAAGGGATATGAATGCAGTGGCGTGGAAAGCCTTGTCGCGGAAGTAATCCGAAGAAAAGTTGAACGTCACGCTAAACACGAACGCGACGGCGTAAGGGATGGAAGAGTACAGCTGTGCATCGGTCCCTTTGTAACCGATCTGGGAGACGATGGTGGGGATAAAGTAGGAGATGGTTCCTGGGGGGCAATTTATGCGTCAGATGAGTCCATCGCTTACAAGACACCTTTCAGTCTAACTCACCAGCTCCCGCAATGCCCATGTATGCGACCGTCAACGCCTATGCAAGAGACTGACGGTCAGCCAGAGCAATCGCGCCAGTAGACGGCTCGAGCAACGCACCCAAGTTTTCCAGTCAGCGACAGCCATGAAGAAGGCTTTCTTGTGCGTGATGTCCCGGTCGACATGGCCCGTACGAGCGGCATCGCTCAGTATCCTTTTGGTTGCAAGAGCCCTTTCTTCGATTGTCAGGAACTTGGTGTCGCTCGGGTAGTCTGGGAGGATGAAGAAGGCGCACAGAGCGACGAAAATGGTGCAAACACCTTCGATGATGAACAGCCAGTGCCACCCTGCCACGCCGGCCAAGCCTTGCAATCCATTAATGAGACCTCCAGCCAGAAGACCGCCTGAGGGTGGTATGCGTGGGTTGAGTACGTAATTGCATGCACTACGGCACGTATTGGTAAGCTCACCGAATGCCCCACTCAGGATGGATGCTGAGTAGAAGATGGCAAATCTAGCAAGTGTACCAGGCGTCAGCAGCAATCGAGATAGACTGGAATGAGCGAGAGTCTACCTTTTGGCCGTTTCGCTGGGCTTGTACCACGAAGACAAGACGAAGAGAACACCCTGCAAGCACAAAGGCAGTGAGCGCGAGCGCGGATAATCTGGTTGGTAGGGTGAACATGCGGACTGACGGGAAAGAAACCAGACTCAACGATACCAAGCGCCTGTGTACCGAATGGGCGCAGTCAGCTGTCTTCCGAAGACTGGCGACTAGCGCGAGAGCCAGCTGCTGCTCACAAAACGAAGGCCAACGAGGCTGCCAAGGTTGTGCACACCACGGAATGCGACGGTGAGACAGCCCCAGATAAGCATGATGGCGGGCAAGAAGAGCGATGGACGGGTCCTCGACAAGATCATGTTGGACGGAATCTCGAAAAGCCTTCGAATGGCAGGCAGAGAGTCAGGCCTGAATTGGTTTCGATGTAGGTGCCAAGGTCCAACTCACAGGTATCCCACGAAGAAAATCAGGCTGCAGGTCAGACGTGGATGTAACATGGTTCAACCAAATCCTGATTGACAGAAGCGCACAACGATACACCCGAGCAACGCACAGGCCTAGCGAGTATCCGGTTGAGTTTAGGTTGAGGTCCTGCTGCATTCCACCGACTTTTGCGTTTCCGATACTGAGAACGGAAGCAATCAACACCATGTTGGCGATCAGCAACGCCTTCGCCACCATCTCATTTGAACAAGTATTTTGGCTTACTTTGTTCGGTCGATCTGTGAGCACGTCGCAAGAATGTCAGTGGTCTCACTCTCGCTCGAATTCAAAGGAAAAGAAGTGTCATTCACATAGTTTAGGACGTCTTTACGAATGATGTGGCCACGGAAAGCAAAATCGCCAGTCAAACTGTCTGCACATGCCAATGGTCGCTCGTCGCCACTCCACTCACACATCAGCCACAGGATGGGCATGAGCCTCAGGTCAATCTTACGTACGAGTCTCCGCTCCGCATCGCTGTTGGGCACGTACGGCTTCCGCCATGCCGCCTGGCCCTCAGGCGTTGAAAGCAGCTTGCGCGTCTGCCTGGAGACCGGCAGACCGTCAAAAGTGTCACCGACTTCGAGTGCGGGCGCCGTTCCACATCCCGGGGCGGCGGTGTTCTGCGATAGCATGCCTCGAATGCCCATTGTAGTGTGCGTGCTTGTGTGTGTTCAGCATGCTCTGGGGTTGTCGGGCCGAACACAGTCGCACGTCTTGCAAGTTCGAGAGGACGGCAAGGGCTGCGATGTTGCGGGATATAGGATGTCGTATATAATTCCCTGCTGCTGCAGGTGATGATGATGATGCTCCTACTGCTGCTGCTGCTGGTTGACGTAGAAGCCGAAAGCAGGCATAAGGAAGGGCTGCTTGGATGAACAGGCTTGCTTGTGTTATTGATACAATACAATTTGAGCGATTCCCGCTTGGTGCCTTGACGAACGCTGAACGTGCGAGCGAGAGGCGCCAAGGCAACGGTGCTGCATACGCCACGGCTCGAAGTAAAGAGAAGAGAGCCGACAGCAGCAGCGCAATGTAAGATGACCCCCGTTGCCTCGAGCCTCACAGTCAACAATCGACCGCCTGCGCCTCGTCGCACTCTGGAGACCGGCAGCCATCCCATGACGACGCGGGGAAATAGGAGTGAGCACGATATGGGCATCATCAAATATCGCCGAGCATGATGCCTTGACGTGGGGGAGACTCTTCGAGTCGCCTACATGAAACAGCTGGCACGCTAAACGGCGACTCACCGCTCTATTCCGTAGCTAGTTGAGTACATACTTTTCAAGCGGAACCGAATGTTGCCTTTCACTTCTCATAGGCATGACTTTAGCGAGCGCACATCCTGGCTGTGACTCTATGGGGACAGTGGATGACCATGGGCGAAATCATCCCCGCTAATCTCCTAATCTCCCACAGTCCGCACATAATGCATATCTGCCCAACACATTAAATGGAAGCTAACGATGAGAGCTCGGCTCCAGGGCAGGACTTGTATCAAGTCAAGGGTTCCCTGCGGTCCGCACGAGCCTGCAGGAGGGCGTAAAAATACCTGGGGAACCATGTGACGGGGCGACAGCCAGGCACGGGAACTGATGACGGCGCGCAGCATTTGCAGGAGAAAAGCCTGAGCGGAATCAAATCACTTCGGAGGTTCCCACGCTTCTTGGCACTGGGGCCCCGGTTACATATCAACCCCGTTCATCTCCTAGTCTCTTTGCTAGCAAAATGCAGTTGGAATGCCCAATTGGCAATTGCTATGCCCGACGTCGTGCATCTTGCGCAAGGTATATAGTGCCGCCTTGAGTTCACAGACTGGCTTACACATGTGCAGGCTGTATACATATGTATTTGGTATTCTTCCAGCTGACGGCCATCTGATGGAGGTTGGCGAAATCGTTGCTTGCGAGTGGTTGTTCTGTCTGTGATCAGTTCGAACCAGCTGTCGAATTCGCTGGGTCGTAGACATGCCTGGGATAATTGAACTGTTTCTGATCTGCGCACTGTAAGGAGAGAGCGAGAAAGGTACGTATAAAGTGTACACTGTACTACATGGCAACATGGATCATCTCGCGACTGATGGCCAGCTTTTCCCAGAACACGAAGAAATGCACCGTCAACGCAGGGTAGTAGGCGCTGATGGATGTTGCTAATACTTGGCAGATTGCTTCTTATCACCGAGTTGGCTCGATACAGCTCTCTGTAAGCAATTCGGTGCGCAGCCTTTGATGAGATCCTCTGTCTTCGTCAATAAAATTTCCCTTTTCAGCACAGCCGCCCGAGCCGGCCCGACTAGCCGAAGGAGGTGGAAGCAACAAGTATATGGTGATTGCGTGGCGCTCTTCCCTCGAAAGACTTTGCCTGCTTGAGGCGTCCAAGGCGTCAGACGGTCAGCAGAGTATGCTGCATGCTCCTTTGGATTGTGCAATGGTGCATTCCCTTGTCACCTTTGAGGATGACTGCAGAGCACTCTCCTCCTTCAAGGCAGGGGGCATGCGCACGCGAGCGCGGCCCATCGCTCGCATGTGCTTTGGATGATCAATGGTCAGTGATTTAATACCGCTGCTACACAAGCTGGTGGCCTTTTCCCCTGCTCCGTCGTCCTGTATGCTTCCATTCACTCCTTTGAGGGTTAGATGAATGATCGCGGTGAGACGGGAGAGAGACGAGGCGGTGGCGCGTTCTCGTACGAGAGAGCCGGCATATGGGTGACCAGCAAGGACCGGCAAGGCAGCCCCCAACGCGGCACTGCGCCACTGTCGCATAGTCGCTTTCTTCGCGCACCCGCGCTCTCTCACCGATAATATGCGGTGATCGATGCATCTCTCGAGTCCAACGACATACAGAAGTGCACCATCGTGCACTCGTCTCCCATGCTTGCATCCACAGGCATTTTGCATCGTACCAAACCGAGCGAGCACCTGTGGGGCCGCTCATATTGGTAGGGGCAGCGCTTACTGGTATCGAAGCCCTGGATCCAGCCGTCTCAGGCAACGGATCAAAAAGAGTGAGCAGCATCTTCCGGAGCGATCGCGCAGCAACGCCCAGCCATGTGAGTTGTCTGGTTCTTGCGACGTGGCCTTGCACCCGCCCATTCTCACTCATCATTATCCTCATCCGGATCTGCATCGGACAGGCCGCGCTTTGAGGACCATCTGCCAACCAGGCCGGTCGATCGCGACAAGGCGGAGGCCGAGCTCTCGCTCAATGTCAAAAAGGCAACCTCGCCCGACGAGACGGCGCCGAAGCAGAAGCATGTCCGAAGTGAGCGCATCCTCCATATCAACGGAGGGGTTAGCGGCAAGTTGTATTAGGAAGCTCACATATGTCCCGGACATTTCTTCTATCGCGCAGAATGCATCGTCTACACCTGGGATTACCACAGCTCGCAGTCGATTTGGGCCAGCCTTCGCGTGCAACCCATCCTCGGCGACGAGGTGCAGACCTTCAAAGCTCTCATCCTCGTCCACAAGGTTCTGCAGGAAGGCCACCAGATCGTCCTTAAAGAAGCGCAAGAGCAGATCGGATGGTTCGAAACGTGCTCCAGGACAGTGGGCGGAGAGAGCGCTCGCGGATACTCCACTCTGATCCGCGCCTACGTAAACTTTGTCCTCGCCAAGCTTCGGTTCCATCGGCATCACCCAGAGTTCAATGGACTCTTCGAGTATGAAGAGTACATTTCGCTCAAGAATATCGACAATCCTGATGAAGGGTGAGTCGGTCGTGCTGAGGGTCCCCCTCCCTTTCCCGGAGGGGGGTGGGGTGGGGTGGCTGGCTGGAGGGCTGACCACACTGCCGCTGACGTACACACATTCAGCTACGAGACGATCGTTGACTTGATGGAGCTCCAGGACCAGATCGAGCAGTTCCAAAAGCTCGTATTTGCCCATTTCCGCGGCTCGGCGACTAACGAATGTCGCATCGCTTCTCTCGTGCCGCTCGTCAAGGAGTCGTACGGCATCTATAAGTTCCTCACATCCATGCTCCGCGCGATGCACAGGCGTACGGACGCTATGGATGCGCTCGAGCCGCTTCGGGCAAGGTACAATCACCAGCATCACAACTTGCGAAAATTCTACTACGAATGCGCAAACCTCAAATTCCTCACCAGTCTGATCAATGTGCCCAAGCTAAACCACGTGAGCTTGGAGACTTTGTGGGAGTTAAAAAGGGGCTTCACGCTGACTGCCCTTGTTTTTGTACCACCAGGACCCGCCAAACCTCTTCGACAGCCCGGATGCCCCATCGCTCCCCACGCGTCGGGCCACGCCGCCGCCGTCTGGGCCCTCGCAGTCCGAGATCGACGAGCAGGCGCGGCTGCTAAAAGAGTACGAGGACAAGCAGCGCGCCTTGAAGGACCAAGAGGAGGCGGAGCGGAGAAGGCAGGAGGAGCTCAAAGCACGGCAGGCCCGCGAGTTCGAAGAGCAGCAGCGACTGCAGGCCGAGCAGCAGAAGCAGGCGCAGGATGCGCTGATCCGCGCGCAGATGGAACACGCCGCCGGTGGGCGGATGGCCGAACTGGAGCGCGAGCTGCTGGCGATGCGAGGGCAGTACGAGCGAGATCAGTTGATGCTCGAGCAGTACGACCGCCGCGTCAAGGCACTCGAGATGGAGATGGCCAACATTGGTGCCAATGTCAATGCGCAGCTCGCCAGCAAGGACGACCTGATCCAGCAGCTGCAGGAGCAGGTCAACATGTGGCGCAATAAGTACGAGGCGCTCGCGAAGCTGTACAGCCAGCTGCGGTCGGAACATCTGGACATGCTCGGCAAATATAAGCAGCTCCAGCTAAAAGCAGGCAGCGCACAGGAGGCGATCGACAAGATGGAGCGCATGGAGAAAGACGTCAAGGCGAAGAACCTCGAGCTGGCGGACATGATCCGCGAGCGCGATCGCGCGCGCTTCGATCTGGACCGCATCAAGGCGACGCAGAAGGAGGAGTTCGACCGCCTGAAACGCGACCTGCAGTTCGCTAACGAGCGCGCAGAGGACGCGGCGCGGTCCAAGAGCTCGGAGATGTCGACAGTGATGCAGACGCTCAATCGGCAGATTGCCGAGCTCGAAGACGCGCTACGCGACAAGGGCCGTGACTCGGAAAGCCATCTGCGCAAAGTTAAGGATCTGGAGGACACCCTGGCGCAGGTTCGAGAGGAGAAGGACGCAGAGATCGCCATCCTGCAGGAAGGCATGGACGAGACGATCAAGCAGATGAACGGTTTGCAAGTGGTGCGTTTGCCCCTTTCGGACGGTCATCGGTGCATCGGCAGCTTGGTACTAATGCCTCATCTGGGCTTATTTCGTTCCGTAGAATCAAGGCATATCCGAAGAAACTGTCAACGCGCAACTAGACACCATCATCCTCGACAACACCAAAAAGCTGAACGGCATCATCGACTCGATCCTGCAGGCTTGCGTAGAAAAGGTCGACGATGCCCTGTACGAGCTCGAGTCGCCGTCTGCCAGCGGCAACAACACTGCCACACCCGAGTACGTGCTGTCGATGATCGAAAAAGGGGCCAATTCGATCGCAGAGTTCGCGACCACCTTCAGCCTGTACCTGACGCAAGAGGCAGGCGGCGAGCATGTTGAAGTGATCAAGAAAGCGAATCAGTTCGCGCAGACTAGCAGTGACATTCTCGTCTCTGCAAAAGGCATCACGCGTCTTGCACAGAGTGACGAGGCAGCAGACCGGATCGTCTCGACCGGGCGTTCGACCGGCTCCTCGTTGATCCGCTTCTTCGAGTCGCTCCAATCGTATCGACTGGCGGGCGTCGGCCCTACGCAGCGCAAGGATGTCGTCGCACGGCAGATGATGGAGGTGCGCCAGGCGCTGTCTTCCCTGTCCACTGTCGTGGAGGGCATGGTCAAGGCTGGCAACCACATGCTCGCAAATGCCAATGGCGACATTGGCGACATCGTCGAGCGCGAGATGCTCAATGCAGCCAATGCCATCGAGCAGGCTACGCAACGGCTGCATGTTCTGCTGAGCCGGCCCAAGGACTCGTCGCGCTTCTCGAAAACCGAACTCGCTGTACACGACGCGATCCTGGAGGCGTCCCTGGCGATCACCAAGGCAATTGGGGGCCTGATCAAGGCTGCTACCGACTCGCAGCAGGAAATTGTCGCTGCAGGCAAGGGCAGCAGCACGAATCAGCAGTTCTACAAGAAGAACAACCGCTGGACAGAGGGCCTCATCTCGGCTGCGCGCGCCGTCGCGTTCGCGACGACGATGCTGATCGAAGCAGCTGACGGCGTCATCATGGGCACTCACTCGCTCGAGCAACTCATTGTCGCTTCAAACGAGGTCAGCGCCGCAACGGCGCAGCTCGTCGCGGCGTCGCGCGTCAAGGCAGAGTTTATGAGCAAGACGCAAGACAGGCTCGAACGCGCCGCCAAGGCCGTCACGGATGCGTGCAAAGCGCTCGTCAAACAGGTCAAAACGATCACAGACAAGCAGATGAACGGCCAGGAGGATACGGACTATTCTACTATGGCCATTCACGAGTTCAAGGTCAAGGAAGTGAGTTTCGCCTCACGTCCACCCGACGAGGCTTCATTGGATTATGCTGCTGAGCTCATGCTGATGCTTGCGGCCCCGAATTTTCTCGCTCACTCTTCTACTCAGATGGAACAACAAGTGGAAGTCCTCAAGCTCGAAAAGGAGCTCACGCAGGCTCGTCGCGTGCTTGGCGCGATGCGTCGCGCTGGATACCATGCAACGGAGGACGACGATTAAAAGCAACAATCGCTCTGATCTTTGCCCGACAGAAGGGACCTCGCAAAGCGTTGATGACGTAGTTGACGTCCCCGCTGAGACCCGCTCTGGACATTTCTGTATTGCATCCATTTCGAGAAGCTTTATACATGACCTCCCAACGGAAACTCGGTGCTCAGCACAAAGACGCGAGCTGCTCCCAATCTGCATGGCGCTGAAGATGCCCACTTGATCGGTGACTCGCCAATACGGAGCTGATCCGGCTTTGAGCCTCTGCGATACATACAGTCACAAGGCAGCCTTGGGATGCACATCTCTAGGTTCCTCGCCAACATCCACGATTTCCATGGCGCCGTCGTTTACCAGGAGGGATTTGAGAAACTCGCTACGGGTGCCACCCTGAGCCGTCGCACGGACCTCGAGGAACCCAAAAACACAATTCGAGCCATTGGATTTTGAATAAGCCTTGCGCGCGACGATCGCCATTGCCGATGAGCCAAGCTTGGAAAGACACAACAAGCTTACGAACCACTGGTTAATAGCGAAGGGTGGAAGGGACGCAGGCCCAAGAAGCTGATTGCACAAGCTTTCCTCCGACTCGTATCGACTGGAGCCGGACGCTCTAGTAGTCTGAGGTCTGGACCTTCCATATTCTCCTCGGCATCACCATCGGAATTCTCAATGCCCTGTGGATGCTCATCATCTTCCCTACTGGCCGCTTCATGCAATACCATAACTGGGTCTCCGCACTCTGGACCCTTCGCGTCCTTGACCACCGTGGCCAGCCTGTCTCCAAGGCACACTTCAATGCCCTACCAACGGTTGCCCTCTGGATCGCTGAGCACTACAGCACGTTTGCAGACGGTTTTCTAGGCACCCTGACCGGCACGAAGGCAGTTGCGACTTCCAAACTTGGGACCAGCGTCATGGGTCGCATCTTCGGGCCGTTACCCTTTCTTCAAACGCCACGGGGTACCCCCTTTCACGCTCACTACCAGAGTGACTAGCCACGCAGGATGACCAGAACAAGAGTCTGGTCATCTTGCCGTAACGCATCATCAGCATGACTCGGACGCTGACGCGCCACTCCATCTCTCGACGTTCTAATTTCGCCGTCGAAAATGACGAAGACTTCCATATCTACCTGGTCTTCGCGAACTACAGCTATTCCGCACTTGTCTCTTCCGAAAGATGGACGCTAACTTCCTCTTTGAGCTCCTTCTCAGCTTTGCGAAGCCATTTGGAACGGTTTCTTACAGCATCTTTTGTGCAAGGAACAGTTTAGATCCTGAAGCATGTTGCAATGCCTTGGCCCGCACTCCTTGTCGGCGTCAAGGAGAAAGACCAATGTACGTGGATGATCAAGCTTTCCTTCACAGCGCATATCGCCATGACGAGGCTCAACCCATGACCGCCATCCAAATACCCTTGGGCTCGCCGCCATCTTCCCCTATAATTTCGACGAGCCAGTCAATATCGACATCGGTGCGATCATGTACCTCGTTCGGTGGGAACTCCCGACTCTCATGGTGGTCGACAGGAGCTCATTCACAGGGTTCGGCATAGTGCACGTCGTCAAGCTGCTTCCCGGTACGCCGTGGCCAATTTGCGTGGTCCCGGGTTGACCCCTGCTGAATCGGTAGCAACTGATTATCCTCTTGTGCGCAACAATTATTCCTTTCCCACAAGACATTCTGCGTTGGTCTCCTTGATCTAGACTACGCAAGAATGCTCAGCCGACGCTGCCACTTTCCCAACTACATGCATGTTGTCCTCGTGCTCTTTACTGTCTTGACTGGACTTACGCGGATGCGCCTCGCGCTGGATTGACTGATCGATAGCGCCACTGGCTAGTCTTTCGGCTTGCTCTAGGGATGGATTCGGGCGATGCACATCGAGGTCCAGTACACGGCTTCATCCCGGTTTGTGCAAGTTGGAGGGGGCGTGGCAGCGACCTGGCTCTCTCTTCATCCGCTTGTTGCTCAACATTCCCTTCCCTCCACGTAGGTACAAAAACAGTTAAGCTGCGCATGTCCACTCGGTGCTCAAAGCGACCAAATACACGTGTTCATACTCGCCTTTTCGATATTTGGACGTGCCTTTCGCCACAAGGCTTGATTCTGCTGCTAGCCGAGGACGATGCGCACAGGCCCTACTGCTTGCCGCCCCCGCGGGGTTGGCCGTGCTTTACCGAAGCTGTCGTCGGCATCTCTGATGCGAGCGTGCTCGCTGGCGTGTTGGTCCTCCCCGCGCAGCGCCTGCTCTTCCTGAGCATGCATCGCCGCCGTGCTGCAGCTTCGTCGCCTGGTGCATATGCGAACGACGCCGAGGGTAGTGCTGACGCTGGTCACACAGCGGCAGAGGTCAAGGTGCTGTGGCGTGTGTGGAGCAAGAGTTTGCGCGACATCACGGTTGTCCAACTTACCAAGAACGCCGCCTGGTCTGAGGCGCCGCACTCGATTGAAAGCCGCTCGGACGGCAACTACATTGCAGCCAAGAATGACGGCGGCGGCGGCGGTGCCGCGAATAAGATCCTCCTAGCCGCCGCCGGAACGCAACTGACTCGGGGTGACGGACCATTGTGCGCGAGGAAGCTGCAAGTTGCAAGCAGCAGCAACAGCAATGACAGCGAAAAGGATGACAACGCGCCGTGCGTGTCCCGCATGGTAATCTTGCTCGACGCGGTGTAGGCTGCATTCGCATAGGGTACCCCGTCCTGCTTTGGATCGTGTTCCTCGGCCAGCCCATTGCAAGACAGAGAAGGCTGAATGCGGGGCGGCCGCGTTGGACGCTGCATGCATTTTCAGAGCGCAGATTTAGAAAGCGGATTGAAACGCCCAATCTGCGGCATCAGCTCCTTTTATGGCATGCTTGTTTCTGCATAGGGTGTATGCTACAGAGCGGGGTTCAATCATGGTGGCGATACGATGCTCTGGATGTATGCGAGCATAGTCGAGAGATACATCATGACTTCCGTTTCGACCTGGCCGAGCAAACAGACTGCAGTTTCCTGCACTCTTTGCGAGGGCTGATCCGTGGCGCACCGCCGCATGACGCACTCTGACCACGGAAGACGAATGGCGAAGTTGCTGAGCACGAGAGGCATCGTGCCACCACTCCGATGCACGTAGTACAATGGCGTCCCCACAACGTCGATACGGGCGGTTTGTCAGGGGATAGAGGCAGAGAGAGAGGTCATTTACCAGATCACGCTCAGACAGGGGCGCCGCGCAGAGTATCCTGTGACGGCAGCTGCGTACCGCAGCTGATCAGGAAGCCCTTTCCTACACATGGCGAGCTTGCGAGCGAAGGCGAAGGTGTGCGGGGGTTGTGGGAACGGAGACGGCTCGATACTTGTGCCTCCTCGCATGCTGCTTACGCTTAGATGGTGACGTGACGGCAGTGACAATACTTGCGAGAAGAACGAGAACGTGAATGCGATAAGATAGGCGGACGGTGAGGACGATGGTCATACAGGCTGATGCCTCGAATGGAGAAGGGATGGACAGGGGAAGGTCGGAAGGGAAAGTGATCCGCTAATCTACCGTCCCTTCTTCCCCTTCATTGCAGCTCTTCGGCCCTCGCCTACAGGAAAGGAGAAAGCACAGAAGGGATAATTATTAGAATGCCAACCAGGCGTCTGTGCTGACGCATAACATGTACTCACCCTTCTTGGGCGGTCCTTTACCCATCTCCTTCCTCCGCGCGACGTCCGTAAGCCGCTGAACCTCGTGCGGGGCGAGCAGCGGGCCGTCCTCCTTGGACCAGCCAGGCAAGCCGCCGACCGAGGCAATGGCGCTGCGCAAGTTCAGCTGCGGGCGGTAGTATGACAGCATCGCGGGGCCGACGAGGCGCTGGCGCAGGTATTTGGCGCCCGTGCGCACAGCACCGGGGTTGTACGTCGTGTCGAAGATGCGGCAGCGCAGCGCGGCAAGCGCTTTGCAGGTCGGTGCGGAGGCGCGCATGGCTTCCGAGGCGCGGGCGTGTTTTTGCCAAGGAGACAAGAGCCAGCGATCTGCAGGAACCTCTCTGGGCCTGTATTGGGGAGAAATGGACCCTCTCGATGCGCTCGCTCCCCTGCTTCATCGCCAACCAGAAGAAGCTCCAAGGGATCCTTCTTTGTCTTTTTTTGGTGGCTGAGGCTCAAAGAGCGGAACGAGGTCAGGGCAATTCAATATTCGATGTAGGGTTAGATTCGCGGCAGGACCACTAGCCCCTTGTTGCCAGCAGCGGACATACACGCACCCCACGCGTCGTCGGAGAGGGGCCTCGGGGCCTGGGGGGGCGGGGCCGTGGTGTGGCGCAGCACTGGAGCAGTCTCTTCTCTCCTCCGTCCTCCTGCTTCGCATCATCTTGAAAGTCATCCGTCCGGTTCAACACTTGCATTGATGTGTTGACATCACTGGGACAAAAATCACTCTCCAATGTCCAAGGGTTTGTCGCTCTGTAATTTGCAGCGTCGCCACTCCCGTCACCGCCACCGCCATTAGATAGAGTCACATTTGGTTGCTCACAGGCACCATACATTGGGCGTCGCGTCTGGGACTGTTTGTCTCGCCGGTTCTCTCCTGTGGCCGACTCGGCCTCCCACTCCCAGGTTCATCCGTTGCATTCCTCCTCATCAACCTGCATTGCCGGCTCTTCATCCTTGTCGGCTCCGCCCCAACTACAACATAGCCGCGGGCTCCACCACTCTCCCGAGAACTAGTGGGTTAAAGTGCGACGCTGCCTGCACGCGCCAGAGTAACCCCGTTTCTTGCGACCCACTCGACCCACTACTTGCCAAACAGCACCGAGCGGCATATCCATCTACGCGCTAGATTGCTGAGCACAGCAATCCTGCTGTCGGTCCTGCATAACATCACCTCCGAACCCATCGTCTGAAGCTCATTGATTGGACTTGCGCAAAAATGGCCAACATGCTCAAGGGCTTCTGGCCGTCTAGTCCAGCAGACCAGACCACGCCGAAAGCCTTGTCGGCGTATTCGGAAGAGCAGCGCAACCCCTTCGATACGCATGCAGCAAGCATGGTTGCAGGGGCAGTGGCGGATCCATCTTTTGTCGCAGGCTCAGGGCAAGCGGATCAGGCAGGAATGACAGGGGGCAACAAGCTGGCGGCGTCCACGTCGACCGGGCTGGGGCAGAGAATACCGATGCAGTCTGGCGAGATGACACCCAGTGGTCTTAGGACCCCGGGCGGTGTCACTATTCTGGCAAATATCCCGACGACAAGTCTGAGCGTTGCCGGTGAGTCAAAAGAGCACTAGCCCTGCATCGCCCGTCTGCTGCCGTATTGAACTTGTCTCTTTCTCCAATGCCCATTGGCCTTGTGTGCGTTTTACAGCTCCTGACTTCACGATGCAAATGCCGCCGAAAAAGAACAAGGACGCAGACATTACACCTTCCTCATCTGCAAACAACGTGACTGTTGCGGGAAGCTCCACAAACACTCAGCAAACTGCAGGTTCCTCTACTTCAGCGACTGTAGGGCCTGCACCAGCTAATGTCAGTGGCCAAACCACGCCCAACCGTACAGCAGGCGCTGCGTCGAGCACGGGGCCCACACGGAATACCGCCGCACCACGCGGGCACTTGACCATCAAGGTCGTCAGCGCACGCAACCTGCAAGTATCGAGCGCGGCAAGCAGGCCGTACGCTGTCGTCAGCTTTGACAAGAACGAGTTCATTGGGCGAGAACCGATGGATGACGAGGAGGGCATTGCTGCCACCGCGACCACGTCTAGTAAGGACGTGCAGGATCGGGCGCTGAAGGGCACCTTTGGGGACGGCCCGGTGGCGTCTCGACCGCGCGCCACGACGGTGACGCCTATGCACGGCGCCAGCTCGTCATCCAGCCCGTCGCATCCGGTCTGGAAGCACGAGGTCAAGTTCGACGTGACGCACGAGAACCAAGGGATCTTCATCAGCGTGTATGACCGGCACGCCGAGGACGAAGGTTTCCTGGGCATGCGCCTGATCAAGCCGCGGCTCTTCCACAAGATGAGCTCTGACCAGTGGTATCCGCTCACCGGGCGCGAGGAGTTGGCGGCCGAGGCGAGCGCCAACGCAGTGGCCACGGGCGCGGGTGGCATGGGCATCGAGGGTCTCGGGGACATACAGGCGCCGCAGAGCCGCGGCGAGATCCGGATCCAGATCGCGTACGAAAAGACGGCGCAGAAGAAGCTGACGCCGGCCGACTTTGAGTACATGAAGCTCATCGGGCGGGGGACGTTCGGGCGCGTCTTTCAAGTGCGCAAGAAGGACACGAAGCGCATCTACGCGATGAAAGTTCTGTCGAAACGTGAGATCGCGATCAAGAAGGAGGTCACACACACGATGGGAGAGCGCAAAATCTTGGAAAAGTCGCTCGACTGCCCTTTCCTCGTCGGGCTCAAGTTCAGCTTCCAGAGCGACACGGAGCTTTTCTTCGTCACTGACTACAAATCCGGCGGCGAGTTGTTCTGGCACCTGCAGCGCGAAGGTCGCTTTACCGAGGAGCGCGCGCGCTTCTACATTGCCGAGCTTGTGCTCGCGCTGGAGCATCTGCACAAGTACGACATTGTCTACCGCGACCTCAAGCCTGAGAACATTTTGCTGGACGCGACGGGCCACGTCGCGCTGTGTGACTTTGGACTAAGCAAGCCGGACCTGGGCAACGGGCAGCTGACCAACACATTCTGCGGGACGACAGAGTACCTCGCGCCAGAGGTCTTGCTCGACGAGTCCGGATACTCGAAGCTCGTTGATTTCTGGAGCTTGGGAGTGTAAGTATGCAGTCTTTTCGCTTCCAAGCGCATGGGTTGACACTTTCCTCTCTCCAATACCTTGATGTCTACTTTGACTCGCAAACAGTCTACTGTTCGAAATGTGCTGCGGATGGAGTCCGTTCTACGCAGAGGACACGCAGCAGATGTACAGGAATATTTGCTTTGGCAAGATCAAGTTCCCGCGAGGTGCGATCGGCGACGATGGCAAGCAGTTTGTCAAAGGGGTGAGTGTGCTCTCAGCGCACCTGTTCATGGCCTCTGCCTCCTTTGCCTTGCTGACGCTGCCACCTCCATTCGCGTCTCATCTTCCTTGTAGCTGCTCAACCGCAACCCGAAGCACCGTCTGGGTTCGCAGCGCGATGCGGTCGACCTCAAAGAACACGCTTTCTTCAAGGATATCGACTTCACTGCGCTTTCGCAGAAGAAGATCCCTCCACCTTTCAAGCCGCTCGTCGAGTCCGAGGAGTCAGTCGCTAACTTTGACCCCGAGTTCACCGAGACGGATCTGCGGACCGTTGCGGAGATCGACGGACAAGAGCTGTCGAGCCAGCTGGACAAGCCCGGCGGCGCGAACGGTATCGGCATCTCCGGCGGCGGCAGGGGCGGCGAGGACGACGTGCTCAGCTCCAGCGTGCAGCATCAGTTCCGCGGATTCTCGTACAGCGGCCGGGACGACGTCGGCAGCTTTGTCGGCTCACGCAGCCGGCGCGGCAGCAACGGATTCGGGCTGAGCTGCGCCAGCTTCGGCATGTCCCACGTGGAGTCACCCGAGGCACGAGAATACAGCCCGTCGCCGCCGCGTGCGATGAGCATGGATAGAGATGTGCCGGCTGAGCCGTAGACATCCGCAAGAGAGAGAGAGTCGGGAAGGGAGAGTGCAGATGCGTATAACATCAAGGCTGGGGCTACCTATCAGGGCATTAGGCGAGGGAGACGGGACGACACACTCACATATATTCGGTATGGTAAGCAAAGCTGCTGCAGCCCCTTCCTTGGGCCCCACAGCGCATCAAGGCTTCGCCTTTGTCCCTGGCATCTGACGGAGTCCATCGCACAGCACCTGTGTATAATAGAGACGAGGCGAGAAGCGATGGAGACGGATGCTTTTGTGCTGTTCGTCTGCTTGTAGCAGAGCAGCTTAGGCTTGGTCAGCAGGGGCCGGTCGCCTGGTCACAGCATGCATGCGAAAGAGCTTGGGACAGCGTGGGCAAGCCTTCAGCATGCTTCGCAGCATTGGATTCGTTCTCTTCCGTGGGGCCAGCTTAACCGGCTCTGGTTGACTCGGCTCTCAAGCATAACACTATCCTTGTGGGGCCAGAGACGCGAACATGGTCTCCAGTCAGCCATTCCCTTCGCCAGCCAGGTACTTGTTCCAGCTTCTGTAAATCCGCGAATCAACCTGGATTCTTCGTCTGTAAACAGGAGAAAACATCCACAAAATGAACATTTAACCGGAAAACAGTCCCCGTGGGGTATGTCATTGCATCGAATATGGGTTTTATGTAATTCGGTCTTTGCTTGAATCAGGATTCAAGCCTTCAGGTTACAAATGGATTCCCCAAAATATGAGCCCTGATAAATGAGACTGCACATCTTGTGCTCGGAGGCTGTAGCTCGCTGCTCGTACGTTCAATGCTGAGCACTAAGTGATGCCCGCAGGGAGCCGCCGCGCAAGCACGCTATAGTGTTGCTCTGCAACATTGACGTGATGGGGTCAGGCAAAAGCGCACAGGACGCAATTGTCCTCCCAGAATCTGATACCGAGTCGGAAGATGAAGTCGTTCCGTTAGATATTCCTCCTTCCCAGCAACCAACCGCGACCCATGCCGAAGGAGCGTGGAGCGGCGTGAGGCAGGCAAAACAACAAGGTACAGCCTCGATCTTCGCACGCGAGGAGCGGGCCTCGCTGGAGAAAGCGCGCTTAGAGCGCAATTGCAAGCGCAGACGAGAGCAAGGCCTTGGGTCGGACGATGAAGGCAGCAAGCAGATGCCTGCGCGAGTATACAGGTTCCATGAGGCTCAGGGCGTCGGCTTTGAATCCACAGATTATTCGAGCAGAAAGGAAAATGACAAGTTCCCGTCAACAGCATGCAGGACATTGAACAGTGGACGCGATCGAGAGCAACAGCAGCAGGGTGGGTCAAGTAGGAGCGGATCATCGACAGCTCGCTTTGCCACGGTCAATCCCGTCAACGATCCAGTATATGCGCGAATCCAACCTCAAGATAGGTTTTGGGACGGTACAATCAGGGTGGGTCCCAAGCGTACGCCTCTTTACAAGACCATTTCAAGCATCTTTGCTCACTATTTGTTAACGGTACAGCATGGTTTCAATGCCCTTGCACCCAAGCATATGAAAGGTGTGCCATTTTCGGATTTGCTCCTTCCCGCCACACCGACGAATAGCAATGGACTACATCAAGCCGTACTTAGTAGCTACAGTTGCGAGATGTCATGGCTATATCCTCAATTTCCGTCGCCATTCACAGTCGGTTCAGGCGACTCTGCCCCTGAAGTCCTGATGATCGCCGATGCAGGACGTGGGAGTGATGGAGGACCGATGCTGGTGAGCTACTACCGTAGCCTTGCCTCAACGCTTGCTTATTCAACGCATGCGACCATGAACACAGCAACCTGGCATTCAAAGGCCGTCTGAATTGACGCCTGGGTGGCGACTATTGATCCCGGAGCTCCCACCACGTCACGGCGTCCAGCACATGAAGTTCATGCTTTTGGCTTTCAAGCACCATCTACGCTTCGTGCTTTCCACGGGGAATCTGCAATCGTGCGACTGGCAGGCGGTCGAGAATGTGAGCATGGGCCCCGTGTTGGCTCTGGCCACCAAGTTGCAGCTTGCTTTATCCTCACTTACACGGGTTGCTCAGATTGTTTACATTCAAGACTTTCCCCTCAAGTCAACAGCTTCATCGCTTTTAGGTTCCGCGAATGGAAGTCCTGCTGGAGACCTGCGATTACAGCTAGATTTCGTTCTTCAATCTTTTGGTGTCCCGGTCGGTAAGTCCATAGAAAGTCCCGTTGCACCTTCTGTGTTCGGCTGGTTGACTATTATTGCAGCTCATCCGATGCGAGTTGCATTCCCAAAATACGACCTGGACAGATCAAACGCGCGACTGGTCGCATCAATCCCGACATCGGTGCCTCGCAAAGGATGGGACGCAATCAGACAAAGCGGTCTTGGACGTCTTGGCCACATACTGGAAAGTTTTCACCTCCATAAGATACCAGGTGGGCACGTGCTGGAGATGCAAGGCTCCTCAACGGGATGGTACACTCGGCACTGGTTGAAGACGATGCATTTGATTGCGTCTGGGCACCACATGCCTTCAACGCTGCCCGCGCCTGTCGCCGCCGTCAAGCTGGCCAGTCATTACGAGAGGACAATCGATTTGCTAACGAATGCACCAGTGGCACAATCCACGGCTGCAGCCGCTAAGATGATTTGGCCCCGGCGCGTCAAGATACTCTTCCCCTCCGAGCGCTTTGTCAAGCAGAGGTTTATCCTCGGCGTCGGGTTCGCTGGAATTTTTTACGGCCATAAGGACCACTTTTTAAAGAATACGTAAGTGACGATGGATGGAAACACACCCGCTCCCGAGGCCATTACTGACGATTTGGATCGCCTAAACTCTCTCCCTTAGCTACAAATCAATGTTCAATGAACAAATTTCAAAACGAGTGCCGACATTGATGCATGCAAAGAGCCTGCTTGCCTTGCCACCGGACGCGATGACCGATCCCAGTAGCATCATCAATGCAGAAGGAGGCAGGCCAGACGATGTGATCGGCTGGAGCTACGTGGGTTCGCACAATATGACAGAGGCTGCGTGGGGCAACATCAAAGGAACAGAAGACAACCCTGAGGTGGGCACATACGCAATGCAACTGGGGCCGCTCTGAAACATCTTTCTGAAATTTGCTGCATTTTCTTGGCAGTCCACTGTGAAGAACTATGAGCTGTGCGTGTCACATCTCGCACTGCATCGCATCCAGGGATTGCTGACGAGACTTGGATGCTTATTTTTCAGAGGCATCGTGTTCCCAATCACCCGCGCTGATCTGGGTAAGCCTCCTGCACAACGCTGCTTCGGCCTCCAGGTACCCATATATAAGCACCCACTCGAGCCGTACAAGTCTTCAGATGTCCCATGGGATCAATTCGCACAGGGATGACCGGGATAACCGCTCGTTATCCGACGTTTCCGAGTGGTTCGCCCCAAGAATTCCCAGAAAGATTGGCTTGTAGATACTATAGCTTTCTTCCGCAATTTCTTGTAGCATACGAGTCATGTTTTTCCTCCATAGCGAATTGAGCATCCAGCATTGTAGAAGAAATCGTTACAAATACACTTTCCGAGCATCGTAAAGCCGTCACCTTGCAAAGGTGATCTGCAAGCAAGGGAACAAATCCGTCGTCAGCCAGACTTGCATTTCGCTTGATGTGACTGTCCAAGGTCTGTCCCACCTTGATCTTCTCCCCACTTGGGAACGCATACCCATTCAACTTCTCTCTTGCTGACGTGCTGCTAGGAATGTCTGCAAATTCGACGAATGCGATCTTGGTATTGCCTGGCACAGGTCTGATGTCGGCAAAATTGTCCAAAGAGGAAAACAGCGCCTCGACCGCTTCGCGCGTTGTTCCTTCCGGCAGATTCTGTACGAATAGGAGTTTGTTCGGTGGCAGATACTCGTCGGGCATCGCGATTTCTTGCCTCTTGTGCGCACCAGGAAGCGCCGCTGCTGACTGCTCATCAAGCTCTCCAGCAGCAGCTTTCTTCTCTGCAATCTTCGCGGCCAGGTCATTCCTCCGCAGCTGATTCCCTCTACGCTGTCGTGCCTGATGCGCCTTAAGCCATCGCTTGTGCTCTCTAACCACATCGGCATTCCCTGCGTTGAGCTTCTCGACTACGCTTGTGCTCCTGTGCCGCGCGAATGAGATCTGGATCGGTTTGCCGTACAGTGGGAAGCCAGCGACCTCCTTGACGGCTTTCGCAGCCTGCTCTTTGGATGCAAACGCGACGAATGCCTGACCTCGCATCCGCACGTTTTTCTGCGCTTGCACGCTCAGCACGGGCCCGTAGACACCGAAGAGATTCTTGAGCGTTTGTTTGAGCACATCGATTTTGATGTCTTCGTTGAGGTTGTTGATGTAGACGCTTTCGCTCGCATGTTCTGAAATCGAATCGGCTGCATCGCCTTTGGCTTCTTCGGCTTGCGGCGCGGCGGCCGCTGCGGTTGGCTCGGCTTCCATCTCTAATGGCTCAGGCTCACGCCAGCTTCAAATGAAAGCAGGGGTCCGAGCTGAAACTTGTTGTGCGTGCGAGCTCTTTTTCCCACACCGATACTAATCTGGTGAGTGGTGAGAGCGATGGTGAAGCCAAAAGCTTGGTTGAGGGTCGTGACTTCAGAGACGTCTGAGTAAGACTTTGAGCAGCGACTCGAACGGTAAAATGCGATTGACGAGAACTGGAGGCAAGGGCAACCCTAATATGTTCGGGCAATACATTATGTAATCATATCAGTCAGGACCCCACACTCTCCTGACCATCCAAGTCTGGAGTGCAGGCGGGCCGCGTGCAGCAACGTCCGGTGGCGACTATCGTCCGCATGCCCCATTGTCGCCAGCTTTGATGTACCCGCTCTCCTATGTGTATGCTCTCTTCAACTCGTCCAAACCTTGTATGCAGAAAGACATATCTAATAAGCATATCGAGGACGTTAACGACCCATCCGAAGCAATCGATTGCTATGAAGCTCTCCACCTCCTTTGCAGCGGTGGCCCTCATCGGCTTGACGCCGGGCATCTCGGCCGCTCCAACATCGGGAGCATCAACGTCGCTCAAGCTGGACTGGACGACAAATATCGCTGGAGGGGCTTCTGCTGTCATCTCCGCGCTTTGGGGAGAGGTCAAGCATGCTGTCACGTGGCGCATGATTCAAAGTCAGTGGCTCCTTTTGGTGTCGCGATGCCCGTCGCGTTGTCATTTGCTCATAACCTACCTGAACTTCCCTGCAGCCTCTCCCGACCAAGAGCCATATTGGACAACTGAGCTCGGCAAGCACCTTCTCTTCATGCGTGGCGTCAAATTTGTTGATGTGACCGATCATGCGGACTTTCCTGTGGTGTCTACTTCGCTAGCCTCGACAGCGTCGAAGCGCCCCTGGCCTACCAAGGCTGCTCATGCCGATTTCCTCAAGACCCGCGTCTTCTCCAACATTACCGCCGATGGCCCGCGCGCCAATCTTAAGAAATTCACGTCTTTTCGCAACCGCTACTACCGCAGTGCAACCGGTAGAGAGAGCCAACTGTGGCTGCTGAGCAAAGTCAAGGAGATTGCCAGCACCAATCCGCAGATCACTGTTAGCGAGTTTGAGCATGACTGGCAGCAGAACAGCATCATCATGCACTTCCCATCAAACTCTTCTTCTCAGCCATTTGATGCTTCCAAGTCAATCAAGAAGGAGCACAAGCCGGTCGTCATTCTCGGTGCTCACCTTGACAGCACAGCATTCATCCCATTCTTGCCGGCCCCAGGCGGCGACGATGACGGCAGTGGGACAGCGACGTTACTCGAGGCACTCCGGGCTTTGCTAGCTGTCGGCTGGCAGCCTCAAGGTGACTATGATCTCGAATGGCATTGGTACTCTGCGGAAGAGGGCGGCCTGCTCGGCAGTCAAGAGATTGTCAAGAGCTACGTTCAGCGAGGCAGGGAAGTGCGCGCCATGCTGCAACAGGACAGTGAGTGCATCTTTGCAATCTCGCTTTTCAGTGCGACTACTTTTGACGCATCTGCACGACAACCTTCGAATAGTGACAGCTTTCTTGAAGCCAGGAACAGCCGAAAAGATTGCGCTCGTTGCAGACTTTACGGATCCAAAGCTGACCTCCTTCCTGGAGATGCTCGTGACAGAATATCTCGACATTCCAGCTGCGCAGACCAAGATCGGCTACGCTGCGTCCGACCATGCGAGCTGGATGAAGGCTGGAATTCCTGCTGCTTTCGCCGTGGAGGGCTTGTACGATGACTGCAACTTGCGGAACATCCATGTGAGTGCATGTTCTGTGTCGTGTCCTTTGAGAGCGACAAGAGGCGCTGATCGCGTGTTCTCCCCTGCCCTCCTCGACGATCTAAAGACATCGGGCGACACGACCACTGCTGAAGGCTACTCGTTCGACCACATGCTCAAGTTTGTCCGTCTCACCACCGCTTTTGCGGTCGAGCTTGCAGGCCAACAGGCTTGATGCAGTGCATGAGGGTATCCTACGCACGCGCGCTGTTGTGGACCAACATTACCAACCGCAACGTGCGCCTCTGGCTCCCTCGACAAATGGAATCTCGGCATGTTCCTGATGTATGTACTCATGAGAAGCCTGAAACTGTACAGTAGCATTGTCCTGTAGAAATACACTAGGTTCGCTTCGCCTTCGTCTCTACCATGCTTCCTTCCTTCCATCTGCGCCACCAGCCACCGTGGCCGACGCGAATCCATTAGTGTACACAACAGGTACGCCTTTTTCATTGCTTTCCGGACGATCCCAAGCAATGGAGCAGAAAAGGGGGTCGTCATTCACTTGAGCGGAGAAATGTTGGTTGATGTCCATGTTGGATCGTCAATAGTGACATTTCTACACTGTGCACGCGTTTTGCAGAGTTTAGAGCAACTGAATGAAAGGAGAGAGAATTTGACGCGTCCTTGGACCGACGTTCATGGTTTATCTCTTCCAGCTTCTCAATTCTCTGCTGCCCCAACAATTATATCCATCCATATGTGATACGACTGTGCGTCTGTAACCAATTCGTTTCGTAGCTACAGACACCTTCGCCAGGGTGCAGGTATCCGCGGCTTCCACATCGCTGAATTAACAAATATGTTTGCATCCCCTGGTCCACTATCTGTCGGCGACCTGAGCCGCCAATCCGCTCCTGCAGGTCCGGCTGGGGGTGCAGGTTTTGCTGGCTCTGGTCTGCAGCAACAGCAGCAGCACCAACAGCAACAGCAACCAGGGACTTTTCATCCATTTCAACCGCATGCGCCGCATCAGCAGCAACAGGTGCAGCAATATGGACAGCCGCAACATCAGCAACAACCCCAGCCTTTTCCCGGCCAATCACCAATGGCGCAACAAAATGTGGGATATGGACTTGCACCATCTACGTCCGCTTATGCCGGTGCTGGATCTTTGTTCGGTATGAACAACAGTAATGCTGGCTACAGCGGCTTTGCAGGAGGGGGACCTATGGGCGGGCAGCAAGGTGCGATTGGCGCGGCAGGGCCTTCCGGCGCAAATACAGAGTATCTTCCGGGCTACCTCAGCAAGCTTAAGGAGGCCAGAGTGAGTGAAATAGACAGATCGTTCTGCGCGAAAGCCACAGATGCCCCGTCTTTTCTCACGCCACTTTCTTCCGATCCGAAGCCTTACTCTTCGCCGCTGCACGCCTCGAGACCCTCGGCGTCGCCTCCTCGCAGCAAGGACCCGGAGTCAGGCGCTGGACCATCGACACCATTCGGATCTGACCGCATTCGCTCGTCACGCGCTGATATTGGCGCTGGCTCAGGCGTGGGTGGCACAAGCAGCTCGCCCAACCAGCGTTTCTCATCGGCCTTCTTTACGTCGGGCTCGCCGGCAGATGCCGCGGGGGTCGGCTCGCTCGATGACAGTGCATTTGGCGCAGGCAAGAGTGTGTTTGGTCCCTCCGGTCTTCGATCGAAAGGAAGAGCACCATCGGGTAGGCACAGCGTCTCATTCGGTCGCTCCCCGTCCCTCAGTCGCGGCTTGCGGCTGTCCAAATCTCCGCCTGCTGCATCGATATGCGCTTCAGCTGGCGCCGCTGCGGGTGCAGGCGCAGGCATGGATGAAGAAGATTACGCCCCTCCGATTGAGTCGCTTGCGCAGGACAACGAGATGAGCGACTCGTCGTTCGCAGCGCAGCGCTCGATGGCACGGGATGAATCAGGCTTTCTTGGTCGAGCGAGCGGTGCGCCCGCCAAAACCGCTGCACCTGAAGCTGGCGCTTCTCACAACTTGCGCGGATCTTCCCATCAAACCTCAGCAGCTGCTGATAACCCATCGTTGCGGACGATCCTCGTCTTTGGCTTCCCGCGTGCTTTAGAAGCCGTGATTACCGAGCATTTCTCCACCTTGGGCTTGGTGCAAAGCACGGATTGGGTCACGCTCAGTGCGGTAAGCACGACAGACGGCTGCCTGGAGATTGTCTATAAGGACCCGTGGGCTGCACTCAGGGCAATCAGGCGCAATGGCGAGATTTTTGCAGGGATCGCGATGGTGGGTGTGCGTTGGAAGGACGACGGCCTGCAGCGTGAGATGATTGTCGGTGGGCTGAGCTCAGGTGCCTTCACCAAAGGCACGGGCGCCTCTCCGAATGGGACACCCTCCGCCTCGACGGCGGCTCACGCCGCAGCTGCAGGCCCAGGCAGCAGCACATCAGCGGGTGCGAATGGCATAGCTCCTACCCAGCGGACAAGCACGCTGAGCGGTGGCACTGGCACACCACGAACGCATATCGGCAGACCGATCTCTGTCATCGGCTCTAAGAACGCCGTCTTCGCGTCCAGTCCCTCAGCCTCCGGTGGCGCAAGGGGAAGTGGCAGTGGGAGCAATGGCAACCCTTTAACCCAGCTGCGCAATGCTGCTTTCGGCGGCACATCAGCTGGTACCAGCTCAGTTGGGCCGACGGCGGCCAGCTCGCTTTTCGCACAGCGGCCTGCGGGCAATGAGGGAGCCTCTGGCGGATCGGCTAAGGGTCAACAACCAGGGAGCGGCTTGCTGGGAAGGATCAACGATGCTGTATTTGGTTGGTAGAATACACTCAGGTGCTTGCAGAATGCATCACAGAGGGCAAAATGGTACGCTAATTCGGCGGCTGGACTTGATTCTTTTTGCGACAATATTGGCATGCTTGTCGTGCGTCACTTAGCGAATTTGCGCAAGTGTAAGGGGAAACATCGGCCAGATAAGAATCTCGACGCTGCGCGCGTCAAGCGAAAGGATCAACCGCTGGCATCGGTGGTAGTGGCGGTGGTGGGCCCAGCGACGCTCTTCGCGCACCTGTAGGGAGGGCAGGCGCAAGTCTTCGCGCTGGGCGCGCCGGATACGATGGCACAGGTGGAGAGGAGGATGCATTCTGCGCTGTGGCTGTGGGCACTTGAAAACAGGAATCGACCCGCGGCACCTGTCCATTAACGGCGGCAGGGGTGGCGGAGGCGTCGTTGCTCTGCGTACTAACATTCATCCGTGATGGTAGCGGATACGACCCACTTGGTGAGATGGTTTGGTTCACCTGCCCTGGCCCAGTTGCTTTCTTGGGCTCTTCAAGGCCATCATTCGAGTGCGACAGGTCCGACGTAGACGAAAGCGACTCGGGGTCTTGGAACTTGGTCCATAGCCGCATCTCATCGCTGGCGCCTAAGAGCGGCGAATCGCAGATAGAGGAGTTTTCAAATGGTAAAGGGAGCGTCGGTATGCTGGTGCATTTGTTGACGTTGCACAAATGCTCTGCTGCATCTTCAGAATCTGTTGAATTACGGTCCTGTGATGTCCACGCTATCAATGTTCCTGTGGCCGAGTGTAGCTGCGGCTCAAAGGAGGAAGCTCCGGTGATCCCCTCTGTGTCGCTAGTGCTTCTACTGGGGCCCATGCTATAGCCATCGCGAACCATCATCAGTGGCTCTCGAGCTTTCGCTCGCATCTCTTCCCAATGCGAAGGATAGGCATCGGTGCTGGAGGCAGCGGCCATGTCTGCAGACGGCGCAAGGTACTCTTGTGATGAGGATACGATCGTATCTGTCATCGCGGTGGAACCGCTTCGCTGTTGTAAAGAAAGATGATGATTTCTTCTTGAGCTTTGTTGCTGACTGGGCATCACGATAGGGGCAGACGACGCAGGTGGAATGTTGGAACATATCCCACCACCGCTGGGCTTGCCCTTGATCGAAAGCAGCAAGAATCGCCCCAAGTCTCCGGCACTCTCAGAGGACGCTCCGTTGTTTTGCTTCGTTCGTTGATGTTGCTGTAGCTGCAGTTGCCTCTGGACGTGCTCTGTCTCCAATTCCTGGCTCAGATGCGCGCGCACAACCTCCAGATCGTTCATCAGCACAGCAATGGGCATGTCCTTTTCGTGTTCGAGTCGTGTCTGCACACCCTGTGCTTTCGACGGAGGCAGGGGGAATGTCGCTTTTCGAAGCGGCACAGGTGGCGGTGGGACGGGCGGAGCTGGCTTCTGTTGCAGCGGTTGTCGTCTCGGCACGACAGGTAGGGGTGGCAAAGGCGGTGGCAGGGGAACAGGCGGTGGCGCAGGTGCCGGTGCAGGTGAATTGAGAGCCCTTTCTGATGTTTGTGCAGGTCGCAGAACATCAGCCGCGCCGAATGCGTTGAGATAATTCGCCAAGTCCTTCTGCTCGCGTGCTGAGACACTGGCAGATGTTCCCGGCACGCTGTCCACGACCGAACTGATCGAGTTGGAAGTGTCCTTGGGGTCATTTGCAGGTCGCCGAGCATGCATCCGCGAGAGACCAGCGCCAATAGACCTGATCGAGCTGGTGTGTTCGCGAGCTTTCGGCGGGGAATACGCTCCGACTCCAGCAGCAGCAACCGACTCAATAAACCTGATTGATTCAAAGGAGCTGCTCTCGCCTTCCATAAAGGGTCGCTGTGGGTCGGAACGCCGCACGCTAACGTCTAGCGAGCCAATGGAGATGGTCGAATCTCGACGTCCACCGTGTGACTGGCGAGGATAGCTGCTCGGGCCGCCGCCCATCCCGAACGAGCGCGTTGAATCGACTGAAGCGCTCTGGCCGCCGTTCGCTAGCGCAACCCCAGAGTAAGAACGCGGTAGGTCAACGCCGATGGAGCTTGACGATCCTCGTCTTCCGTGCGCTGGCCGTATAGGATAATCGCGCAACACGCCGGTTCCGATTGAGCTGGTGGAACCGAAGAAATCGGTACGCTTGTGCCCACCCACCATCTCATTCCGCGAACTACTCCTCGACGAGGATACTGTGCTAGAAACTTGCGCCGATGTCAACTGTGGAGGCAGAGCACCAATGTATGACGATAGCTCCAGATCCGGCTGCGGCTGATCTTGGCTCTCAGACCAGGCGAAGTCGAGAAGATCCGCGGCACCGAGCGAGTACGAGCGCAAGTGGCTATCCTTTCTCGCCGTATCCCCTCGCTGAACGTACATCATTTCTTCTTGCTCCTCGTGGTCGCTCCTTTTCACAGACCCGTCTCCACTCCCACTTTCATCTGGTGGATCGTGTGCAGATGCAGAGGAGGCCATCTGCGACGATGCTGTTGGTATTACGCCGAGGGTTTCGCTCCTCCTGTGCCCGCGAGGACGGGGATGCGGGCATATTGAAGGCTGATTAGTTCTTGATTGCGAAAAATATTCATCGGATGTCATTTCCTTGAAAGCTGTTCGATCAGAATGCTCCTGTGTATAATGTGATCAATGCGCTGGCCAGTGGAAGTGAGATTTGAGTTATGCAAGGCAGGCTCACCGGGAAAAGCCTATAGTGCATGTCGAGCCCTGTCCTCTCTGCAAAGATGAGCTTACAAGATTTGCACTTGACCTCTTTCTTCTGGAATGCATATTCCTCCATATTATCGTCCCAAGTTTCCACACCTCCTAGTTTCCGGGTCCTGCCCCAAGTATTGTTACCCGCCGTACTCGATCCGCCACCTCGAGTCCTTTTTGCATCTGGGCTCACAAGAACCATACCCGGTGCGGCGCTGCGACGATCGTGCTTGCGATCCCACTCGGCTTCTGTCTCGACCATGCCGCCAGTAATTTGTTCCAGCATGGTCTCGGTGCGCCGGCATAAATCTAAAAACGGTTTGGTCACCGCTGCGAGCTTGGGTCGCGAGGACGTCGCGAACATGTAATCTTGCTTGGAACGAAAGGAATTCATTTTGAAGTATGGCCAACTGGTATGACGGATCGACGATGAGCTTCAAGCGAATGATGGGCAAGATAGACAGATATGTTCTATGTACAGCCGCCTCTAATACAGGTGGCTGGTCGAGCGTTTCATAGACCGATGTCAGCTTAGATGAAATGAATCACATGAAGCAGACAGGTGGGCGCTCGGGATCCGGTCAGCTTTTGGTAGGTGGACGATGTAGTGGCATGCCAAGCAGCCAGGGGTCCATCCGCAAGCTCGACCTTGCAGCCTCCATGGTCACTCAGCAGCCCGTTGCTCTCAATGTGGTAATGATCGTGCCCAAGAAAGCGTCGGTATCGTTAACGGGGGTTGTCAACCCCGCTTTCCAAAGCCCATTCATCATCAGATCTCGCACATCCATGTTGCGTCCATGTCAGCGGTGCAGGCTGGGTTGTCCCGGTATCTAATCTAAATCAAGGTTCAAAAACCCTAACCTTTGCACTAATAGCTGGCACAGCCAGCGTGGATTTACACAAGCTTTACTCGCTATTCCTCAATTGCTTGTAAACTCGGCCGCTACGCGCCAATGGAGGTCTCTTCTGACTTCACTTGGAGGTCTTCTGACTTTCTGTTCACACCCCGGTGTCGCCAAGTCTAGCGTGCTCCATCAGAAGTGCAGACCAAGACAAGCCTCCATCCTGCAACAAGACGGACGACAGACCTCGGAAGCGTCGGGATCGATTCGGCGCAGATTCGCCCGTTGGAAGATTGCTGAACCATTGTCAGACGCAACCAGACTGGCATCCCATCCACTTGGCACGCGGCCCTTCAGCAAGCATCCTCGTCAACACACTACAATCATGGTCAGTGTAGCGCGTTCCCTTCTGTGTCTCAGAGCAAATGAGCGACTTGAGGCTGACGAAATTGCTCTGCTCTACCTCGATCCCCGCCTTGCCTGCGCAACCTCCCGCCGCGCCGGTCCTGACACATCCTTATGCTTCGCATATTGGCTGTCTGTTTCTGTTTCTGTTTCTGTTTCGGGTTGGTGACCAACAGCCTCCAACAAAGCCCAAGGGCGGCCGCATGATGGCCTTGATCAACTATCGCCTCAAGATCACGCTTAATGATGGGAGGCAGCTGACAGGTCAGATGCTCGCTTTTGACAACCACATGAACCTGGTCATGGCAGAGAGTGAGTGGCATTCCCTGCGTGAAGGACTGGGAATGCGAATGGCATCTGCGGTGTGACTGGCTGGAGGGTCTCATGATGCATGCATTGAGTCCGGATATTATTCTTCGAGCTTGCGAGCGGGACTACCAGTGTTGCGACGAAGGCATCATCGGCACCAAGGGGTGGGCAGACACCTGCACGCGGTCTGACAAGCTCACAATCATCACTCGAGCGCCTTTGCGAGACGGGCCTAAACGCTGATGGAGCCATTCCCTCTCTTTTCTCGCATCCGCAGCCGAAGAGTTTCGAACGTTAAAACGATCGTCTAAAAAGACAAAAGGCAAGGCTGCAGAGGGAGCGGAAGACGATGATGACGATGCAGTGAACGTCCCAGAACCAGAGCAGAAGCGCACACTAGGCCTAATCATTCTACGTGGCGAGACGGTCGTCTCACTCTCCGTGCTCGCGCCTCCACCAGTGGAGAAGACTGGCGGGCCAGCAGGCGTAGGACTCGTTCCGGGACCGGGCAGAGGCGCACCTGCCGGCCGCGGGATGGGTCTCGCGATGCCCCCCGGCGGCGGGCCAGGCGGGCTACCGATGCCGCCCGGTGGTATCCCGCCCCCCATGATGGCTGGGCGTCCGATGCCATACGGAGCTCGACCACTACCGCCGCCTGGCATGCCCGGTATGCCACCCCCACCTGGGATGCCCGGGATGCAGGGCTTGCAGGGTTTGCCGCTCCGCCCCCCGCAAGGCTTCCCGCCGGGTTTCAGGCCTCCTCCGCCTGGGTGAGTATACGCCCTTTTCTGGTGGAAAAAAAAGAGAGAAACCAGAACTGACGCACGCGTTTTTTCTTGCATTTGCTTGTTTCGGATGACAGATTCGGCATGCCCCCACAATGATGAACGACTCCCGTTTCAGGTTGTAGGATGTGACATGCGCATTTACAATGTACAAAAGCAGCGCTTCTAACTGATTTCGATGCCATGCCAGCCCAAAGCCCGCCACTTATTACGTTTCACATGCTCGATTCTGCAATTGCACAGTGGGCACTGCATCCGCCAGCAGCAGTGCGAGGAGCTTGAGGAAATCAGTCTTTTCGAGATGGTGGCTTGGTTGTGATCCCGAGGGTGCCTACCGGCGAGCGCAGCGACATGTTGTGTTGGAATCTTATGTTGGATTCGATGAAGACCAAAAAGAATCGAGGGAGAGGAGATCAAAGGACCAGGTGATGACGAGCTGGAGGGAACGCGCCAGTCGTCCCCACTGCCAAAAGCGAGAGCGAAACATTTTTTTTTGAGGGGAGAGGCACGGATGACCTTTGGCACTCGTTTGTGAACGTCATACAAGCAAAGAAACCTCCTTTATATCCAGTCATCAGACACGTGGTACACTGGGACACTTAAAGCAGCTCAAGCTCCATCCCGCTGGGTGATGCTTACATCGTCGGCCCGCATGATCTACAATGGATCAACAGCAGGACAGCGTTTTCCTCAATCGGAACAACAGCGCTGTCGCGCCATTGCCGTTCAAGCGCAAGATCAAAGGCGTTCCCCCCACCCTTGTCGGCGTAGCGTCACGATCACAGGCTCAACCGACATTCGCCACCTCCTACGAACATAGCTATGCGCGCACGAATGACAGCGCTGCACATAACATGACGACGCCGAGCCCGTCCGACGAGCCCAATGGTGGGTCACCAGGCAGCCTTCCGTCGAGCCCACCGGCGCATGGAGGTGCTTCCTATCACCCAGGCACAGGGCCGATCCAGACGCAGAGTCGCAAGCGATCATGGGCTCCGTCACTGAATACGCTGCCGCTCGCGCATCTGCGTCTGCTGGATACGACCAGCGCAAGCGGGTTCGGTAACACTGGCTTGACCGATCCGGTCACGTCACGTCCGCTCAAGACGCCACAGGGCGAATTTTCGTTTGGATCTTTGCTCTCAGCTGCATGTAGCGATGCAGAGCAGGCGCAGCAAGGGAACAAATCCACCGCATTGACCGGCAGGGAGTACCCTGGGATGACGCTAAACTTGAATCATGTAGAACAGCAGGAGATGAAGCGCGAACGGCAGCGGAGGCTTCAGTTGGAGTCACAGCGGCAGCAAGAATGCGCGCACGCTCAAGGCGAGTCGGGCTCATGTTCAGCGGAACCACCGACGAAGAGGCGGAGAGGGATGGCAGGAGCTATCGTAGAAACGGCCCTACATGCGACATTGATGGCTGGCGCCGCCGCTATCACGGCGTATTCGCTATGGTCCAGTTGGGGACGTAAAAATAACGACGAAAACTCGCCCTCTCCGGGACCGGACCAGCAGCCGCCTCGATGTGAGGAGCCGGATCCTATCATACCAGGAGGGATTTCAGACTCTGAACCGCCACCGCCATATCATGTAAGTACCAACGTGACACCTGCTCATGCGCTCCTTTCCTTCGTTACACTCTATATGCCTTTCTTACGCTCTTCCAATAGGCCGAACAGTCCACGCCGCTATCGCCCGCCCGCTCACAGAGCTCTATAGGCCGGCCACAACGCGTATTTGTTTCCTCACGACGGCGGCGGCTTATCTTTCCGTCGCAGCGCAATTCAGGCCGCGCACACATCCGCGAGATCGCAGCTGCACTGCAACGGCAAGCGGCGGAGAGCAGCGCCTCTCCTTCTCGCGAAAGGTCATTGCCCCTGGAGAAGGAGGCGGTCACGAAAGCAAATGCCAAAGGGGAAAGAGGAAACGATGAGGATGAGGATAATGATGAGGATGAGGATGACGACGAGGATGCGATGTACAAGCGCTTCGAGGAGAAGATGAAGAGCATGATTGCAGAGGGGCAAGCGGCATTGTCGAGCAAGGCGGACCTGGACGGCATGGATGTGCATCTAGATGACGAGCTACCACCAATGCTGACTTCCAGCGCTTCGGAACCGCTGCATCTTCACCAGCAGCAACTGCAATCGCAAGCGCGGTCACGGCATACAACTTCCCATCATCGCTTCGCGTCTGCTGATCTAGCGAGCAGTCAATTGCACAGGGACCCTTCTTTATCGACGCATAACAACGGCGGCGCATCGCTCGCATCGGCAGCACAAGGTTTCCATTTCAATTTCCAGCAACCATCCCCTCGCTTCAAGCAGACCACACCTCAGCCATCAGGCAAATCAGCATCAACAATATCAGCATCAGCATCAGCAAGAGCAGACCCAGCACCGCACAACCCTTTTACGTTCGCACCGCGCGGCGCAGGGGGAGTGCCGAGGTCCAGTACCGCGAGCCGCAGCATGAATGGACACGACCATGGTCATGCAGACACGGGCAGTCCATGCGCACGCTCTTCGGCAGCCGGTGCTGCGGCTAGAAACGGTGGGAAAGGAGGCGTGGCGGGGTCAGGAGCAGTCTCACCGCCGAGCAGCCGCGTCAGGCGATGATGTGCCGTGCACCCTCATTTGGATGGCATTCCTTCCCCCCTCCGGCGAGTCGCACACTCACAATACACCACACCACTCTCATTTGTCTGGCTTTACGCTTTTCAGCCTTGCACCCGCCCCCGCCTCGTGCGTTCAGCCTCAGAGGAGGAATGCAACGTAGCGAAAGACGGCCACCCATTCTGTCCTGTTGTACAATTTATGTAACTAGCTTACAGATTCATCACTTGCTCTCGTGCGATGTAATATGCTGGCTACAGACTGCATCAGCGCCACCATGTAACGTGAAGCGACACTGAGAGCGCAGCTGCTGTCTCTAGCGAGGTCGAGTTGGTCAATGATAATGCGTCGTAGCAATGAGATGCTCCAAATCGGCATTGCCCTGCGAAAAACCTCATGTGCCGGGTCGCAGTCGCCGTGTTCAATGCAAATGCTGTGCTACGTTCAACGCCGCCTTCGCATCAACCCTGCGAGCAAGATACCGCCTACGGCGGCTGCGCCAGCCGTGATTGCCATGCCGATGTAGCCCTCTGCGGCACGTCCAGAGAGTGTGCATGGAAGGCGAGGGTCAGCTCTTGGCTCTTACGCTTGCAACTGCATTTCGATACCAGTGGCCTGACTGAAAGGAAGCTCGCAGACGTACCCCGTGTTACGCCTTTCTCGATCAACTGTGCGAGTGATTGCGCTTGCAGATTGTTGGGTTCCCGATCGATCAGAATTGCTACGATGGGCCGGCGCCGGAAATGGAGAAACAGGAAATTGGAGCGTCAGCACATGTCGTCGGATGGCCAGTCTTTCTGAGCGAGCGGAAACCACTCTAGCGTCAAGGTCCCAACTTTGCGCATCCTCGTATGCATCGCCGCCACCGAGACGAGAGAAGCAAAGCCACAGCCTCGTGGCAGCGAGCTGTAGGCTGAAGATTGTGCAGCCACGCCGGCAGCCCAGTAAGCGTAGGCAACCGAGGTTCGAAATTGCCCTAGCTTCACCCATGCACTTTCTAATACTGACCATTGAATCTCTTCGCCTCTTCAAAGTTGCCCATCTTGTAATGGCCGAGGGCGAGGTAGTAGAGGCATTCCCGTCGCCTCGGTGGATCGCTGCGGTAAATGTCCGTGAGCAGGTCAACACCAGCGGCCATCTCGTCGCGCCGGGTGGACTTGACGAGGCCCCATGCGTAGTTGAACTTGGTCTGCGTCGTCGCATGCCCGCTCGAGAGCTCCGAGTGGTACTGCATGCGCAAGACCGAGAGCTCCGAGGGCGAGAGCGACGTTTCCGCATCTGCGGCATAAGGCAGAGACATGGCGCTGGAACTCGACTGAACCCTGGCTGCGGGTGGTGAAGGCCTACGTGCGCTGGGCCTGTTAGTTCCTCTCCAACGTCGGATCAGATACTTGCGCTGCCGGAAGCTGGGATGCCTCAGGCGACCCGTGCTTCTTTCTGTCCTTGATGACACGCAACTGACAGCGCTTGCGTCCTTGAGCTCAACATACGAAGTGTGCGAGTGTGCGAGTCCTCGACGTCACGCTTTTGCATCGCTCCGTCAGGGTTCGTCGGCGTGCAGCTTGCAAGTCTCTCGATAGCAACCCTAATAATCAGGCTTTGGGGCCGCAACTTGCACCGATTCTTTGACCGATCCTATCTAGTGAAGGCGTTGATGGATTCTCGGCATTCCGTTAATCCCGGCATGCCCGACCTGTCGCCCTTAGGGGACACCTTCCATCGACCTATTTCTCATGCATTGGGACATCGTCCGAATGCCGCTTGAATCCTATGGGTCTCCTTCGGAAAGGTCACAAAGCGCACGTCCGTTTCGACGTTTTATTTTGCACAGACTTACATACTGCTGCGCCAAGGCGAGAGAAGCCGCGATCGGCGTACCCTGAGGCATCTTGCGTCTGCCTGCTACCAAGCAGCCCAGAAGCGCATCTGGCCTCTCCGAGCTGGAGCGTGCTTGATCGTACCCACTGTATCAATCTGAGTCATGACTTCGGCAGCTAGTTCGAGGATAGAGGGAGTACGTGGGCTCGCTCCACGCCTCAAAACGCGATTCACGACGCTCTTCGCGCCCAACGACGATGCCGACGCTACAGGGCAGGTGCTGAACAACTGGCAAATGACAACTCCAATCGTGTGTCCGCCCATGGCAGCTGCATGTGGCGGAGAGCTGGCCGGTTCTGTGTCTGCAGTAGGTGGCTTCGGATTTATCGGTGCCGGGTACTACACGACACAGAAGCTGAGCGAGGAAATCGCGCTTGCTAGAGAACAGCTTGGCCCAAACGAAGTTGACGGCAAGCCTGACACAGCGATGCTGCCCATCGGCGCGGGGTTTCTTGTCTGGAATCTCACAAAGCTAGCAGGCGGTGAGATACCCTCATCTAACGACTCGCCGAGTAAGTCAGAAGCCCACGCCATCCTCGATCTCGTCGCGACAGAGCGTCTCGCAGCGCTCTGGCTTTCCTTTGGCACAGTGGCAGAGACGAGCGCGTGGCTTGCATACTTCAAAAGACGCGTGCAAGTCAACTCAAGTAGCCACTCATGGAAGCTGTTCATCGGCGTTGGCAATTTGGAGGAGGCACAATCTGCGCTGGAGCACTACGCGCCGGACGTGCTCGCCATCACTGGCGGCGGGGCGGGCGGGCACGGACTCGCTGCTTCGCCGCCCCTCAGCGAATTCCTGCCCAAGGCAGTACATCTTGTTGCGTCTGCAAGCAACTCTTCCTCGTTGGGTGCAAACAAGACACCACTACTGCTCGGCGCAGGCGGCCTCTCGGACGGCGCATCGCTCGCCTCAATCCTCACTCTAGGCGCCGACGGCGGAATCTTCGGCACACGCTTCCTCCTGACTCCGCAGGCGAGCTACACCCGCGCGCAAAAAAATGTCCTCTTGAGATCGGACGGTGCGACGCTGCGCACGATGGCGTTCGACGAGGCGCGCGGCACGACTGGCTGGCCCGCCGGCGTCGATGGTCGCGGCATCCGCAACGCCACTGTGGACGACTACGAGGCGCAGCGCGGGGGCAACGCCGAGGCGCGCCGGGAGGTGTACGCAGAGGCTGCAAATAAGGGCGACGAGAACAGGATTGTCACGTGGAGCGGGACTGGGGTAGGAAACATGCGAGATATTGTCGATGCCAGGGAATTGGTAATGCGCCTGTCTCAAGAGGCGAGAGCGGCTGTCGAAAGGTGCAGTGACTACCTGTAGTAATGCTCACATATTCTATCATGAAGGCACACTGCGTGTTCACGGTCATACCATGGCTGCTGCTACCCTTAGGAGGTAAGTACATTTTTGCACACTGTAAGTCAATTTGAAGCCACACCTTGCATGCGGCCGACCAAGCCATTGGCACCGCGCACGAGGACGGATGTCTTGTCTACCATGGCGAGATGCTTGCGAGACTGATTGGCGTGTAGCGCTGAAAGAGAGCCGTTGCAGTAAGGGGTAGCATGTCGACGAGACAGGGCACCACGAGCAGCTTGTATGGACACCCAGCTGAGGTCCTCTCATTCGACAGGTGACGGATAGAACCTGAAAGTACGCCGTCGCCGCTACAGTTTGGGGTAAACGGGGTCGATGGGGTGATGACGTGATGCCAGCATTTGGTGCATTCTTCACCCGGGCTTTGGCCACCAAAAAAATGAGGCCAATATTTCATTTTGTGCACAAGCCCTAGGAATTACGCCTGGAATGCGCCGTAAATCCCCCGCGCCACATCATCAAGCGAGGGTTTCAGAACGTATCTCCTGGTATTTTCCCTCCATTCCCTTTCTTTCGTCACACTTGGTGTGCTGCCGATGTTGAGCTACAACATCTCGATGCTGGTCCTAGTTCTTCTCTGCTGGAATATTAAGGAGCCATGCAGCACACACGCAGGTCGGACGCTTGCAACGAAGCAGTCGGCGGAGCGCTGCGCGTATGTATATATCAGCGGTCGAAGGCCCGGTCGACGCCGGAGCTCTCCTTCTTGTCCATTCATACCCATTGATCCTTTCCTGCCAAAGATCTATGCACTTTCTCGTCCGTCGACCTTGAGTGGCATCGACCGATGTTCAAGAAATGAGGGCTACAGGTATCGCACGTGCCACAGCCGCAGTGGCATCCACCACTGCGCTTCTCGCTCCTGCCGTGGTTGCCTGTGCAGTTAGCGTCGACAATGACTTCTCCGTTGACTCATTCATGCCGCCCCTCCTCGCCTCGCCAATACCAATGCCTCGTCTGTCCTCGGAGTGGTGCGTGTAAGGCTCGCTTGAAACGCCGGCCGCCGGCCGTCCAAAGGCAGTTAGCTGATCTTGTCGCCTTTATTCCATGTCCTCACAGACAACTGTATCCGGGAATACCTGGGCCAGCCAATCGCAAGTATATGTGCAACGACACCTCAAACTGGCATTGAATGCAACCCGCAAGTCAGCTGCGGGCGGTGCGCCCAGCTCCAAGTCAACGCAAGCGCCGACGCTGAATTCGATGGCTTCCACCGCCGCAAGTAACGTGGCCTCCTCGGATCACTTCGCCATCGTGGCATAACTTGGTGCCCTGAATCCGCTCCTGCTCACGCAGCCAGTCTATCTTGTGGGCGGTAGCCTGACGTGCACTCTCGACTTTACCGGTGCTGCGCAAACTGCACGCACAACTTGCCGCAATCGACCATCGACGCTCGCTCACTTCTTCCCCGGCGCAGCCGCCCACGGCCCCCCAGTTCTTCGCACAAGGCTTGCTCTACCCCACAGAGACCGGCTTGCCGGTGTGGGACAAGCTGTCGACCGCCGTGGCGCACCACCCTGCGAACCTGATCAAGAACTCTACCAAGGGCCTCATTGACATGGGCACCGCGTCCGACAGCTGGGACTATGGAAGGACTTTCGCATATCAGGTCAACCAGGCGCCTGCCTATCTCAAGGAAGTCACCATCGTCATCGGCATCGTCCAGCGCGCATTCTACGAGCGGTGCATTCAGGCCACCAACACGTTCATCCGCTAACGTCGGGTACGAGCTGCACTCACGCCAAGCCATAGATCGTAGTCGCGATATTTTGCAGATCCATAGACCACTTCCAAGTGAAGCGTAGCATATACCACCTGAAAGAACATGTACTCGTAGAAAGCGCTGCTCTCCCCTTGGGGACACAGCAGCACAAATGTGCCCTAAATATTATCTCTGATCCCTTGAATAATTATCTCCTATCCCTTGCGAATTATAAACCAGAAAAACTACAGCGTCTCGAAGAAAGACAGATCATCCGCCGTCATCCCTCTACCCGCCGAAGGGCCATTGGCCTTCGCCTTCCCCTGTGTCTGCTGCAACTGCGTATCCGACTGCACCTGAGCAACGTCTATCGACGAGCGCGTCTGCTGCTGCCCTCCCAGACCGCTCAGAAGGCTCGACACTGCAGCTGTTGCGCGACCAGGTGGAGGCGGTAGCAAGCCACCGGCACGCGTCTGCCCAGGCGGAGGAGGGAGGAGCGGCCCACCTTTGTTTGTCATCGCGGCTGGCGGTGCAGGCGGTGCCGGACCAAGCGCAGTGCCGGCCGATGGGCGGCTGGCGTGAGTTTGCTTCTCCGGAGGAATGCCTGTAAAGTATGGCTGTGAGGAAGAAGACGCGGTGGCCCTTGGGCTGCAGAGAAAGTCGCCGAGCAGGTCGTCGGCAGCAACTTTGGAGCTCTTTTCTGTTTGTCTCGCGTCGGGGGCATTACTTTCTTCTATAGACATATCGCCTAACAGATCGTCAAGCCCACTGAAAGTTGGTTGTGCAGCTTTGGCGCGAGTCGGCACTGCTGGCGCTGGCGGTGGTTGCGACATTCTCCCTGCACCTGTTGACAGCCGCGATCGGGTCGGAAGGGGGTCGGCAATGGCAGGCTCGTCTCGATATCCTGGCGCGCCGCCTCCGAGTACACCGCCAACATCATCATCATCATCGTCATCCCTGTAATCCTTCCCGAAACCGTCATCGATTGTACCGGCTCTGCCGCTCGCGAAAGGAACGCTGGCATATGGATCCAGTCCTCCTGCAAATCTGTTCCGCTGCTCCAAAATGCCAGGCGGCTTGCGATCGCCTTTGCAGCCGATCAGCTGGCCAGTCGGGCTGCCAAACCCATCAGACGATGGCGCGGGACTGAACTCGGATGCAACTATGGAGGCTGGCGTGCGCAGGCCTTGCGGGTTGGGAGAAGAGAGGTTGTAGTTATCGGAGCGCGCTTGGGCAGGTGCGTGAGACGGTGGCGCGACACATGCGGGAAGCGTAGCGTGAGTATGATGCTGCTCCAGCGATTGTATGCAAGCTGCTCTGGCTGGTACCGGACTCCAATCCGAGAATGTTTCCGATTGAAACTCCCCAAAGAGATTCGCGCTGCTCTGCGCACTGCCGGCCGAAGAGATGCGCGCAGACTGCGGAGTCAGACGTTGTGCTTGCCCAACAGAAGGGCCGTTGTGAGCACTGGCGTAACCATTTGACATGAGAGGTCCTGTCATTGAAGCGCCGCGCGGCCCGTTGTGGCTTGCACAGGGCGCCTGCTCCAGTCGTACCGGCCGATGTGGGCCAGACGTGGCGAATTGTGGGCCAGCAGGCGACTTGGCACCTGAGTGGTTGTTGCTATCCATCGTCAGCCAGTGGTCCCGCGGTGAGCCCGAAGTGGATGTACCACCGCTCGTCGACCGCTGCGGTTGTTGCTGACGAGCAGGTACGCACAAGCTGCTGGAGGCGCCGGCGCCTCCAGCAGGAGCAGGCGCCTGCCTGCTTACTGGCCCTGCCGAGTACGGCTGCTGCCCGCCAGCACTGTGCACTTGCGGGGCCGTCTTGTCCAGCCATTCGAGGTCGGCGTGGGAAAGGTGACCCTCTGCGCCTTCGAGGCGATCCGCGTATGACTCCTCCGAGACACCGGCCTGGATGTGCGCGGGTGCGTCCTCCCGCTTGCCGCCACCCCACCTGCCAAACCACCGCGTGACGACCGATTCCGTTTGCTGCTCGTCTGTGTCCGGTCTCATCTTGTTCGCCGCGGCTGCCGCCCGCGCCTTCTTCTCGCTCTCGTCGTCGAAGGACAGCAGGTCCCTTGCAGAATCCGGGTTGCTTGCAAACGATGCAGTCGTGCCAGTCTGCGGCGCAGGCTCGTCTTCATCATCCTCGTCAGCAGCAGAAACAACCGCAGCCGGCGCGACGCCCTTCTTAGCCGACGCAATTAAGCTGGAAATCATGCCCGCTGCGCCTTTCGTTGCGTCTTGCTTGGATGTCTGCACGAAGCCAGGCTTCTTGCTGCCCTCCTCCTTTTTCGCACTGCCGTCCTTGCTGACCCTTGCGCTGTCCTGATCTGATTCAAGACTTGCGCGCCCTATTTGAGGCGAGGTAGTGCTCTTCTGGCTGGCGCGCAGGCGGGCAAGCCATGTAGCCTGCTGAGCACTCGTCGCCGATTGCGGATCACGCGGAGTCGATGCACCTGATCCGACGCTTGCTTGCGCGCCGTCGTTGTCTGTCGCGATCGGTGGCACGGAGATCTGGGGCGGCTTCTTGCCCTTCTCGGCTCCCTGCGCCTTTTCTGGGGCTAGTTTGCGTTCAATGGCGGCTTGCCTGTGTGATCATGGAGTGGAAGATCCTAGTGTCAACATTGCGACGCCAAGCTGCCAGATTGCCCGCCCAAGCGGGCTGATTGCCTCGACTCACAAAGCAGCGGAAGACAAAGTTGGCGACATTCCTGGGCTGCCTGTTGCCTCGGCAGCTGGCTCTGGTGGAGGAGCTCCCCAGGGGCTCTCTTCATCCACAAGCGCACCGTCTGCTACCCCCTCTCCGCCACCTCCCAGTGCTCCTCCCCAGCCAGCACTCACGGGCGTCAGCCTGGAAGACCCACTATCTGCTATCCCTATCTCATTGAACGAAGTGCTAAGCGAAGCGTTCGACTCGCCCCCCCATCCATCGCCGTCCCCTCCTCGTGCTTCCTCTGCTCGGCGCGGCGGGATGCTCGACGTAGACGTGCTCTCTCCGCCCTGCTTTTCCAGTGATGAGGCGGACGAAAATTTGTACCCGGGACTTCTGATGGGTGCCCATCCTGATGCCGCCGACCCAGTAGCAGACGCGGGTTCGTTGGAGGAAGATCGGCAGCCCCATGTGCCCTCACCGGCACTGGCAGGCGCTGCGCTCTGGGAAGCGGTGCTACTCGTGCTGTTGACCTTCTCTTTGGCGCTAGAATAGCTTGCGGTGCTGTATGTTGATCGCGCTGACGCTGGCGGCGTCGCGTCGTCCGCTGTGTTTCGCGGGACCGCTTCTGCTGTTGCGAAAGATGTTGCTGGTGGTGCGTCGGCAGTGCACCAGGAAGCTGCGTCTTTCGTCAGATTCGCTTTCGGATAGCTCGCATCACTGCTAGGAGATATAGAGCCCCATTGCGGTGGATCAAGGCCTGACGTGCTGGGGGTGCGTGGTCCACCACCTTGTGTGGCAGATGCACTCGCACCCTCAATTGGATCGGTAGATGCTGGCGAAGCTGGCCCCCAACGCGGAGCAGCATTGTAGTCTACAGTGTCGGCACCTGTTGACCGCGGCGCATCTGCTGTCGCTACGCTGCCATCGCTGACGCTGAAGCTTGGGAGCGTAGCTACCACGGCTGCAGAGTTTCCGTCGGGTTCGGCCCAGGGCGACGACGACGACCAGGGATCGGCTTCCATCCTTTCTACTGTTCGCTGGCGGCGCCCGGAAAGGACGCAAGCTCCCTCTATAAAAGAGGCAAGGGCGCCGCGTTGTGATCAATACCGAGATGAATCAATGACCAGCGAGCGGGAGGAACATATGGAGCTGAGGGAAGGAAGAACATCAAAGCAAAGCTTTGCCTGTGGGGCTGGACGAGTTTGCTGCGCTGCGCGTGGAGACTGTCATTCTCTGTGTGGAGCCACATCACTCAGAGGGCTCGTTGAAGAGCCAGGCGGCGCCTTTACAGAGTCCTCAAGGTCTCTTTGGACAGCCGCAAGTGTGCTCCAAACTTGCTAAGACGAATAAAGAGTCGCGGACATCCTCGGCAGACGTTGTCGACAGATGATTGCGAACTTGCAGATATAATACAGTGTAAAGCAATTAACACAAAGAGCAGCAAGGAAGTTGACGCCTGAGTCCTTTTCGGCTGCCATTCCCTCCTTCGGAGAGCGAGGCTTTCAAATGTGTGCCTCATTTCCCGCCACCTTTTCCCGTTTCTTTAAAAAGGACATGCTTCTTGACTGCAGGGAGAAAAAAAGGGTCAGCAGGAGGAGGGTGAGAAGAGTTGGTGCTCAGAAACCACTCACCCTTGGGGTCATACTTCATGAAGGCGAGCTTGTCTGCTGTCCGTGGCCGTCGTGTGGTATATTGGTAGCCGGTTCCAGCTGTACTCAGCAGTCGCGCAATGATAATTCTGCCATGTAGTCGATGCAAAAGTTGGAAAAAGATAAGTCAGGATATCGTCTCAGGGACAGACGAGATGTATACAAAACGGCGTCGCGTGTGCTCCCACCGGTGCTTACCTTGCCTTTGATTTGGCTGCCATATTTCCTCTCCTTGCACACTTGGCAAGGTCTCTACTCGAGCCTCGCGCGCTAGTCGAGAAGCCAATGATATCTTTGATCGTCTGCGAGCTCACGCTTCGGTAGGGTGCGCGATGAAAGCCGTTATCACCCGATGAACACCATCTCCAGTATGCCAAGTTGTTGGCGTCTTCGCGGGGAGGCGGGAGATGAAGAAAGCAGTAATTCGCCGAAGTGCTGCTGCGGGTGGGATTTACAGAGAGTCAAGACGCCGACGCCGCCTCCAGCCGCCATACATGGCTCGCATGTACGCAGGCACACATTCTTGGCCACCGCCCCCCCCTTCTCAACTCACTAACAACGACCATCAAGCTGAACACTACATGCACACAGCCCAGGTCGTTGTTAGACTTTCCATGCACACTCGACAGCATCATGCACGTCGCGAATTATCATCGTGGGCCATAGATACCTCTCTCGCCCTGCGGGTCATTTCTCGAGTTGTCGCTAGGCCGCGTGGCAGTCGTGTTCCAACGGCTGGCCGTCGCGGGCTTGCCCAACGGCCGCAGCGCACACAATATCTGACGGAACCTTACTGCCCGCTCACCCACAGACTTACGCGCCCTCCGAATCCCCGCTCCACCGACTCTATTGGGCAGCTCAAATTTCACGCTGGTTGTCTGACTACTTTTGCTTCCAATTAGGGTGGACAACTGGTGCCGCCGCTTCAGTGACCGGGAGCCCTCCAAGGAACGACCGATCATCAAGGCAATCTGGTGCCTCACACTGTTCACAAGAGTCTTTCCTCCGAGACATAATCTTGGTCGCACGGAGCGCTGTCGTGCCATGAGTCACTTTTCTCGTCAATGATTCCCAGCTCTCCTCACAACTGGCGCGCTCAGGACCGGGCAGGCTCCGCTCATGGCAGAGTGGAACATTGGCTAACACGGATTGGCTATCCGTCGTTCAGCGGTCGAATTTGGAAAGAGTCCGAACGGGAAAGTGGAAAAGCATGCAGCGAGCGTCAGGGATGACAATGTCATTCGGCCAACATGACGGTATATATTCGATCCACACTTCGTCCAGTTTCCTTTCCAATTCTTTCCCTCACCACCATTGCTGTCTGTCTCGTTCTGTTGTCCTCCTCGTCAACCCCTTTCATTCCTCCGTCTCTCCCCTCCTCTCAACTTGGGCCTGGTGCTCATCATACCCTATCCGCCTTAACAGCTAAGCAACCACTTTCATTTTGGCTTCGCACACCCTCTCGCATTCCAAGGACCCTCGCTCTTCCATCTCCCCCCCACAGCGACTGGCTTCGCTGCCCTATTTGACTCGAGCGGTCCAATTTTTCCAACAGCTAAGCCTCCTATCCGATCCTCCCTACCGCCCCAATACCCAAGTCTCTGGAGAATTGACAATCTCAGGTCGGTCGATTGAACGCCAACTCAACGACCACCACACCTCTTTCACCACCTGTCATTAAAAGGAAAGAAAAGCCAGGACCCCAGTACAAGCAGACAGCATGGTCGTCATCGGCTCGAACACCGCTCTCACCGCCCTCACGGCCACGCTGGCCGTCCTCTCCGCCGCGCAGGCCCGCCCGGCAACTGTGGAGCAGAAATCAGGTCAACAGACGGAGCAGCCGCTGAAGCGCATGGCCAAGGTGCTCGTCCGCAGCACCAACTCGCCTCCGCTTCCCAAAGCTGCTTCGGCCGTCAACGTCGCTGGCGCGCGTCGTAGCATGCCCAAGCTTGCGCGTCGCGCCGAAGCCAGCGTTCGAAACAAGCGTGGTCACGGTCATGACCACGGTCACACCCACGAGCACATTCATGTACACGATCATGATCATGATCATCGCCACGGCCATGCTCATAAACATGTCCACGTGCACGACCACGGTCACAAGGGGCGCAAGTACACAAAGGAGGAGGTAAATTGAGATGTTCTGTATGTTGCTGCGAAACGAGATCTGACCCACATTTTTCCTTTCACCCTCTCGCCGCGCCCTCATTCGCTTCCGTATAGATTGCCCACCACAGCAAACACTGGGCCAAGCACCACGGCCTGGCCAAGCGCGAGCCCGAGCCACACTCCCGCAAGGCTGAATACATCTACCAGCCCAGCAGCGGGAGGATCATTTCTGCCAACCGTCCTCTCATCAAGTTCAATGCTCGCGACGGCGTCATTGCTCCAGCCGCCGAGGAGGACCAGGTGGCTGGGCCTGCTGAAGATGAGACCAATATGGCTTTCAACGAGAAGAGGCACTCGTATGCCAACATACTTGCCGGCAAAGTTTACGGGAAGAATTCATACCGCCCAGATTCGCTCCTCAATGTCAACATCAAGCGGGATGATGACACTGAGGCCATGGGCGATGCTCCTGAGAAGCGGAGCCCTCACTCCAATCTGCGCGCTGGCGAACCTTACGGGTACTGGAAGCCCGACCCGGCGGCCCTCCTGGACGTCCACTTCAAGCGCGAGCCGCACTCTGGTCACTGGTATGATCACCACCGCGACCACGGCCATGGCCACGAGCATGACCACGACCATGAGCACATTCACGAGCACATCCATGAGCACAAGCGCGAGGCGCCGGCCATGGACCAGCAGAGCATCGATGTAGAGGAGTTTGCGAAGCGCGAGCCGCACTCTGGTCACTGGTACGATCACCACCGCGGCCACGGTCACAACCACGGCCATGGCCACGACCATAGCCACGGCCATGACCATGACCATGAGCACATTCACGAGCACATTCACGAGCACAAACGTGATGCTACGGTTGAGGATCTTGCTGCGCGTGCTTCTCACTCTGACCACCGGTACGACCACCATGACTACCATGGTCACGGCCACGACCACGATCACGACCACGACCACGCTCACATCCACGAGCACGCGCACGAGCACAAAAAACGTGGTCTTCTCACGGGTGCGATTAAGCCCCTTCTTGCTCCGCTCAACGCCATCCCCGGGTTTGTCACGATCAGCGACTTGCTGCTCGGTACTGATACGACCGATGGCCTCGTCAAGAAGGTTGCCTCGCTGGTCCTCCACGCCGAGCCGGCACCTGCCAGCGCTCCAGCAGGCAGCGCTCCCTTCCGCTACAGCCTGATGGCTTCCAAGTCGGAACGCACGCAGATCTGGCTCGTCCCCACGGACGATTCGTCCACCGTCACGGCGCAGACTCTGATGGCGTCTAGCGCAACTGCATCTGCAGCGCCCCCGTTCAACCCATCGGCTGCCTCTTCCGGGAGCGGTGACGGCTCGATGATAGTCAAGGTCGTTGTTCCTTTACTCAACACATCCTCATCCCAACCGATGACATGGTGCGCCACATTCAACACCACACCTCCGAGCCCGTTGCAGCTGCAGCCTTGCGCCAACGCCACGACGATCCTGCAGGACACGCCCACCTCGCAGCGCTTCTCTTACACGCCATCTTCCGGCGCACTTGCTCCGCTGTACGCCAAGGAATGGGCAGGTAACATTTCCAGTGTCGCGGACGGTAGTACGGACGGATCTGCCACTCCGCCCAACACTACGCCGCTCCCCACCGCCTCGCCTGCCCCTGCCCCTCCCGCTTCGCGCCGTCAAGCCCCAGAGCCCGCCGCTGACGATGTGGACAGCAGCAGCTCCGGCTCGGATACCAGCACTCAGGGCGACGACTCCGTTACTGGAACCGCTTCCACGCCGGGAACCACGGCTCCGCTCTCCGCAAAGGCCAACACCAACACAGTCACGCTGAAGTTCACCCCTGCCGGCATCGATTCACAGGGTTTCCAGCTGTCCAATGCGAGCTCTGGCCCTTCTGCGCCTGCTCCACCTGCAGCAGCTGCCCCGGTGTCCGCCGCCATCGCGCCTCTCAGCAGCAGCCTGCCTCTACCTGCGGCGCCTTCCGCTCCGGTCCCAGCCTCGGCTGTTCCCTCGAGCTTGGCATCGTCTAGCCTCAGCGCTCTCCCAGCCGCCTCGCCCACGGCTCCGACCAGCGCTTGAACGTTGGATGGGTGGACGGTCGCAGAGAGGGTTCTACCACACATCCCCCTTGTCCTCTCTCCATACCCCCTGCGGTCAGATTCCATGTACTTCGCGCCACACCTGAATACATGTCCATTTCTCCGCAAGTTCTTTACTAGGCAGTAGGCCCTTTCCAGTCGGCATATCATCTTGTCGGCTTGACGGACCGGCACGGAGTACGGGTGAGGATTCAGATTTGCAAATACCAAATTGTGAGTGAACAAGGAATCTAGAAATACAGGAAATGCCGGTCGACGCAGGTGCGGGCGCCGGGGAAGGGGATGGGGAGTGGGCATCACATTGCAGTCGCAGGTGCCCTTTCCTGAAAGGAAGAAGCCTTGAATGAATGAAGGAGATGTGATTGTGGGCCGGGGGTTGGTGAGGATGGCCGGGGCCCTGGGGGGATAATGAAACAAGTGGACGCACATTGTCCACTTGTAGGGCGGCAGTTCAGTCGACGATAGTGAGCTCTTTGGTTCTATTTGCTGCATATGCGTCCTTCCACGTGTCCCAGATCCTGTAGGTAGAAAGGTAGAGGATCAGCAGTCAGGCCACGGATGGTGAGTAGCGCATGATCCCTTGGCTTGGTGAGAGCTAAGAGGAACAGTTCAGGGTTATATCGCGCACCGCATGAGTTCGTCAATGTACTGCCGCTGGATGTCCTCCAACATCTCTTTTGAGGGGTTCGCAGTCTTTTGGACGTGTATCGGGCGACCGACTGCCCAGACATGGGTGCGCACAAGGGCATCGGCGATGTCAGTAATGTACAGGGCAAAGCAGGGCCAGAAGGGACTGGATGCGCACCGACGCTGACGATCGGATGCCGATATGGCAGGAGGCCAAGATGGTAGTTGAAGATCCCACGGCCGTGGAAGAGGGGCAGAGTGAAGCCAAAGACCGACTGTTGAAGGGGCGAAGAGGGGTTCAGACAAATTTGCACCAATCAAGACGGCTGATGATGTACATATGCGCACCTGGAACCGCTTCTGGAATGCATACACTGCGGTGCCTTTCTCGTTGCTTAGCTGCTGGAAGATGTCGTTCTCGCCGAACGAGAAAACGGGGACGAGATCGGCCCTGCCAAGAAGAGGGCATACATCCACGGATCGGCGAAGAGTGGGCAGCATGAGAGGTCAGCAGCAAGCTACGACTTTGTGGTGTGAGGAAGGAGGGGGGCAGCTGGCGCGTGCGCTCTTTGTCACTGCATCACGCACCCAGCTCGTATGGCGATCTTGATGAAGCCCAGCCGGCGGCGGAGCGTCAGATCTGCGGTGCCCGGGTGCGCCTTGAGGCTCTCCGTCGCGCCGCCGACGACGATGGTGATGCAATTGCCGGGGCCCTTGCGCAAGATGCGTTCGCAGCTGTGCTTGCTGACCGAGCACATGCCGAAACTCATGATGACGTCGCGGAAAATGGGGATCTGGAAGTTGGTTGCGAGCGTGAGCAGGTGCGGCCGGAGGCCGGGAAAGGACGTCGCAAACTCGGTCGCTTCAGTCGCAAAGTTCGCCACGGCGCCAACGCCAATGATGCCGTGTGGGTGGTAGCCAAAGACGTACGGCCGGTCCGCAGGCAGGTCGGCAGTCTGTTGCGTGGATATCCAAGGATGAATGCAGGCATGGTTAGGCACGAAAAAGTTTTCTTCCTCGCTGAGGCCTGCCAGGCAGCAGCGACCCACCTTGATCAAGCTGACGGGATAGTACTCGGCAAAATATCGCCACACGGGTAGACGCCTGACCCAGGTCACCCTCCTCCCACCGGACTCAGGGGCTCTGTCTACTAGTAGGACCCAGATGAGATACGGAAAGAGGACTGGCCAGAGGATAGGAATAGACCTGGGGAAAGCAGGGCAGTTGCCAACGTCGAAACAAAAGAATCAGCATCGTGCTAGCATAAGTAAGGTAGCTGACGCATGCAGGGATGCCTACCACAGGAAAAAGAACACAAGCAGGCCCAACGGGAGCAAGATCTCCCAGAGGAGGACGGCAGTGGTTTGCAGTCTTCGATGCCGTGGGATGGAGAGCGGTGCGAATCTGGAGGCACGTGTCACGCATACAGTCAGCGCGGCCCACGTCTGCGTTGCGTCCATCGAGATCGAAACACACCTAATAGAGTGGCTCCTGGCCGTCTCGCGCTCCTTGGCCTTCTCGGCTTCGCGCTCGGCACGCTGCTTATCGTCGCTCTGGGCGGCATCGCCAGCGCCGATGCTGGCATGCAAGCCTTCCACTGCGCCTTTGTGCGCATCTACGGCGTGCCCATTCCGGCCATGCTTCTCATCGTCGTCCGCGTCCAAGAAGACGGGCTCATACGCGGGGGCGCGGGCGCCAGCCGTCGCGGATGCAGGCTCGGTGCGGTTCCAGAAGCTGAAGATGGCCATGGCGAGGGTGCGGAGCAGCAGAGGGTCGGGCGTGAGCCAAGAAGATCGATCGGCTGCCCCTTCGCAGCAAGACGTTTATCGATCGGTGACCACAGCCACAGGGCGAAGTCGGTCGTGGGCCTGGTCGTCGTCCAGCAGTAAGGCCTAGCTTTCACCGTTCCACCACGCGAGGGATCGATCGCCAACAGCCTTCTTTGGGCAAGGATGGGCATTGTCATCAGGACGGCCTTTCATGGTCCTATACAGGGAGTGAGGTGTGCTTGTGTGCTGTGTGGTGTGCGCACTGACCACGTCCCTGTTAAGTCGAGATCTCATGTGAAACTTGAATAACACCCGGGAATTCGGAAGTCGAAACGGAACCTATGCCGCTTTCGAGCCAGCCAATATTGCATCGATCATCTTTTCTTGGCTTCCCCACTCTCCAGCTCGGGAAGCCGGCCTATGGCAAGCAAGAGTCAGACGCAGCTGGGTCCCAGAGTGTACATACTCACCAACAGTAGCTCTGCACACTACTCTCACCATGTCCCCGGCTGTTCCCTCGATTCGTTGAACAGACTGATACCGGTTGGTGAGAAAGCATGGACCTTGCCACCTCGCCGAACTCCAACGCCGCCGCATCGCCGCCCACCTACCGCATCCATCTGGCGCTCTACGACAACAGCGGACCAGACGGCGAACGCATCTCCGGAACGGCTGCTCCGCCACTGTCCTGCCTCCCTGACGACTGGCGCGAAGCACTGGCCGAGCTGCGCCAGTCGGGCACGTACCTCGTCCCTCCATCATCCCCGTTCCCGCCGGCCTCGCCGTCGGTGTCGCGGCAAGCCACGCTGAAGATCTTTGGCCTCTTGCCTCACGTGCGACAGCAGCGTCGCAGAGATCGTGGCGGCCAGCTTTCAGACCTTCCGCGTCGAGTTCCACCGGCGGCGGCACACGCGGATAGCTCTCAGCGCCCGCAGCCTCCCATCGACCAGCGCTTCGGGCCGATTGCGATCGACTGGGCAGACCATCTGACGCAATCGCTCCCTGTAGAAATGTCAGACTTGCAACTTCACAGCGGTGGCGCATCTTGTTCATCAACTAGCAAAAAGAGAAATGGCGCTCGCACCGCCGCCTCTGCGCCAATCGCGCAGCAGCCGGCACAAGCTTCCACCTCGTCTTCAGCGCCTCGAGCACCGCCGGCGTCTGATGCAGGAGCTGCATCCTATACACACCCCTATCCGAGGCCGCGCGCTGCGTCCAAAAATCCAGCTCCATCCACACAGGCACAGCCAGAGACGCCCACCCCCGTAGCACGGTTCCATCAGAAAAGCACCTTCTCGACCAGGGACGATGAGGATGGTGATCGGAGCGCCTTGCGCAATCGAGTGGGAAATTTCAAGACGGGCAGCACGGATGTGGCATTTGGGGTGGTGCATCTTTTCCGGGACCGCGAGGAGGCTATGCTTGAGCCGCAGCATGAAAGCAGAGCGCAGGACGGCGAGACTTCTGCGAGCGCCGAGTCATCTCAGACGCTGGAGGATAGCGAACTGGGAACAGTGCTGGCCGTACTTGCTATGCCCTCCGCCATGACCGCTGCCGACTTCCTTGCCTTCGTCGAACCCGCCGCCGACGCAATCAGCCACTTGCGGATGATCCGGTGAAGCGAGCTCATATCCCTCTTTCGCATTTTCACGTGCTGATTGCTCTGGCTAATCTGCAGGGAAACGCTGCCGAACCGTGCGATGATCTTGCTCAAGTTCCGTGATGCAAGCGACGCAGAAGAGTTCCACAAGCTCTTCAACGGTCAGCCATTCAATGCCATGCATCCAGACCAGATCTGCCAAGTTGTCTACGTCACGAGCGTCACCGTCTCGTCCTCCTCCTCGCTCCCGTCACACGCGTTCTCCAACCTCACCAACTCTGACCCGTGGCCTGTCGTTATGCCCCCCTCCCAATCATCGACGACAGCACAAAGCGGCCGTGGCAGCGCAACCACATCGGACGCCTTGGCCAAGGGCCTCCTGCAGGAGCTGCCCACGTGCCCCGTATGCCTGGAGCGCATGGACGCAAGCGTGACGGGCCTAATGACCATCACGTGTCAGCACACCTTCCACTGCTCTTGTCTGAGCAAATGGACCGACAGCAGGTGTCCCGTCTGTCGGTACTCGCAAACCAGGCAAGCCTACGGACACATTTTGGCGCGCAGACCTGGCGAGGAAGATGATGAGTCTGCACCGATGCCGAGTGCTTGCACCGTCTGTGCTACCACGACGGACCTTTGGGTCTGGTGAGTCGCTCAGGAGGATGGGTCAGCCTTTCCTAGCTGACAGTGCGAATGGTCGTATTGTTTTGCGATATAGCCTCATTTGCGCTTCGGTCGGATGCGGAAGGTACAAGTCTGGCCATGCACATCAGCACTACATAGAGACGGGGCATCTGTACAGTCTCGAGGTGAGCAAAGATGCGCCGAACCTGGTATGATCCTAGAAGAGGATGCACATGCTGATCTCTTTTTTGATATTGCCCTCCCAGCTCGAGACGCAACGCGTGTGGGACTATGCAGGTGACGGCTATGTCCATCGGCTGATCCAGAATAAGACGGACGGCAAACTGGTTGAGCTACCATCCGCATCGTCGACTGGTAATACGCCCTCAGGCAAAGGCAGCTATAGCCAAGCAATATCGGGGGAGATGGTCTCGTCCGACAAGATTGAGTCCATCGGCCTCGAGTACAGCTACCTCTTGACTTCGCAGCTCGAGTCGCAGCGCTTTTACTATGAGGACAAGATCCACGGCCTGCAGAGCAAGCTGGATGACATGGTCGAGCGCGACGAGGCGCTCACATCTCGTGTGAGCAAGGCGGACGCGGCGCTTGCACAGCTGCGTGAGGAAGTGCACCGCACGACGTCGCTGTGCTCCACGCTCGAGGCGGACAGACTCAAATCGGAGAACCGGGCAGGGAAGGCGGTCGAGCAGGCGCGCAAGCTGCAGCGCGACCTGCAGGCTGAGCAGAGTATCAGCCAAGGCCTGCAGAAACATGTCGAGATCCTCAAGGAGGAAGGCTCGGCAATGAAGAGTAAAGTAGTGGATCTGGAGGAGCAGATGCGCGATCTCATGTTCTTTGTCTCAGCCAGGGAGAAGGTCCAGGGCTCCGAAGAGCTCGTAGGAGGGGATGTCGCGATCGGGCCTCCGGCAAAGGGGAAGAAGAAAAAGGGCGGGAAATAATCAGATGGACCTGTGCTCGGCGTATGTATTCTCCTTCATTTGTAGCATAGGTATTCTAGAGCGGTGCTGACCTTAATCACGCATCCTGCCTACAGCCTTGAAGCTTGTGCAAACCCTGGCTTCGGGAGTTTGGCGATAATAAAGCACCGGAATTACGAAAACATCCCCGACACCCAATCAATTACAGCGATGAGATCATGAGAGCCTCCTGGAGCTGTCATAGACCTGTTGCTAAACCAACTTTATAGACCCTTGCATCACCTACATTATCTAAGACGTTGGCCACAACCTACCATGCTCATGCCGGATGTGTTGGCCAGCACTCAAAGTCCTCCGAATGGTCCAGCTCAGTGTCCAGAATGATCTGGAAGCTATCGCCAGTGGTCAAGCGCGCCATCGGTACTCGGGCTGTCGTTAATGCAAGACTCACACCCCACTTTTCGGCAGGTCTTTCATCACGTCAGACTCCCGGCGCGAGTCCTGCGCATCGTGATCATCAAGTGCAATATGGGGCCGAAGAAGGCGCACGTAGCCAAGAAGGTGCTGCCATCGTACCACAGTCGACTCATGCTCACGGAGTGGAGGAGGAAGCCGCGAACACCAAATTGAAAGCCACTGGGCCCAAGCCGATGACAATCGAAGAGAGGGACGCAGCACTCATGCAGAAGTTCCTTGATCGTGAAGGCGGCACTGCAGGATTTGGTATGGGCTGCGAGGAGTGGAATGGCGCGATGGGAACGCAGACCAGGAATAACATGTTCCGGTGAGTATAACATGCGTCAGTAGGCCGAGCAAGGAGGGGCCGATGCAGAATGTATGCTGCATTTCTGGATCTTAATTAGTGATGTGCCGTCATGAAGCGGGAGAAGAGGCTTATATTGACCAGTAAAAACTGTTTATCGCTCCCTTCAGCGTGATTTGAACTATGCTCCTTGCTCGCCTCAAGGTGCCGTTTGTCGACATCTCCCGTCGCGTCCTCAAGTAATCGTTTCATGCGCATCAAATTTCGAACCGGAGCCTTGATCACAATTGGCAATCATAAGGCGACCATCACAGGCCCTCATACCGGTTACGGAGTCCAAGCTCGTCTCAAATGTGCTATGCTCGAAATTTGGCAACTAAATGTAGTGGAGCATAGGCGGGTCTTCGCTCTTTTCTTGACGGCATCCTGTGCGCGTGAATTTGTCAGCTCTTCACTCATCACCATGCCTCATGTAGCATAACAGTGCCAGTCACATGTAGCAAATTGTAGTTTTACACCAGCGATGGTTTCATAGGTCAGCTGCAGCCGACCAGTTAGCCTGCGCGAGTGACAAGAACCAGTTTGGCAAGTACGTGCACTCCAGCCTCGATCATTTCCCCGACAGCAAGAGATTCGCTCACATTTTTCAGGGGTTTTCTGACAACCTTCATACCCAGGACATGCCGACCTGATTTTGGTATTTCTTTGCGTAGATTAACACCGCATTACGCTCGGCGTTTCAAGTCATTTAGAGATGACGTGAGATGTGCGATTGCAAAGCAACCTGAGAGCGCTTGTCGCAGCCATGCAAAGTCATTGTCTGTGGGCAGCACGGAGGATCTTGCATTGCCAGCTGAAAACATATTGCTGAGCGTTAGGATATAGTACAAAGGCAGCACTGGCGCACTGCGGGAGTGATGCTGCGCTCTTTAAGCAAGCACTTGCATGGCCTCGTCCAAAGCATAACGGCAGGTCTTGCTAGGCGCCCTTCAGCCACTACCGCTTAAAGATGTTAGGTAGGCTGTTGACAAACCAGGTGTAAGTAATGGTGACCTGGCAGTGCCTGCATGCTTCAGTGGTAAGGACCATGCTGGCTGAACGCCAGCAATTTGCCAGTCAAGGTCCAAAGCAGTGAAACAGTGCCTGCTCTGGTGTGCAAGGTATCGCATGAGTTTCCACTTTCCATTGGTGCCTTTTGGAAAGGAATGAAGGGACGTCCCAACTCCCAGAAAGCCGGACAGTGTCCAGTGAAATTCCCTGTGCTCCCAGAAATCCCGGGGGTTCGAACACCAAAGCTGTCAAGAAAACGGAAATAGCTTCCCATCAGGATGCCTGCAACCAAGGTGCCCTCGCACAGACTACCTGATCGGCTGCAGCTACCTCTTGAAACTATCGCTGGTGTACGTATTTGCACCATTTGCTTCCTAATACTCTAACAAACCCTCACTGGGACTTCTCGTTCGCTGCTGCTCATAGAGGAATAAGTTCGCCATTCCGACATGGATATCAGAAAAGCCCCGGAATCGGATCCTAGAAAGCACATTAATATTGATATTTGCACCGAATCAATGTTCCAGCCACTCGCCAAAAGGCTCAGCCTCGAACATCCCATAAAGTCAATACATGCATGACTTGCCGTCCTTGTACTTCTTCTATTGCTCGTCTGAGATTCATCATCGCTAGATCGTAAGACTGGCAGGCTTTCTATAAACAATCGCCCTAACCCGGATTGGCATTCGACTTCCTGCAGTCATCATGTCGTCTTCAGCCGCAGCGCTCGACGCGCAGCTCTCCATCGAGGCCAAGTACGACCTCATTACGAGAGACCTTCAGGAAGTTCTTGGAGGGGACAAGATCAAAGACATCTTGCGGAAGGGAGAGCGGCCATTAAGATGCTACTGGGGTACCGCGCCGACTGGTAGACCACACATCGGCTACTTTGTTCCGTTCACCAAGCTCGCCGACTTCCTTAAGGCTGGCACGGAGGTTAAGGTGTTGCTCGCAGGTGAGGGGCTAACAATTCACCAGTGCCTCACACATGCAAGGTATATACTTATATTCGTCTTTTTCAGATATTCATGCATTCTTGGACAATATGAAAGCGCCGATCACACTCGTGCGCCATCGCGTGGAGTACTACCGCCTCATCATTCGTACCGTCCTTAAAGCTATAGGCGTGCCTGTCGAGCGCCTTAATTTCGTCGTCGGCTCAAGCTATCAGCTGACTGAGGCCTACAACATGGACCAGTACCGGCTGTGTGCCATGGTTACCGAGCACGATGCCAAGCGCGCTGGCGCTGAGGTGGTGAAGCAAGTGTCAAGCCCTCTTCTTAGCAGCATGCTCTATCCAGGTCTTCAGGCCCTTGACGAGCAGTACCTCGATGTAGACTTCCAGTTTGGCGGAGTCGATCAGCGCAAGATCTTCGTCTACGCCGAGGATATTCTTCCAAAATTGGGCTATGCGAAGCGAGCACATCTGATGAACTCAATGGTACCGGGCCTCAAGGGCTCCAAGATGTCGGCTTCGGATGCGGGCTCTAAAGTGGATTTCCTCGACACACCCAAGGATATTGCTAAGAAGCTCAATGAGGCGCACTGCATTGAAGGGCAGGTGGAGGAGAACGGAGTGCTCGCGTTCGTCAAAAATGTTATTTTTCCTATTGAGCGATTGAGGGAGGAGAACATCGCGGGCGGTAATGCGGACTTGCTCGACGCTAGCAAGGGCGCGTCTAAACGCCTCGCAGCAGATGGCGCACCCCCAAATACTTTATTCAGCATCAACCGGCCCGATAAGTTTGGGGGGGGGCTGCACTACTCGACCTACGAGGCAGTCGAGAAGGACTTTGTGGATAGGAGGCTGCACCCGGCAGACCTCAAGCAGGGCGTCGCAGACGCCATCTCAACGCTATTGGAGCCCGTCAGGAAAGAGTTTGAGAGCAATGCGGATTTCCAGAAGATCGCCGAGCTTGCTTATCCATCAGAAAAGGCCGCAGCACCAAAGAAGGTCGTCAAGCCAAGTAAGTTTCTTTAGGTTCGAGTCGATGCTTTCGGAGAGGCTTCTGACTCGTTGGCCATAATTCTGCTGCGCAGAGAATCCACGCTTCGCGCACATGTTCACCAAGGAGGAGGGCGGGACTGCCGAGACAGCTGAGGATGCACAGGCTGCCAAAGCAGCGCATGAAGCAGCAATCGCAGCGGGACAAGAGCCACCCCCTCCACCAAAGCAAGCGAAGGCAGCAACATCCTCCACTCCAAAGCAGCCAAAGGCAGCGCCGAAAAACGAGCCTTCGCGCCCGCTTCCTTCGCAGATCGATCTTCGCGTCGGCAAGATCGTTGACATCAAGCCGCATCCGGACGCTGACTCACTGTACCTCGAAAGCGTCGACTTTGGCGAACCGGACGGCCCGCGCACTGTACTTTCCGGGTTGGTCAAGTATGTGCCGATTGAGAAGATGTCAGGACGCTTGGTGGTTGGCGTGTGCAACTTGAAGCCCGCAGCGATGAGGGGTATCAAGAGCCATGCGATGTTGCTTTGCGCGACGCACAAGAGCGGGAAAGACGGCGGCGTTGAGCCGGTTGCGCCGCCAGAAGGGAGCCAGCCTGGCGATAAGCTGTGGGTGGAGGGATACGAGGGACGTGAACCTGACGCGCAACTAAACCCGAAAAAGAAGGTGAGCCAGCTACATAATTTTGACCTTTGCCGCAGACACGCTGATACCTGTATTTCGCTTGTGCAGATCTTCGAAACGATCCAGCCTGCTTACCTCACCACCGAGAGCAGAGAGGCGGCCTGGAAGGGTGTCGGGCCAGATGAAGACGAGACCGCCGAGCCCAAGGTTAGACTGATAAAGGGAGAGAAGGGCGTATGCTTTGCTCCGGCGGGATTTGAGGGCGCTGGTCTATCCTAGAAATTTTCGCACATTCAAACAGGGCTGCATGGAAATATTACGACATACTCAAGACAGGAATGGAAGTTGCAGATTTTGCAGCCCTCATGGAAGTCCGAAGTGCATCTGATGGGCCTACTTTGACTGTAGAACAATGCATCGATACCTGAGCGCGGGTGTCTGTATGATACATGCAACAGATTCAGCAGGGACTGTCTTGAGTCAAAGTGCATGGTTGCGGATGCTGTGAGAAAGTAGGACTGCTTCGATGAGAAAAAACTGGAAAGAACTATGTTGAGTGCAGGTAGTGCTCATATGCCTCAGCAACTGGTCTAAAGCTGATGATTTCCATCGATGGCTTTCCATCACGAAGGCAGACGATGACACTGGCATTTGGGGCAAGCGCAGTTAGCGGTCAAAGCTCGCGATATGAATGAGCAATCTCGATCACCTCACCATTTGTCATCGCGGTAAGCCATTTTGAAGACCTGCTCACTCGGCTGGCCGAGCTCGCGGATGAACTTGCCCGTGTTGGTGTCCCATAGCTTGACAATACCGTCATTGCCTCCTGTGACCATGAAGCGCTCGTCGAATTGCAAGCAAGTGACGGAGTTGTCGTGTGCGCACAGGCGGTGGAGGCACTCGTATGTCTCGAGAGAGAAGATGATCACGCGGCCATCGGACCCACCCGTGACGAGCACCTTATCCGTCAGCTGGAGCTGGCCGACAAGAGAGGTATGCCCTTGGAAGAGAGCGAGGCATTCGCTGCGAGTGTAAATAAACCTTCTGTCAGCTGCAGTCGCGGAAGGGGAACTTAAAAAATACGCCACACTTACCCCGTGTGAGCGTTCCACACGCGGACCGTAGCGTCAAGGCTGCCCGTGGCGACCTTCTCGCCGTCGAAAGCGATCGAGTAGATTTGATGACAGTGACCCGTGAGGACGTGCAGGCATTTTCCCGTGTCAACATCCCAGATGCGGCAAGTCGCGTCATAGCTGCCGCTGGCAATCCTGTTGCCCGCAACATCCAAGCAACGCACAAAGTGCTCGTGCCCAGAGAGCAGGTGGATCAGCTCGCCCTTCTCGATATCCCACACGCGCACCGAGTGGTCGCGTGCGCCAGATATGGCGATCGGCCGTCCAGGCATGACTTTCAGGCAGCGCACCGTCGCGGTGTGACCGCGGAGGACGTGCTTGCATTCGCCTGTGTTCAGATCCCAGACCCTGATTTCGCGATCTGAGCCTGCGGAGACGATGACGGGATGGATGTTGCCGTAGCTGGGTACACTACCTGTCGGGCTGCTCTGCGCTAGGCCAGGAGCAGTGTTGTTGTTACTGTTGTTCGCGAATAGAGAGTAGCCAGGGCTGGGCGGCGGCCCGGACCACCTGAAAGACTCGTTGAGCTGCGCAGAGGAACCTTGGCTATATGCACGCGACCGGTCGCTTGCACTCGACCAGCCGGGCGCGCCATCCTCGTATGTGTCCATATCGTTCCCTGCCTCTTCTCTGCGCAACATGGCAAGCCGCGTTCGATGGAACCACTGCAGCGTCTCCTCATGGCCAAGAGCCGCCGGGTCCTCCGCCGGCGGCCCCGGCGGCATTGGCCAGGGCGCCGTTCGCCCCTCCCCTTCTGTCGGCCGCCCATCATGATGCATCAGCTTGAGATCGCCATCTCCCGCTGCCAGATACGGCCTGCCGCAGTTGTCGTCTGGATTCGTGACAAACATCTGCTGCACGTAGCCTTTCCCAGTACCGGCCTTGGTTTCCGTTGCAGTGCTGCCGCCACCGCTGTCGCCAGACCCGGCAATGAGGGACAAGCACCAGACGCCGCTCTGGTGGCCCGTCAGTGTCTTCATGAAGAGGCCGGTACGCGCGTCGAACACGTGGATCTTGCAATTGGGCATGCCAAGCACAATGCGATCCGCGTCCATAGCCAGCGATGTCACCATGGTCTGGTCGTTGGCGCAAGTGTACTGGGACAGCAGGCGCCCGCCGCGCAGCCAGTTTGATTCAGTTTGGTATGCCAGTTTGAATTGCTCCTTGTAGCTGATTGCTGGCTGCGAGCTGTTGCTGCTGCCGCTGCCGCTGTGCGCCAGGCCTTCAGAGTACGTGACGGCGCGATCCAACGGTCCACGCGCATGGCCTTCCAAGGTGCTGGGGATTCCAAGTCCAAGCGCAGACTGTGGCCGTGGCCGTCTGTGGTCCCTACCACCACGGCGCCGCGAGCTGGCATCGCCACGAGAGCTTAGCGGCAACACTTGAGTGGTGGAGTGGGAGTGTGTCTCGCCATCAAAGTACCCAATCGCCGGCGAACTTCGTTTATCGCCTGCTGACGATAATCCGGCTGCTGCTGCCACTTGCTGCGAAGGCGAAGCACCTGCGAAGCGAAGCAGGGCATTCCGCTCGAGGCCGAGTGCATTTAAACCGTGGCTGAATGCGTTACCGATGCCAGAGACGGGAAGCCGGACGTTTGGAGTGCGTAACAAGCTTGCAGCCATGCTACTGACGAGCGGTGTATGCGCTGCAAAGCTGTAGCCTGCATTGTTGGTACCAGCGTGGGATGCAGCGTTGCGCGGCGTCAGTTGGACTCCGCCGCCTACCCCACCTGCGAAGCCGCCTGCTAGTACAGGTGTATGCGCCACTGCGGCCGCAGCAGCAGCTGCTGCGCCTTCCCACCACGAGGTGGAGGTTGCAGAAACAGGGTTGTCTTGCGCTGCAGGATATACGACGGAGCTGCCCTCAGGTGCGTCTTCGTCCATTCGGTCGCCGTCGCGACCACCATCGCCAAGAGACAAAGGGAGAGTGCTCGAGCGACGTGGGCCCGGATGGAGGGTCGATGCTGCCGATGCCACAGCACCAGCGGCGCCAGTCCGGGAGGAGCTTGGCGAGAGGACGTTGCCGATCAGCCCCGCAAGAGAAGTAGGCGGACCAGCACTGAGGCGTCCCACATTCCACGCGCTCCCTCCGTCGCGGGAAGCGGCAGCGTGATCGTCAGGCCCGCCCGGGGCACCAGTACCATAGCGCTGATGAAGCGGCGTTGCGAGTTCTGCGCGAGTTTTCCCATATCGATCCCTGATTTCCTCGCTGACGATATCTTCTAATTGCGCGTAGAAGGCTGCGTCATGCGGACTAAGCATCGCGACAGCGCCGTCGTTGCCTTCCTGCTTGGACAAGAAGAGAGCGTGCAACGTTCGCAGTTCCTGCATCGCGTTGGACGGATCGAGGCCTCGAGTGCGGTAGCGCTCGTAGAGGCTGGGAAGGATGCTCGCTTCCTCCTGCTCATTCCTTAGGTCCTCCAGCTCGTCCCGCAGCCGACCTTTACCCTTTGCGTCGCCGCTGGTCCCACGCGGCTTCCACTCGCGCTGACGTGGGAGGACGTTTTTGGTGCGATATTTATGCTTGATGCACATTGCCATCCATGTCTGCTCATCGTTAACAAGGCTGCGCCAGAAGCGGCAAACGCATGCGGCGCGCGCCAACGTCCGCGGGTCGTCGACGAAGCTGAGGACGTGTAAGCTGATCTCGATCGGCAGCTCGGAGAGGAAGTCGATGCGGAGCCGCGGGCTGACGATGCGCGAGAGGTGAGCCAGCTCTTGCTTGGTGCAGTTCGTGACGAGTGCCGAGATGAGATCGAGCCTCGCTTGCGATGGGAGGCTTTGGAAATGCATCGTGAGATCTTTGATGAACGTCTGGCCACTGAGTGGCGTTCCATCGCTGAGCGATGCCCGAATGGGACTCCCTCCGTTCGATGAGGAAGGGGTAGAGCTCTGAGCCGCCGCAGCGGCGGCGCTACCCCGACTGCCATGTGGACGATCAGGCTGCGGTGATGGTGCAGGTGTCGGCGGCGAGATGGCCCGATGGAACGGGATGGCGATCGGCGTCGTCACTGTGTTTGCTCCTGCTGCTGCTGCTGCTGCCGCCGCCGCTGTTGCTGCCGTTGTACCTCCAGCTGTCGAGGTCGAGGCCGGCGTGTGCGATGGCACCATCTGCTCGTCTTCCATGATGGGTAGCGCTTCTATCGCGGCCGGACGAGCGCACACGAGCGGCTACCTCGCGTCGAAAGAAGAGCACGCCTGGCGCATCCGCTGCTCGCGCAGAGCTTCGAGCTTCGAGGTGCTTTGTGCTATATACACCCCAGTACGCCGTGCACATACACCAGTTTCAGCAGCTGCTCAAGTGCATGTTAATGCTTGTCGTGGCTCTCTTTGAAGTCATCGTTGATGGTGTTTTGGGTGCCCTTGAGCGCACACCGCGGATCTGCTGTGCGGATCGGCGGCACCACACCAGTGTGCTGTGCTTGCTGATCACCCACTTCCACAAACACCCACAATATCGTGCGCACATTGGTGATGCCTGATGGGTCTGGCGAGGAGACAGTAGAGTATTTCAGACTTGGCACCGTGCCAGGGCCCATGTGCAGCTCAGAGGTGCCTCGCAACTCTCCAACTCGTGCGAGCAGCGCTGCAAGTCAGCTGTGGAACGAAGGCTGACCGTGCGAAAAACCCTCCCCCTCGCTTCCGTGCTGACATGAACCGTGATGATGGGCAGTATATCGCCTGCGGCTGATGGTCCTTGCAAATATGTTCTCCGGCAGACGCTCTCCCACCACACATCCGATGTGAGTTAGTGCTGATTTCCATTAGAATCGAGGACCGCCAGTACGCTATCGGCTCTTGAACAGGAAGAGCTGCCTCGATGCGAAGCCCTCCAACAGTGTATCTGTTCCAATCGTTGAAAGACTTCGTCCGACCTCTTCCTCCACTGCCAGGTCAAATACGTTCGGAGTGCACCGTCAGAAGGGGGCAATGACTTACTGATCACGGCAAGTCGAGATTGTACCGGAGTGCTTTCTCGCCGTCCGAAGACAGCGGCTGGTCGCGCCGCCTATCGACCAGAGCGCACGTACACGGGAAGCAGTCGCTACATCAACGCCTGTGCATATCTGCCTGCAAGTCCTCGCAACCCTTCTCAAGTGATTCTGGGCTCCCTGGACTCGCAGGTCTACGTCTACGACGAAGGAAGGGGAGACAAGGCCGTGCAAATCATCAATGACCATTTTGACAATGTCTGCGCGTTGGATGTCTTCGTGCCGCCCGATTCGCAGCCACTGCTTGCGTCCGCTTCCTGGGACTGCACGGCCAGAATCTTCTATTTGGGCTTTGACCGCGAGTCGGGAGAGTCAGATGAACAAAGAGAAGAACGAGCAACAGATACGGCTCAGTTTCGCTGGCGTAAGCGATACTTGCTCAAAGGCCATGAAAGCGCGGTGTGGAGCGTAAAGGTGGTGGAAGAGGATCAGTTCCTGACTGGTAAGCTGTTCTCGCACCTTTCTTATATCTCTGAAGACTTGAAAAATATTGATGTGCTGTATTCTCATCAGCCTCGGCTGACCGGCTGATCAGACTGTTTAAGAAAGAGCAGTGCGTCGCACGGTTCGAAGGACACACGGATGTCGTCCGCTCGCTCGCTATCTTACCATCAAAACCATCACGGTCCGATTCAAACTCAAGCGAATTGTATCATGGCTCTACATTAGTTTGCGCAGAAGCGAGCAGTCGCGTATTTGCCAGTGCGTCCAATGACGGCACCCTCCGTTTGTGGGATTTAGACGGGGGGCCATTATCAGGTGCGCATAACGAAGACGCCACTGTCGACTCCAGCTTGCCGACTGTGAGGCAAGCTACACGCGTCTTCAAGGGTCACGAAAGCTTTGTGTACGAAGTAACCGCCTTGAACGAGCGAAGTCTCGTCAGCTGTAGTGAAGACGGCAGCAGCAGAGTTTGGGATGTTAACGGTGCGTTTTCTCGGCACGAAAGCGAAGTCGAGGAATGCAAATACACAAGCTGAAGCCGAGTACATCTTTGCGCACGCTTCCTGCTTGTAGAAGGGACGCTACTCCAAACAATCTGGCACAATGCCACCTCCATCTGGACGCTTTGCGTTCTGCCGCATTCGATGGAAATCGTGACAGGCAGCTCGGACGCGAAGGTGCGGATTTTTTCCATAGGCGAGGCCGCCGCCGCCGAGCAAGACGAAGAAATAGCCGAGGCGCGCTACGCTTTCGAACGAGCTGGGGAGGAGATGAGGGTGCGCATTGAGGGAAGCAGTAGCATTGGTACTGACGGCCAAGTCGTCATCTCGCAAGTCGTTGTGTCCGATTCGAATCCACCAGCAGTAACAGCGTCGTCCGCAATCGAAGCACCTGCGCACGAACCACTAGACACAGCGACAGCCGATGCGGGAGCGCCAGTCGTGCTGCAAATCGATGTCGCTGACGACCGAGAGCCACTGTCCTTACGAGTGAACAAGACAGATGACCCGTCGGCCGTCGCGAAAGCGTTGGTCGCCGAGCATGGTTTGCCCGAGTCATATGTTGAGAAGATCAAGGATTTTGTACAGATGATGATCCAGTAGGGATGCTGACTTGAACGGTGGTAGTATACAACAAATTAGTACGATCGCCTGTCTAAGGCCGTTTTCCATCTGGTTTGCAGACACTACTCCGAGAGTTGGCATGCGTGATTCAAAGACGCATGATACATCATCATAGCGGAGCACTTGAGTGCAAATCTTCCAGACAAAAGCGATCGAATACATTTGATGCGGGCGATATGTGAAGCGGGCTGGTGTAAGAGGTGTGGAAAGGGGACGACTAGCTGCAATGCCCTGCCGACCATGTGCAGGCGGCAGCGCCAAAAGCTGAGCTTGGTCCAGATCCTGGACAGCGGTTACTCGTCATCCTCTTCGGACAGCTTGGGCGCGAGGTAGAACCTGACGTGGCCGTTTTCAAATGCGAACTCGCATAGCAAGGGGAACCCCTTGCTCATCTGTAGCTTGACCTCTGCGCTAAGCGGCGCGGCCTTGGCAAAGTTGCTGAGGTACTTGAGCGAAAACGTGAGCTTGACCGCTTGCGACAGCTCGATCCTGACGGGCACCTCGCCCTCCTCGGTTCTCATCGCTGCGGCTCCCTTGCCCTTCTTGCCGCCCTTCTTCGCTGCCGACTTGTTCTTATCGTCCACCTCCTCGTCCGACTCGATCTGCCCGGCCTTGCCGTTGCTGCGCTTGCGCTTCTTATCCGCTGGCATGGCGTCCTCTTCGTTTTCCTCTTCATCGTCGTCCTTCTCGGCTTGCACTCGTTTCGCATTTTCCTCCTCCTCTCCCTCATCCAGGTCTTCTTCCTCATCCTTGGAGACTTTGACCTTGCTGCTCGAAGCGCCTCCGGCACTGGTGCTGCCGCTGGCGGAGCCTTGCTTGAGCGTCAGATTTGCCTTGCCAATGTCGCCCTCGGTGGCGAAGGTGATGCCTTCCTTTTGAACTTCGATGGTGACCGACTCGCCGACGTTCGTCAAATCGCGTGTGATTCTGCCAAACTCTGCGGAGGACATGTACACAGTCGCTTGGAAGTCGGTATCGGGGATTCCGAGGTGCTCCGAATCGATGTCCATAAGCTTCAAGTCGTACTCTGCAATGCGGTCGGTTTCTGCAGAACAAGGACGATAAGGTCAGCTGCCCGCTTGGCTTCAACGTCTGCGAACAGTGATCTTCTCCTCACTTGCGCTCTCAAATGTCAGAGTCAAGCTGTCGCCACTCTCGTCTTTGCGTAGGGTAAGGATGTCATCGTTGTTTCCGCTCTTGACGATCTTGGAGAGCGAGGCGAGCGAAATGCCGATCGTCATCGGCCTATCGCAGCGGTATGGGTCAAAACCGTCCGCGCGAAGCTCGATGGCAGAGAGAGCGACATGCGAGTTGTCCATCGCTTGCAGATGGATCCCTTCATCGCTGCAGTCGAAATTTGCATCTGTGATAAGTGCAGACACGGCTGTTGGGAAGGAGCAGAAGCGAAGGCAGGTTTGTCAAAGGCTCGTTCACTTCGCACGAGATTGCGTCTAGCCGCCGCAAGCGACACTCACAATCCAGTACTCGCTTGAGCTGTTGGAGGACGGCACCAAAAGAAAGAGGCGTGTCAGCGTGGCGAGTCCAGGATAGAATGAACGAGCCAGGCGGGCGGGCGACCGGGTCACTCACCAAAGCGGCCTCTGGCAAGCGTGCTTCCAACATGTTTGCTGAGGGGATGTGTGTGCGAACGTGTGTGTGCAGAGGTGGGCGTTCTGAGTGCAAAGAAAGATAGAATCATGCGTCGGGCTGGATCGAAAATGCTCAAATGGGTGGTGAGGAGGTCACGATGAGAAGGAGAATTGGCGTGATGAGAGGTTCGAGAATGGCAGCCAGTTGCGTCTTCGCCTGCAGTCAACAGTTGGGCATTTCGTGGGATTTGGAGGAGGCGCGAAACGCGTTTCCCTCGCTGTCGCGCGTAAGCAGCCAACAGCCGCGTCAGGCGACGCGTTTCTCCTGTTTGACAGGTTTTACAGCTGGTATAGTGAGGGGCTTTACAATGACTCGCTCACCATGTCGGCGGCTCCCTATTCGGTTCCCCTTGCGTTCACCATTCGAACCCTAATTCCTGCGGGCGGCGTTGTAGGCTCCCAGTTCCCCACCCCAAGGACCCTTCGACCATCAAGCATGGAAGCTGTTGAAGCATTCATGATTCAACATTACCATGTCGCGCACTTGGAACCTCCGCATCAAGCAACTTGACGTAGCCATGGAAGGGAGAGCACAAGCGCAGAAGAGGCGGTCATCCTTGCACACCATGGATGCAGAAAGCTTGGAAACGGCTGGCGCGGCACCCACACAGGCTTACTTGGAGCAGCCCTCTTCACATGTATCGGAGCGTGCAGATCAGCTCGGCAGTACTGATGATGGGAGGAAGTTGTCTGCTCCGAAAGCGGCAGCAATAGTGCGGCGCCCGCCATCTTCAGCAGGTGCTATGCTGGATATCTCCACCTTCCTGCGCTCCATCCAAGCGGGCGTCACAATCCAACAAGATCGAGCGTCGGCTCCTTGGAGCGACAAGAAAGCAGCTAGCAGCAATGCGACTGCAATGCCAGCGCTGCCTATCAGTGCCACGCGCGACCTCATCTCTGCGCAAATCGAGAATGTCCAAAACTCAATGCGCGGGACGATCCAACAGCGCCTGGAGGAGTTCCGCAGGCAGGCGCATCAGGCAAAGGCTTTGCCGCTTCGGATTGAAGAGCTGCAATCACGTGTGCTCGAGGTCAGAAGCAAGATTCGACAGCAAGGATTGAGAGCTGGCATGGAACAAATCCCAGATGGAGAAATCGTGAGCAAGCTTGCTTCGCCGCTGTGTGATCAGATATGAACCGCTCACTGCTATCCCCGATACCTGCTTATAGGCGCTGTCCGAAAAGACAACGCAAGCGGCGACCAGACATGCCGCGGTCCTCAACAAAGTGCAACAGAGTCGGTCCCTCATGCAGCTTGCTGAGCGTCTCCTCCCTGCTCTAGAAGCAACCGAAGCCATCGAACTCGACCTCGCGCATGGACGGTTACATCAAGCGCATACATCCTCCTTGCCGCGTGCGAAGGAAGCACTGAAGCTGGTCACTTCTTCCATTGGAGTGTCTGGAACCGGTGATGAGCAAAAGAAGGCAGACGCCGATTGGTCATGGCTTATGGATCCGGCACCGAAAGGGTTGCGCGAGGCCCGTGTGCTCCGAGGCAGAGTGATACTCGCGGAGGAAACGGCCGAGGCGCTGCTGCATGAGGCGTGGGCACGAGCTGTGCAGATCCGCAAAGGCGGTGTGGAGGTATTTCGCTCCGTTCACGCTGCTTGGGTCAGTGGAGCGGCTCCGGCGCAAGAATCACCCCAGCAGGAAGAAGGGACTACCCTCAGAACCCTTCTGTTGCTGCTAGAAAGCAAGAATCAGCTGGATGGAAAACTTTCTGCTCTGATCGAAGAGCTCCGCAGCAAAATTCTTCACGATCTAGAGCCAACCTTGCCCTTGTCCTCGACAACGTTGTCTTCTTTGGCAAGCGTAGCGGGTACTCACCCTGAAGCCTCGGAAGACTTGAAGGTGAACGGTAGCAACGCGGTGACCTTCGCGATGAATCTTTCCACTCGGTCCCCAGCGGAGCTAGCGCATCAACTTGTCTCCCTGGTCATCTTCCTGACCTCTCCAACAGGTAGTCCACTCGCAGAGGAATGCAATGACTGGGCAGTGTCACAACGCGTCTCAGGTTTCAGAGCGCAAGTCATTAACGTCACCATGCCCATCATCGCTCAGCTGCTGGAACGCGCCCTTCCGACTACGCTCTCAGCCGAAGAGTTGCAGAAGAGCCTTCAGTCTGTCGAACAAGTCGCACAGACCGCTCTGGAATTGTTCGACCAGCTGATCGACGCAGGGTTTTCCAACAAGTGCGGACGCACGGGAGACTTGGATGAAGCGCCTGCCAACAACATCGATGACGACGACGACGACCCCTCCAACCCCCATATTCTCTTGCGCTTCGCCAAGCACGCCAAACAAAGGTACTTCAAGCGTGCTCTGCAAGTAGCGCTACACGAAGTGCGTGAAAAGCTACTGGAAGACAACTGGGCAGTTACGCAAGTGGTCGAATTGCGGCATTCCATCCCAATTCCTGTGCTCCAGAAGGAGCCAGAGCCATATACGCCATTCGTGAACGCCTCAGAAGAGACGCCTACCCCTCCTTCTGGGTTGAGCTCTACCACGCTAGGGTTGGAGCCTGCACAAGTTGCCGCCGCCAACAAGCAGGGGCGGCCGAGCGCCTTGCAGCCGGCCCCGACTGCGCTTATTGGACGTGTAGCCGCAACGGCGACGAGCAGGATGAAATCGAGCTCGGACGATGGTGCCGCTGCAGCAGCAATAGCAGCTGGTGCAAGCAAGAAACCGAAAGGAAAAGCGGCACTCGGAGCAGCGCGCATCGTCAAGCCGAAGGACCAGCTGGGCAGTGGGCCGTGGGATCTTGATGGATCAGGCCTGGACGACCTGGTCCGCCCCGCGGCAGAGGTTGCGAGTCAGACACCAGTTGTTCCAGATGCAGCAGAAGATGATGCCTGGGACCTGGACGAAGGCGTACCTGTCCTTGCCCAGGTGTTTTCGCCTTCGCCTGTTCACCATTCGAATTCAGCTTCAAGTGGCCAGGAGCACCCCGCTGCCGCAAATGACGAAGATGATGCGTGGTTCGGCGACGACGATGCAGTACCCGAACCCACAACTGCTTTGGCACCGGTTTCGGCAAGCGCTGCTGCTGCGACGCATACCACCCCTAACGCCAGCTTCGACGAGGCGGAGATTGACGATGGTGCCTGGGGCTTGAGCGAAGAAGAGATCGCAGCGAAGCGCGCTAGCAGGCTGGGCATTCCTACAGGCTTTGATTTGCAAGCATTTGCCAAGCAGGAAGGTCTACCATCCCTTTTGCAGGAACCAAGGCCAGCATCAGAGCCAACACCACCGCCCGAAATAGGGGCGCAGTCCGAAAATGACCCAGCGCCACCCAGCACCACGCCATCACTGCAAGCCGCCTCGGTGTACTCCACTTCTCGGCCGTCGCTCGAACTCATGCAAGAAGAGGAAATCGATGATGATGCGTGGGGTTTGAGCTCGGAAGAGATCGCGGCAAGGCGGGCGAGCAGAATAGGCTTGGCGGTAGGCTTGGACTTTAGCAAAGTGCAACAGACGCCAGTTCTAAACGTGTGGCAGGAGGATGTGGATGCTCCCTCTGAAGTGCAAAGCTCTTACCCTGCTCCGGCAGCCGACCCTGCCGAGGACAGAGTACCATCGTCTGCGGTACATCCCCATGCTGAGAAAGAAGACATTGATGATGACGCCTGGGGTCTCAGTGAAGAAGAAATCGCCAAGAGGGCGAGTATGCTGGGGCAACCGATTGGCTTCGACATCAATAAATTCGCCAAGACGGAAGGCCTGCAACGTATTGCAGAACAGGATGCGTCGGAAGCTCAGCGTGCCGTGGCACCTACAACGCGAACTACTGGCCAAGGGACTGCAGAAAATGCGATCTCAGATTCGATACCGCCAGCATTGTCAGCATCGGGTTCGCACGCTCTAGCCGAGGAACCCCTCCATGAATCTTTAGCCGAATCACTAGCTGCGTCGGCACCACAGCCTGTGCAACCCGCAGATCCAGAAAATGTTGACGAAGACGATATTGATGATGACGCCTGGGGACTGAGCGCTGCGGAGATTGCGGCGAAACGTGCAAGCATGCTTGGAATGCCGGCTGACTTCGACATCAAGGCCGTGCATGAACAGCAACTTCAAAGTATTACAACGCCGCCTTCCGCAGTGATATTGGAACCCACCATCGCAACACTGAGTGCCTCTTCTCTCGTGATTGAGAGTGGCAAGCTTGGCTTTCACAACGATGATGCATGGGATCTCAGCGCTGCAGAGGCGGTTGCGAAAAAGGAAAGCCAAATCCTACCTCTGCAAGAGCTAGGCCCCAGTGCTGGCAATGCTCCCGATCAGATCCAGCATGCTCAACCTAACGACACTGATCTTGGAGCTACAGCCCTTGCAGCGACCCATGCTGCTTCACGTCAGGCGGAGGAGCTCTCGGGCGAACAAAATGGAGCACGCACTGCATCCAGTACGGACGCGATTGAGCAAATTGTGCCGGTTGCAGAACCTCGGAGTGAGGCTTCAGCCGTACACTCGGCGCCAGCGACGGAACCCCAAGCGGAGGCTGGCGTGGCTGATGCACCTGCTGCTGCTTCGAGCGCGGGTCCTGATGTCGAAGTTGGGATTGTAGATGCATTGGCAGAGTACTCGCGGGATAATTTTTCGTCTCTGGACGATAAGCCGCAAGACGCGCAGTTCGACGTCACAAGCGCTCCCGTATTCCCTGTGATCAATAGATCGGCACCGGACGAAGCCACCTCCGCTATTTCAGCAGACTCCCACGATGGACACCTTCGCAACAAAACGCGAGCTGTCGCCGCCTCTGCTTCAATCAAACCTACTCCTCCAAAGGCTTTGCACACAGATGCTCAAATGGAGGACACAAAGCCACTGCAGCGTGAACCTCTCATCGACCAGGGGGGCTCAGCGCCTGCGACCATCCCCAGGCGCCAAGTTATCCATGAGCACCAGGGTAGAGAATCGGGTGAGGCAGCCTCACGGTCGGTGACGCCGCCGGTGCAGCCGGCGGATGTTGACAATGACGCTTGGGATGTCGCTCCTCCGTTAGCTCCGACTGCTGAACCTGGCACCCCTTTGGCGAAGGACAACGACATGCATGGATCTTCACCACTTCAACAGTCCGCTCCCAATGGACAACGCAGCAGCAACCAGAGCGCTTCGGTGCGCGCGCTTGAGTCGCTCCCTGTTGAGGAGGACGATACGGAGGCTTGGGGCTGGGATGACGATGCGGATGCGCCACACGGCGGCGCCGAAGCGGCTCACACCACAGAGGACCCGTCGGTGATTGCGGAAAAGTGCTCCGTGTCACAGCGGACGATTGATTTGCTTCAGCATGTTGAAAGCCTGCTTGAGCTCGTTGGCTTCATCGCAGACGAGCTGTCTGCACAGAGTTGGAAAACAAGGCCTGCGGACATGCTCTTAGAAGCAGCACTTGATGAGATCGATCTGCATAATGGCATCATGCCCTCAACGCATTCAGAAGTTCTCACTTCGGTTCCATCTCTTGCGATTCAATTCGCGAACGACTGCTCCTTCATTGCGCAGCAGCTGCAAATTCTGCACGAGAAGATCACCGTGGACCTGCAGGAGAAGGCGAGTGCAGAATTCCACAAGCGCGCCGCTCTCACCAATTTGCTCGGGAAACAGTGTTTCGAAGCGCAAATGGTGAGGCCTGACACTCAAAGCACGGGTAGGGCATGATACTGAAGAGTTTGCTTTCATTTCCGCAGGTTGCACAGGAAACGATCCTCGAGCAAAGCCTGGCCGAGGCCGATGGCTTCAGTGGCACGAATGACCCATCACGATATGCACTTGCAGAGCGGGCGGTCAAGCAGGTCCTGCACGTACTGAGGACGCTTGCGGCCACTTGGTCCCGAATCATGACACGGACCGCTTTCCTTGCCGCCATGGGTCGACTCATCGACGGTGTGCTTTTACGCCTGCTGGAGTACATTGAAGACCTTGAGGATATTTCTGAGGTGGAGAGCGATAAGCTTGCCGTCCTCTGCAAGATGTTTGGCCCCTTGGAGGAGATCTTTGTCGACGAGAGCACCCAGGTGAGTCCCCGAAAGCAGAGCACAGCTATAATTCCACTTCGAGCTGACTTCAGGTGTCCCGGCGTGCAGCAAACGAGTGTCGCGCTGTTCGTACCATCTTGGTTCAAAGCGTCATACCTGTCGGAGATTTTGACAGGTTCGCTGGTGGATATCGAGTTCCTCTTCTTTGAAGCAGGCGCCCTTGTTGATTACTCCAAGGCGGAGCTGTCGAAGCTTATCAAAGCGCTGTTTTCTGACTCGTCCAACCGTGCCAAGTTGCTGCATCACATCGAAGTGGCATGAGGGCACATGTATTACAATGCAGGCTGTGCTGCAGCGGCCACCATCCCACCTCCAGCATTTCAGCTGTAGACAAAGTAGTTCTCGCCTGTCCATCTTGCAATGACGAGGTACGTGGTGAGGGGGATGAGTAACGGAAAGAAGTAAAAGAAATTGTACGGCGGCTCCATGAAGAGTCCTCGCCAGTTGTGGTCTCGATTGAGCAACAGCTCGAAGCCTCCTAACAGACCAAATTCCAGCAAGCAGAAAGCGACGAAAAAGCCTGAAGTCAAGACCGTCCCCAGTTTGAGTGTCTCGTCTGAACTCCACTGCCGCAATGGTTTGCACTGATGAGGCAGGGTCCTACTACTGCCTCCTCCCAAGGCGTGATCAATTGCGGCAGAAGGTATGCCGCACGGCAGCGGCGTCATTAGGTCGGCTTTCGCCATGGCTGTACGAGCCGCTGGCAACAGATGCCTGCTTTCTCCGCTAGCTTCCTGCTGCAATGAGACGGCGCAGGTATCGCATTAGTGGGTGATGTCGAAAAATCCGCACAGAGACGACCTCTAACTAGGCTGTGGACCCACAGAGCGTGTGCTCGGTGTTGAAGCATCTTGCGAGGCTGATGACGAGCCTGCTAAATGCGACAGTTCCTGCGTTGCGCGTTGGTGTCCAGTCTCGATTGTAAGCGACTTCATTTTCTCTCGGACCGGCGCTCCTTCTGTTGGAGCCGAGCAATTCCCAAGGACAAGAGCACCTGAATGCCAACCTGTCCGAAAACGATAGAACGATATTACGGCGTTAGCTCTGTGCCACCACGGCACTTCGTTGCGAAAATGTCTCACCTGAGAGTGCAATATCGAAGACGAAAGCGCCACTCAGGTCGTCTGGCCTCTTTTGCATGACAGTCGAAGTGTCAAAGTCGTCGTCGAAGAGGACGCGCTTCGGCTGTTGTATAGATTCAGGTAGGGCGCGTGGCCGCAGACGCTGCCAGATGAAGCGATTGTATGCTTTCTGTTCGCTTTCCACCTTCGAGAGTTGTTGCAGTGGTTGCTCTCTTTTCTCTGGCGACGCCGTTGGCTGTGGGCTGCGCCCACGGATCCTGTCGAGCAGCCCACTGCGCATTTGGCGTGGCCCACTGCGGATGACGCGCGGGAGGGGTATGACGTTCCCGCCTTCTGGCTGCCGGCGTATGCCCATCCCCCACCTCCCGCCACTGCCGTCGGTACCATCATCATCCGGATCGAGCGCATTCTCGCTCCACCATCTCGCATGGTCGCGCTCGTCCATCGGCAGCGAATCCCAGATCCCCAGCGCACCGCGGCTGTATTGGCCCCACGTCAACACGCGCCCATCGTCGGTGAGCGCAGCACTGTGCCAATCTCCAAAGGAGACTTTGATCACGCCTGCGCCTTGGAGCGAAGGAATGATGGTCGGCTTAGGCGAGATGGCGCTCGTTTCGGAGCGAGAGAGAAGGACAAAGCCTTGGCTGCGCAGGGCAGCAGCTACGCCATCGTCGTCATCGTGATGATCCACATTTGCAGCCGTCGCCGACGGAACCGAACACGCAGCAAAGTTCTTGAAGTGCGCAGAGATGTGCGTAACCCTGATCTGCTCATCTGGACGCCCGCTTACAATGTGCTGCACGCCAGCGTGCGTGAGCTCTTCTCGGATCAGATCCACCTGGCAGTACCGCTCGAGCTTGCGCCACTCCCTCAGACGTATTCCTGGCATATCAGCTGTGGCGGCCATGACCGTACTGTAGAAGCGTCGCGACTGCTCTGCAAACTGTAGCCCATCTTCGGACATGGGATGCGCAGTCAAAGGCGGCTGATGATGGGTGACGAAGCCATCGACATCGCTGCTGACGTCGAGCTCGTAGATATCGCCGCGCTCGGTCAGTGCTGCGATAAATTGATCGCCTGCGGCGAGCTGCGTGATCTTGTCCGCGTTGAGCCAGCTGCGCGTACTGTCGCCGCTGTGGATGGATGCAGTTGCAGTACTCCCTGGGAAGGCTTTGAGTCTCACAGGCGCAATGAAGCGTTCAAGTAACTTGGGGCTTGGTGTGCTCGCACGCTGCTGCAGCTCCTCGTTGTTGATGTCTTCCTCGACATCGACTTCTCTTGGAGCCTCACTATCGGCACCCTCATCCTCGGCATGTTCCTCACCAAAATTCTGTCCGGGAGATCTAGCCTGGGTAACCCAGTTGCATTTCCAGAAGTACGTTTCTTGGCCCACCTCCCTCGTCTTGCCCGTGGCGCTGCAGCGGGCACGGACCGAGACGAGGCTGACGCTGAAGTCCCAGCCTGCTTCGACCTGCACGATCTTGCGAAAGATCTCATCGTAGCGCACGTGCGTGCTTGTGCCATGCTCTCTCGCTTCGTCTGCATCGGCGATGCTGAGGTACTGCTCCTCCTCCTCTGCACTGTGACTGAGACCATTGACGTCGGCCATGTGCAGCGAGAAGGCCCACGAGCGCCATTCGATCACGATGGTCTCTTCTGCCTCATCTGCTGCACTTCCATTAGTCTTCGCTTTCCGCTGCTTGGCGAGCGCGACAGCGTGTTGTCGCCCGCAAGCGATGCTCTTGACGGTGACATTGTCTGGTAGCTGGACAACGCCTGGCACAGGCCTGTTGTTCCCAAAGTCGACTTCGTGCAGCTGGCCCCAGGCGATGACTTTTCCTTTTGAGGTCAGCGTGTTGAAACCCCACCCGGACGCCTGGAGCGATACGGGCGCGCCGAAGGTGTCTGAGACGCTTGCGCTGTCCGGAAGTGTGATGACCTTGTTGAGATCTAGGCGAAATGGAAATGGCACGCCCATGCGAGGAAGCAGGCGGCGGATCTTGGGGTGCAAGCCCATCGCATCGACTCCAAGACGACCAAATGTATCCTCACCCCATGTGTACGCTTTGGACTGCACGATGCCGATGTAGAGGCGCTTCCAGCTCTTGCTGCTCTTGCTGCGCGCAGTCGCCAGGGCCGGCAGGTTGAGCTCGCGGACGACTTTGAGGCGCCATATCGACTCGTGGTCGACCAGTGCGCGCAAGTACGGGTGGACGAGGCGCAAGGATTGAAGCGAGCTTGTAGACTCGGCGAGCGGCGGCAGGATCCAGTGGAGGATCATCTCCTCCGGGAGCGTTAGCAGCGTAGGCATGATGGAGGCGCGCGGGCGATCGGCTCGCTGTTCTTCGTTCCTGCAGGCGCACGTTGGATAGCGGAGCGATGCCTTAACGTACCCTCGAGAGATGAGCTAGCATGCGGTTTCAGCCTTCTCAGTCTGGTCCCTCGATGCAGCACGAAGCGCCTGGACGATGGAGGTCACACGTCATCGGTCACCATTGATGCGCAGTCATTTTATTCGTGGAGCGAGTGAAAGCATACTTGAACAAGAGCTGGGGTAGTAGAATATGCTCGAACCTGACTATTCGGAGACAAAGACACTTGACAATGAGGTCTCAATAATCATGCTGCCGCACATGGCACATCCATGGAGGCCTTCAGTCCAGTCCAAAGACGTGGCTGGAGAAGGCTAGAAAAAAATCATAGCACACCGCACTGGCATGTCCATGAGCGAGATGAATGCTCATCGGAGACGCATCGCAGCTTTTGTACCTTGCGGACGCATGCGACATGACTGTGTGCGTTGCGAAGGGTATACAGGCACGGCAGCGCCGTGCACTTCCCTCGAGAGTGCATCTTTGCATTGCACAGTGAGAGCCAATGTCGTGGTTACCTGTCGTCTGCATCTTTCTTCGCCGAGTAGGAAAGTCTCCAGTAGCACATCTAGCATCGGCGGTGCTGCAGTGCAAGCAGCGTACGAAGCTGCACGCCCCCCCCTTCGGACGGTGAGGTGCCCACCGGTTTACGCTGCTAACAGGACATATGTTCGACGTCGCCAGAGCCTTCAGTCGTGCTGGGACGGACAGACACGTGCGCGACCGACCGATGACTCAAGCCACGCTCGCGCCGCCTTCAGAAGTAGGCCTTCAAGCAAAGCCTGCGTGCGCCTACAAGGTGTGCAACACTCGGTTCACCTACATACCATAGTGGAGCACTACATGTAATTGCCATCCTTCGCATTTGCATGGTGTATATATCCACATATATATATATATATATATACGAGCATGAGCCGTGGAGGCACCTGGAGACGCCAGCTGACTGGGTAGCAGGACTGGGCATGAGGCGAGTGTACGCGTCGCGTCAATTGATAACGCGACGCGTTTCCCTTACAGCGACGGCGCAACAACAACACCGCCGTTTGCCACCATCATGAGTCGGACAAAGGGTTCACATCTCATCCAGCCAGCCATCACAGCGGACAGCTGTTCGCAGCCTCGAATGCAGTGTAGCAGCGACGCGCGATCTAGTGACCGAGTCACAGCGGCCGCGAGCAGCGCCTTCGTCGAACGCAGCCAGCAATCAAACAGCAGTGATCCCAGCCGCCCCCGCCCGCTCGCGTGACCATGGCAGTGAAGCGCCCAAGGAGGCAGTGCGCGCGAGCAGCAAATTCAGACGTTTCTGCTGCTGACTCTTCCCAGACGGGCCATATGGTTCCGAGAAGCAGGGGACAACGGACATCGCGAGTAGCAGCACCAGCGGGGCAAGCAGTGATGAGACCCCTTTCGGAGAGCCTTGCAACACATCGCCAGCCGAGCCCCAGCGTACAGGCGACCAGCACGGGTACGAGCAGAAAACGCAAGTACGGCTCTCTGCACTCATCGAGCACATCCGGCGCTAAGCGTTTTCGCAGCTTCGTCGAGTCTTCATCGTCAAAATCGACGTCGTCATCAACATCGTTGCTCCATCGCAGAGCTCGTGGAGGCAACGATGTGGATGAGTCAGCGCTTTTGCTGGATGCTCACCTCCCGACGTCTGTACGAAGGGCAAATGCAAGGACAGCAGCACAGATGCAGTCGATACCTCTCAGGAGTGACACCGGCGCGCCCGTGTTCTTCTCACCTGTCTCGTCCGCTCCCAGATCGCCAGCGGTAGCTTCTGCAGAAGCGTCACCAACTGCCGTGTCTTCTCGCCTCTCCTCAGCGACATTCTCGCCGTTAGTCCTCTCCCCATGGCCTGAGGCACCGTCTTTGCATTCCTCCGCGACAACAGCTTGGCTCAGTTCGCCAACAAAGCAGCAACAACAAGAGCCACTGAGGAGTGCCTTCAGATCGGATTCAGGCGCAGTAGCAGCGGGAGACACATCAATCCATTGTACTAGCGCCAATGATAGCAGTGCGCAGCGGCCGCTCTTGCGAACAGGCTCACCCTCATCAGCAGCATCCTCGTGCTTTTCAACAGTTAGCTTCGCACCTGAGCCGCTAGGCATGCGTACTGCAGTGGAAGCTGGTGCAAGCGCAACAGCAACAGCCAGAGCGTTAAGGAGCAACGGCCAACACCATCGGGAGCAGGCCATGCTGCTCCGTCCCGTCACGCCGCCTTTACCAGCAAGCAGCGATGACGACGACTCCGGCAGTGGCGGCGAAGGCGAGGGCGATGCCGGTGGAAGCATGAGCAAGAGCAGACGGCGGGCCGCGCACGTCGCACAGCTTGCTTCGGCGCGCAAAACGCGCTCGGCGCTCAGTAAGAAGCCGACTGCTCTCGCGTACGAGAAGACAGCGAGGGTTTTAAACGATGAGGACGTATCACCCAGCAACAACGCGCCCAGGTCCGCCAGAGAACGCGAAGGCGATGGCGACGAGGACGAGGATGACGGAAGCAACGACAGTGCTAGCGACGATGAGCAGCCCAAACGCGACACGCTGCGCATACCCCTCAAGCGCTGCTCGCCCGCGTCGCTGAAGCGACTCAAGGTAGCGTCCGACTCGCTGCTCGAGTTCGAGCGCAATGGCGACAGCTCGTCTTCGCACCACGCAAAGCGCGCGCCGTTTCGCAACGATGAAGCTGATGAGTCGCCGAGCGCGGTGCGGTATGCACATGGCCGGCGTAGCTGTGAGCCTTCGACTGCGGCAGCTGCAGCCAAAGCGAAAGCAACGATGAAGGTAAGGGCACTGCCCCGCTGGAGCTTCGGCGACACTAAGGCGCTGCCCGACGATAGTTTCTATGCAAGGCATAAGCGTGAGGAACGGAGCCCTTGTCCGCCTGAGCGGCTGCCGAATTTTAATCAGCTTCAAGGGGAGGAGGATGGAGTGGAAGAAGGAAATGGGGAGGGGGAGGGGAAGGGGGAGGGGGAGAGAAACGCTGAAATGTCGATGCAATCGAGTTTAGGTTCACGTACCAGTCGGATGAAGCCCCGGCGCTGACCAGAGCACAGAGGAACGGACGGGGCCAGCGTGGCCACACGGCGCTGTTTGCTTTCTGCATGTAACAAGCTACCTGCTGCAACTTTTATCCCTTCTTGAGCCCCCAATGATTTGGAACGCTGTTAAGATACATGACCCACATGAGGAAGTATGGATATGATCGCCCTGCGACAGGAATGCTTGGATGGTTCCTTCGGACGTTGCCCCTTTGAAAATTGCTTGCGATAACACAATGTTGCTTCAACACTTTAACTTCCAAAATCTGTCCCAACCCAATATCAAATTCTCAGATCTCAGCCCCGTACACGTTCTGATTGACCTTTCCGCGCTGCAGCCTAACGTCGACCCAGACAACGCCATACGTCTTATGCAGCGAAAACTCCTTGTTCATGCTCAAGGGGTCCATCGTGAACGTTGACCATGTGCCCGAAATGTCGCTGCGGTTCGCGCTGCTCCAGCTCGACAGGCCTGACGCGCTGCTAGTCGCCGTGCCGAGGCGCATGCGCGGGGCCGCGAGCGACGCCGGCGTGCGTGGGGGCAGCATGCGGCCCGTCCCCGGGCGCTGCTGCTGCTGTTGTTGCGGCTTCTTCTGATAGAGACGCTCCTGGTAGGACACCTTGCGATTGATCAGATCCACTTCTTCGCCAAACTTCTTGGCGCGCGCCCCCTGTGGCTCTGACTCCAGCTTCACTTCTTCCACATCTGGCTCGTACTGGAAAGCTGCCTCATCATTCTTTGCACTGCTGGTGCTCGTCTCCTCATTCCCCGTGTGCACACCGTTGTTGGCACCTTTGCCGGACGAAACAGACCCTGCCGACCGAGTCTGCGAGCGCCAGGAGGGGCCGTGCCTGACGATGACAGGGCCATAGGTACCAAAGCGCCCGGCCTGCGGGGAAGGTGGTGTCTTCCTGGCAGTACTGGGTCGTGAGCCAAACAGGCTGGACGAGTTGAATGCAGGCGAGAGGGAGAGGTCGAGCGAGGCGCCACTCTTTGATGCAGACATCTTCTCTCCCGATCCATTCGTATGCTTCAGCGTGCCAAAGGAGCCCTGGGAGGACGTGTCGGAGATATCGGTTAGCTGCGCCGTCTCCTTGACCGCCTTCCGCAAGACTTTGGTGAAAGGCAGAAGATCGACCTTGAGAGCGTGCTGCATGACGATTAAGCCCAAAAATCAATAAACTGAAGAGCAATCGAGATGGGCAGAGAGGCTCACCCTAACAGCGATCCCTTGGCATTTGAATCCAGGTGAATGCTCGGATCCGATGCGGATCATTCCCTGCACCACACGCCATCCCTCTTTCTTGGCCATGGAGATTGCCTCTTGCACCTTGGGATGCAGCGGTCGAGGATTCGGGTTGTTCAAGTCCTCTTCGCGCATGAACATTGTACCAACATCGACCTCTTCCAGATCAGCATGAGCAAGGACTCGCCGCCTGACAGTTGGCGCGGAATTAACATTACCCTCCTCGGCATGGAGCAGCTGGACGAGCGTCACCTTAATGTAGGAGCAAATGTCATGCACGGTCGTAACTGTGATGGCGCTCGGAGCTTGACTGTACGCCATGCTTGCGACAGTAGCGGCGCTGCTCGTCTGGGATGTCTCCATCGTTCCCGGACGCTTAAATGTCCGGTACGATGAAGAAGGTGAGAGGCGGGCCTTCTCGCTTAGTGCCGGGAGGCCCTTTTCTGCGACCCCAGCTTTGTCAACATCTGCGTCCGAACGCGCACCAGATTTTTCGGATAGCAGCATTGTATCCGATGATACCGCAGCATTTGCTTGCTCCTTTTCCCTGCCTTTGCCAAGCTTATTCTTCATCCAGCTCCCCACTTTCTTTGGTGTGAAGGATGACTCGTATTTCTCCATGAGCGCAGCCGCCTTGTTGTTGAGATCTTGCATTGACAGCTGCTGATCGATAGAGGCGTCTTCACCCCTTTCTGCAAGAACGTGCAGATCGCCAATCGATTCTCCGAAGAGATGCGAGAAATTCATGCTCGAGCCAGACAAGATCTCCCGCACCTCCTCATCATCCATCGAAGGCAGCTGCTGGCTTTCCTCTGGGCGCAAAACAAGCAGAAACGGTATCACCGATGGAATGTCAAAGTATGCAGGCTTTGGCAGGTGTAGCTCCACTTTCAGATCTCGCTTGAACATGGACCAGTTCCCCTTGGCCCACCGTGTCCTGCCGGTGTGGCAAGCCCAGCCCGCGCAGAGCTTTGACCCAGGCTCGAGCAAGAACTTGGGCGAGATAATAGGTGGAAGCATTTGCGGACCCGATCGAAGGTTACCGGGCTCTCCCAAAAAGATGAAAGGAATTTTCATGCTGTATCGGCAAAAACAAAGCGGGCTCAGCTGCGTAGGCACCTTCTTGATCCATGCAGACACTCACCTGTCCCCTTTATCACGCTTTTTCTCTTTCGACTTGGACAGCTTCGGCACTTGGTTGTCCTTTGGGGCGCTTCCATCAAACAAGTCGAAGCAAATGTTGTACCAAACACCAAGGCGTGTGGACTTTGTAAAACCTTTTGCAAGGGCCTCTTTGACCGCAGCAGTGGTAGATCGATCCCGCACTTCTCCCTTCCACGGTTGCTCAGTGAAAGTGTCATCCGTAGCCTCGTAGCTGGGTGGCAAGGGCGTAGGCTGGTGTACGATCTTACCGTCCTTGTAGACCGAGGAGACACCGACAGGAAGATTAATATCGAATGGAATCTCGACGAAGTAGTCGTTGCGCTTGTCCTGCGGCGCCCACGTCGGATCTCGTATTCCAGTCCGCGGATCGTGCGGCGCAAGTTTTGGTTTGGTCTGGAATTTTCGAGGGTCATAGATATCCACTGTCTCGAAGATCTCGCGCTCGCCATGCTTCACAGGCTTGGTTGGACCTAAAGAGCCCTCGATGTTTGGAGAAGGCGAGCTGCAGTGGGCAGAGAGCTGAGTGCATAGGCAAACGAGTCGAAGGTCAGTAACGCGCCATCCAACACTGCCAGTTGCACGCCACGACAAACCTACCCTGACAGCCAGCCACTTGCCAGAATATGCAGGGATGCGCACAACCCCTCTGATGAGCGGAGCCCGTCCGATGAAGACGGCCCTATCGAGCATGTCAAAGCTCTTGGCAGCGAGCTCGACGCTAAAGTTCGGCGTGAACGTCTTGATGCTTATCTCTTCGTTCCTCCAGTCGCCCCGCTCGATAAACTCGCCCTGGACGGGTACGCCGCGCTGGACGCGCTCGCGCAGATCGGAGGACAAGCCGTAGACTTTGCTCTGCAGCCTCGGCCGCGGGACGGGGACGCGTGGCGACCCACGCCCATGCTCGTCAAGGGCTGTACTGCTCGAGGAGCTGTACAGGCTCGGAGGCGGGTGTATGCCCATGCCGGAACCCCTGGCAGACATCGTGCTCTGAGATGGGCTATGGAACGCACTGCGCTGCGCCGAAGGTGGCGAAGCAGGGTCATCACGGACGTGCATGAGCTCGCTGAGCGGTGGTAGCGGTTCAGCGAGCTGGCGCTGGTGGCGCTGCAACTCGAGATCGCGCATCGTCGCCTCGCCCGCTTTCTCGAGGTTCAAGTAGAGCCCCGCAGACGACGGAGAAGACTGACCGATGCTCCCTGCGTCCATAGCCAGCGTTGCAAGCTTTTCGCCAACCTCTGACGCCGCTGCTGCTACTACTTCCGAAGCTTGTTCTGCGTCCGAGTCCCAGTCCTCCGGCTCCTGCTCTCCTTCTTGGCCGGTGATAATCTTCCCATACTCGAGGCCGGCCGCAGGATGTTGGACATCCACCCGGCTGCTCGCGCCTGCATTGGCGCTGGCGCTAACCTGGTGCAACAAAGAGGTTGTGCGTACCGGTGCGGTAGGCGGCTCGGCGGTACTATTCTGTGCAGCCACCTCGTAAACCGGCGGCAGCAAGGGAGACGGCCCAAGCCCGAAAGCCGCAGCGGCGGCTGCAGCCGCAGCCGCAGCGACATCCACACCGCGCTCCGGCCCAGGGAGGATGCCCGATACGAGATACTCGGCGGCAGCAGCAGGGTCGATGGGGAATATGTCTCTTGCGATCTCGCCGCGCACGCCTTCGAGGTACGACTGGTGCTGTCGAGCCGTGTAGAAGGGGATCGGACCACCGGTAGCGACACTTGCTGCGCGCACACGGTCCGCTTGTTGCTGCAGGTCCTGGTCGAGGGCCAAGTGCTGGTCCGAGAGGCGCGGCTGCGACATGCGCAGCAGGCGCTCTTCCTCCAGCTGGTGCAGGTCGCGCAGCTGGAGGGGCGAGAGGATCGGCTGCGGCTGCATCTGTGGGGAAGAAGCGGCAGTGGCGTTTGAAGACTGTGAGGGTATGGAGATTGCCCCGGTTGTCGTGGACGGTCGGACGCGAGAGGTGAGAGCTGGCATCGGCGTCAGCCCTCCGTTCGTGGCAGCCAGCCCGGCAGAAGAGCCTGCTGCGTTGCCATGTATCATACTCGGCGCAGTTCCCGGCGGAATCGGCTTGTCGCTACGCAAAGTGTACTGGCACCTGCCTTCGAGAGCAACAGGCGGCTGTGGAGCCACTGCGGCCGAAGCATTTGCGCCACCGCCACCGAGACTCAGAGCAGCGCCTGCACAAGCGCCTGAGCTGGTGGCGTCCGTGCTTTGCGATGAAGATCTGCCGCTCGCCGCTGACGAGGATCCGTGGCCCGAAAAGTACGAGGGCGGCTTGCCGTACTCGCCGCTCGAAGGCGGACGAGCTTCTGTAGGCGCTGTGCCTGCGCTTGCATTGGGCATAATGCTACCATTCGAGGCGGCGGACAGAGCTATGGTGGCAGGGTGAGAAGACGGTTGCATCAATGTAGTGGGGTTGCCGTCCCTGCTGGTGCTGCGACCCTCCGCTGCGTCGCTGATTGTCGGCGGCCACGCTCTCGCGGACGCCGCTTGACTGTTCGGAGCTGCTACGCCTGCTGCTGCGGTGATAGTTTTCGTGGTCTTCGGCGCCATGCTGGGCTGCGCTGCATCAATAGCGCTCGGCGCCCGACTGCCAAACGCGGTTGCAGACGCTGAGCCGGATTTTACCGCAGACACGGACCCAGCGCCCGCTGCACCACCTGCGCCTGCAGAGGAAGCAGCGCGCGAACCAGCCGCAGTCTCAGATGCGGACCCGATGGCGCTGCCGGACCCACTGTTGCGCCTTCCCGAATCGCGATCGAGCCCTTTCGTCGCGGCCGCCGCAGCTGCTGCGAGCGCCGAGTTGGGGCCGGTCATGGAGAAGCCATCCTTGCTGCTGCTGGTATGCTGTGTGTTGCTGGACGAGAAGGACCCGCGCTGGCTGCTACTGTGCGAGTGTGAGAGCACGGATGCATGTGGTATAATGCTGGGATGCAATACTGGCTGCTCCTGCTGTATGGGGTGCCATGGTTGCTCTGCTGCAGCCGCTGACCGGGATCCAGTGCCTGCAACCGTGCGGGGTTCGAGGATAAAGATCTCGCCGATTGAAGTCAGCGAGGGGGCAGTCGTTGGCCTGTACGACGCAATCGTCGCCAACTTTTCGGGCGACTGCATCGTGGTAAAGCTGCCTTGCGGCTCTGGCGCTTCCTCCGTTGGCGCCTGCACCATCGCGGCGGTCTTTCGCATATGCGCCGGCCACGCGTAGTTGCTTATACCCTCCGGTGCAGTAGCAGAACCGGGGGTACTGGGGGCAGGTGAAGTGCGGTTATCCGCAACAACGACGGATGTGCGACCGGCTCCGCCCTCCGAGTTTGGGCTCGGTGCGGAGGCGCTGGGTGCGGCATGGAACATGTGACTGGCGGATGTGGGCGACGTGCCGAGGCCGTAGTCAAGCACCCTTCCTACCATGTTTTGCGCAGAGGGCGAACCGATAGCAGCGCCAGAGCCACAACCGGAGCCGGAAGATGTGCCAGGACGCGCGCGGGGGGACGTGCGAGGTCGGCTGCTGGAGGCCAGGTCGAAAATCGTTGAGTCGCTGTCTGACGAGACAGATTTCGGAACGGACATGGTCGGCGAAATCATGTGACGCTCGTTTCTCTCTCCCTCGCCGTCGCGTTCGCGTTTGTTCGGATAGTCTGATGACCGCGTCGAAGGCGTCATAATCGTGGCGGCGTGCGGGTTCGCATTGGGACTTGCTTGCTTGAAAGCGGTTCTGGTATCTTGCATCGCCGCTGCTCTACCTCTGGCTGCTGCTTCAAACTCGACGCCGTCCTTAGAGGGAGATCCCATGGCCATGCCGATGCCCAATTCCTCATCCATCCTGGGCGAAGCGAGCGCAGACCCGCTGCATTTGCTGCTGGCCTGTGATTGGGCTTCTGCTTGAGTTTGCGGCCTCGCGTCCTTGACCTTGATCTGGATGTGCTCCGTGCCGCTCGAGCCGCGTCTTCAGTATGTCTGCTCGAACTCTTGTGCTCCTTGCGGTTATGAAGAGCTGGGCGGCGCGCTGGGGAATGTGGTTGGGCGATGATGGAGTTGATAGACTAGTTTTTGCTATGATTGATCCGATGACCCCGACGCGCTCTGCGTGCGTTCTGTTGTTGCGTTGCCAAAGGGCTCCATTTCTTTCTTTTCCCCTTCTTGATTTCTTTCTTTCAGCACACGTGGCTTTTGCCACTTTGTCATTAGGTAAGGCAATGAGGTTTGCGTCATGTCACGCTTCTAGCTGAATATGATTGAACCAAGGCTTCGAAATGTCATCGCTCTCGCCTCGTCCCGCTTTCCCCTCTTGCTTACAACCTTGATCGGTAATTTCTCGCAAACAACATCCACGTTTCCTGCTTCGGTAGCATCTTATCGCGTGGACTAAAGCACGACTTTGGCCTCTTGTCCCTGATCCGCCGCAGTCTAGCGCAGTGGTGAAAGCGGTCCCCGCCCGACTTAAGGGAATGGAATTGGAATCAAAGGAAGAGCATTGGATGTGTTTACTCCCCAGAATCGAGGGGGACCATGTTTGCTCAGACCCACATACTCTACGTACCTTCATTTGGCTAATTGCTTCTGGAAAGCATTCGCGAGCCCCGGGACATGACATCCTGCTTCCCACCCAAGTCCACACCGTCTGGCGAAGGTTAATAATGGTGCGAAGGTGGCCAAAAAGCACATATGCACTCTCCGCACTCCTTTTCGTCAGTGCTGTGACAGGTGAGCTACATATCCTTTCGTGGTCGTGTACGTACAGCGTGTCCTACGACCTTGGCCCTTGGTAGATCTCCCGTATGTGATATGATTAAGGCGGATGTGCAAAAATCAGCCTGCGCTCACGCTGGGCGCGGTCGCGTCCTGTGTGATGCATGCGAGACTCATTGATCGACCATAATCGTGACATGGCGTGACTTGTGGACATGCTCAGGTCCAGATTCTATTGATGAAACAGCTATGTACCTACATACGCACAAGGGATAGTATGCAGATTGTACAAACGAGCTTACGGACGACGAGCTCCTACAATCGGACGGTCGCACCGTGGCCCAGCCAGAGACACATCATCCATATCCCGCCTCACCATATCAGTGGTACATTAGCCATTCTCCATTCCATCCTCCCCTTAATTCACAAGGCTCTTATTTTGACCGTGCGATTGAGCACACTGTTTGCTCGCTGATGCGTGGAGAATGTGAAAGGAGGCCAAACGTGAAGGGGATCGTCCCTCCCATCACCCGCTCCGGGCTCTATAATAGTTAGCGTATGTACAATTTGTGAAGCCACTTCACGCTGTGGTTTTGCCAAGAAGAGCTGCTGGGGAGCAATGAAGGCAACAAGCCTTGCAAGGAGGGCGCAGAAGAGATTGTGGATGTGTGCAAGAGGAACGGTACGGTGTACGAGAGCAAGCATACCATACCATATCCTACTGCAATGAGCGCAGGTGAGTGTTTCGCCCATCGCGGCGATCCCTCCCATCCGATTCAGTCGTGGCTTCTTGTTGTCTTTTCTTTTTGCTGTGTGGCTGTGCATGGCGTTAGATGAGCAAGAGCATATGGATACAATGGCTCTTTCCCACATGCAAAGGAACAAGCAGGCACGCAATCGCTCCCCACAGCCACAGCCACGGCATACAAACTCGACTCTGCAGCGATCAATTGTCAGAATTCCGCGCAGTTTAGAGGAGATATGCCGCTATTCCGCCTGAATGTTGGGCAAAAATGCAACTCATCCACTCATTCCTCACAGAACATCTTGAACAGAGCACCCATGGAAACAGAGAAAAAAAGGATCTCTTCGCCTTCAGCCAGGAGTTGTGCAAAATCAAGAATGGTTCCGAGTCAAACATTCTATAAGAGGTGCATCGACAGAAATTTTCGACTTGGCTCTTGTTTGTTGGTCCTCATTAGATTGCCTCACATCTGGGCTCGTTCCCTTCAACGTTTCAGTGATATCTGGAGCATCTGAGCGAAAGCTTGAAGCCTTATTTTCTTCCTGCCCCAAGATCGATATTGACGCTGAAAGTAGCTCCGCCTCACGCGCTCATCAGGACACAGAAACCTTGCTGGAAATCCCCAACCCGCCTGCTGCTTCGCAGCTCGCTTGATGTTTCGAGCATTCACCGGCGAGGTTCTGTTATCGGCGAGTCTTACGGCAATGAGGATTGCATTGTGAGCAATAGCAACCCAGGCCTCCATGTGCCGCTGTATGTGCCATATGTAAGCTCAGTTGCGCCAAGCGCGGAGCGCCTTGGTCCCAGTCACCCGGACCGCGCAGAGAGCACCAATAAATCTGTGTGACTTAGACTAGGAGTGCCTGAGCGTGTTGCTCGCTTGAGAGCTTTCGCAAAAGCGATGCCATATCATCGAGATACATTTTATCCTATGCAACCGGATCGAACGTTGTATTGCTCACGCGCCAAGGCAACGGAGATGTGAATGGAATGGGCATCGCCGCGCCATTAATGCTAGGGTTTACGAGCACATAACTAGCCATCGAGCTCTCGTGCGCATTCTCAAAGACGTCACATGCTCTCTGGCAGACCCGCAGTCGATTGGCTCGAGGATCTGCGAGACAAATGACTGAAAGATCCCAAGGTGCGGAGAATATGGCAACCGCCATGGATGCGGCGCTCTCACTGCGTCTGCTCAAACGTAAAACCCGACGTATATTGGCCCAAGTACCTAAAAGGTGGGAAAGTCGGGTAGTAGACGGGTCCTCAAGCGAAGAGTAATACCATAAGCCAGGTACTTGTCATCTACATGTATTGCGGCTGCGGCTGGGATGCCTAAATGACGCGCATGACGCGGGTAGGAGCAGCATGTGGATGCCTCGCGCGCTTCACTCTTCCGACTTGCTCGACTGCAGCTTGGCGTAGAACGCGTCGCGACGCTGGACAGAGGGAATGTGGACGCCGTACCTGAGCAGTGCAGAAGCGATGCAGGCAGGCGGGAAGGGGGTGGAAAGAGAGAAGGCTCGGTCAGCGTCTGTGTGTAAAATGCTTCGGAAACGAGATGTAGCCGCAGTCATCGACCTGGTGCCATTGCCATTTCCGCTAATCTCGTGACCCAACACAGCTCAGCGGCGGAGTACCCTCGATACGACCTAGTCGCTGCCTATTGCCCACTGCCGTATTTTCTTCGTGCGCTGCCTGTAGCCGAGCGCCGGCGAGCTGACTTGAAATGAACAAACCCTTTCCCATCATCGAGCACACAGATCCAGCGAACAACCAGCGCTCGCTGTGGGCAATGCCTGGCTGGCACTGGCATGTATCTGTCTTGCCCTCCCATGCCTTTCGTCCGAATTTCAGTTCCTCTGGAGTCCGATCATTGCCTTTCCCTTTATGGATAGCAGCGCCTGCGACTCATCAAGTGCTCTCCTTTCTCTTCCGCATAGCCTTCCTGAATGACCGAAATAAGAGGGGGGAGGGAACAGATGAAAGTCAAGACGCACCAGTATGCGTAGCCAAGGGCGGTGCCGCCTCCGAGCGCAACGGAGAGATCGAAGATGAGCCTCTTGCGCAGCTTTCCGGTCATGGCAGGGAGAGAGGCTGCAGCTGGCATTGTGTAAAAGTTCCGTCGATCTGTTTGTCTGAGGTTCTGGTTGTCAACCGACGAGAAGAGGGAGCGAGAAAGGGATGGAAGCAACCGAGATGGAGGGTCAGCTCAGCTCAACTCATGATTCGGCCGTGCGGACTGGCCACGACGCAGCAAAGACAGGGCGATGGTATGCTGTGCTGCTCACCTTATGGACTCGCTACTCCCGATGAAGATGCAGAACGAAGTGGATCGCTGCCGTTAGAGGATGTAGACTTGCGCGCGAGTATAGGAAAGTAAAGAGTTGAAGCGAGGCGAGGGCGACATTACAGCAGGGCGTAAGAGAGAAGCCAGCAGCTGACGGGCTTGGCTGGTTGGGCGGTGAGAAGGGGGGGGATGCGTGTGCGTGTATTTACAGGTCGTACCGCGCAATGGGCCAGGCGGGCCGGCGATCACAAGCTGGACGCCGCGGGTGGCACGGCCTTCGACGATGATGCGATGATGATGCTGATGATGATAGGGCGGTTGGTCACTGGCAACAATGATGGTGATGGTGCTGCTGCTGCCCATTATCCCGCATGGCCCAGGGAAGCACTAGAATCGTGCGCCAGGTTTAACAAAAACGAACGGCGGATCAGTGAACGGGCAAAGTCGGCTCGAAGGAAGCGCCTTGTTGCCGCTCGCAGCATCACCCCAGCGGGCTCGCCCTGTCCGAGAGCGACGTATCGAGCCCCCCGCCTGCAACCCGTTCAAACGTGCCCTCTACGCTTCTCCTGCGAGTAGCAAGTAGAACGGAGGTGGACGAAGACGTTGATAACCAAGGAAAGAGGCACTCTACAAGATGGCCTATATCTCTATCTGCAAGGCGCTCTACGACTACGAGGCGCAAGCTTCGGATGAGCTGCAGCTGACCGAGGACGAGCACATCTACATCCTCGATGCCTCCGACCCCGAATGGTGGAAGGCAAAGCGTCGCCCGCCGATCGACCCATCCTCCGGGCAGCTGCTCCCCTTCCCCGCAGGCGTCGAGGAGGGCCAGGTAGGCCTTGTGCCGGCCAACTATGTCGAGGAGTCCGAGCCGTTGCGCATGAGCCGCGCCCTGTACTACTACGAGGCACAGAATGACGACGAGCTCGCGCTGCAGGAAGACGAACTACTCAGAGTATATGAGTACGAAGGAGAGTGGCTGCTTGTCAAGAAGCAGGGGCATGATGAGCTTGGGACGGGAGAGGGGAAGCTCGGCTTTGTGCCGGCAAACTATGTAGATGAGGTGCGTGCCGCACTGTGGGCTTGCCCACTTTCTGCGCTGTCCGATAGCTGACCGGCCATTTGTCCATCTCGAACTACTCTAATTGAGCAGGTCGCTGCGGTCGATGGTGGACCAACACGGGTTGATACCAGTACGGCTGTCGCCCAGGTCCGGGACGACGCTGAGGACGAAGACGAGGAGGAAGACGCTACAGCGGGGGCCATCTCCACTGCGCCTCCAACGCGCACGATTGCCGTCAAGAGCGCCGGAACGGGACCGACCGACAAACCGGACGACATTGACATGTGGGCCATTGCTGTGAGTCAGCGGTGCGATGACAGCGATGCAACACGTGTGGCTGACTCAAAGGGGGCTGGTCTTTGCCCAACACAGGCTCTAGACTCGAAAAAGAAGAAGAAGAAGGGCACGTTGGGAATCGGCAACGCATCCCTCTTCTTTGCCTCGGAATCCGACAAAACGCCTGTGCAGAAGATCAGCGTCCTGTCCATCACCTCTCACTCTGTTGAGAAGGGCAAGACGCTGCACATGAAGCTCGACGACGACGTCGATGCAGAGCTGGCGGTCGAGGTCGAAGGAGGGAAGGAGTTGACCTTTGTCGCCAGCAGCAAAGGAGACGCGGAGGCGATCGCAAAGAAGCTGGATAGTAGCAAGGCCGTCGCCAGGGAGGCGGCACGTAACCCACCACCTGCCAAAGCTGCAGCAAGCTCGGCGAGCCCGCGCAACCTGAGGAGCCTGCCACCGCCGCCAAACGGAAGCGCAGCGGCGATGCCTATGCCCGCCGCGCTGTCCGCCCCTGCAGCTTCGCCATCAGTCGGGCTTCTGCCTCCACCGACACGCAAATCAGGCTTGTCTCCTGCTCCACCGGCAGCATCTCTAGCAGCTGCTGTGCCAGCGCTAGCACCGGGTGAAGAGCATGCGATCGCGCTGTACGATTTTGAAGCGCAAGGCGACGACGAGCTGAGCGTTGCTGAGAACGAGAAGGTCATCATCGTTGAGAAGGAGAACGATGATTGGTGGAAGGTGCGCAACCAGCATGGCCAGGAGGGCGTCGTTCCCGCCAGCTATGTCGAGGCCATCGCAGGCGATACTGCTGTCAACGGCTCCGCTGCTGCTGCTGTTTCTGGTGCGGACACCTACGAGGATGACGAAGCTGCAGTCACGCGAGAGGCCGGGGAGGAGATGGCTGCAATTCAAGCTGCTGAAGCGGAGCGTCAAAAGGCGGCACGCATTGCAGACATGGAGCGCCGCAAGGCGGAGTTGGTGGAAAAGCGTAGGCGCGAAGAGGCGGAGGCCAAGCGCCGCGAAGCACTCAAGGCGCAGCCTGCTCCCGCCGTCCCTGCCAGCGAGGGGCGCAGCAGATCCGACCGCGACGCGCGTGATGGCGGCAACATCAAGGTCCCTAGCGGCAAGAGCGCACCAGAGCGTCCGAAGGGCGTGTCTTCAGGCCGGGCCAAGCCCTCCGCGAACAACACGCGAATCTGGCATGACAAGTCCGGCCAGTTCAAGGTCGACGCCGAGTTCCTTGGTTTCAACAGCGGCAAGATCCGGCTGCACAAGATGAACGGCGTGGTGATCGAGGTGGCCATCGAGAAGATGTCGGTGCCGGATATCCAGTTTCTCGAGGACATCACTGGCAAGCGGCTAATGCCGCACGATGACGACCTGCCGCTGGATCGCGCCCCGGATCGGCGGAGGCGCGAGAGGGAGGCGACGTCCCGCAGCAGCCGCAGCGGCCAAATCATCGATCGGCCGGATCGCGAGCAGGATCCCCGGCGCAGCAAACGGGAGGTTGGGTGCGAGCGCGAGCGCGAGAGAGAGGCGCGGCGCAGGCAGGACGGCCGGTCTCGTCGCAATGTTGACTGGTTTGAATTCTTTCTCGCTGCCGGCGTCGACATGGATGACTGCACGCGCTACGCCGCCGCTTTCGAGCGCGACAAGATCGACGAGGCCATCCTGCCGGAACTGGAGGCCTCTACGCTGCGCAGCCTGGGTCTGCGTGAGGGAGACATCATCCGCGTCAGGAAGCTGATCGATCGCAAGTATAGCCCCAAAGTGAGCTCGAGCTCATCGAAAGCCAAGCAGATCAGGGCCGACGAAGAGCTGGCAAGGCGGATCCAAGAGGAGGAGCAGAATGCCCGCCGAGGCAAGACAACGAGCCCCGCTCCGCCTTCGCTCTTCTCTGGTCCTGATGGCTCGCTGAAAAACAACACGCGCCGAGGCAGGCCGACGCCGAGCAGCAGCAGCCGGCAAACAACCATCGACTCTGCTTCGCTTGCGGCGGCATCCGAGTCGCTGCGCATCAATAATGCATCGCCAATCCCGCGCAACGCAACCACCAGCCCCGAAAGTGGACGTAAGTCCGCCGCACCCATCGCAAGCGGCTTTGATGACGATGCGTGGACGCCGCGTCCGCCTAGCGCAAAACCAACAACGCCTGCCGCCCCTTCATCGGCATCTGAAGCCGTAGTTGCTCCGCCACCCCCGCCGCCACCAGCTTCAGCAGCCGCTGCCCCCGCCCCGGCACCGCCAGCCGTGTCGGCCCCAGTGCCACCTGCGGTGTCTGCAGAGCCGTCCAAGCCCGTTGCAGACCCGAACTCGGCTCTGTTCGACAAATTGGCGGCCATGAAACCTGCGGCACCCACCAATGGCTTCGGCCGACCCGGCGCGGCACCAACGAACAACGCCATGATGGGCAGCTTTAACATGGGTCCTCGCGGGCCTCTTGCGCCTGTCCCCCAGAACCAAGGTCTTCTGCAACCGCTTATCCCTACACAGGGAACCGGTCAATTCGTCCCGACAAGGCAAATGGGCATGCAGCCGCAGATGACCGGTTGGGGAGGAGGCATGCAGCCACAGCTGACCGGTTGGGGTGGCATGCAACCTCAACAAACCGGCTGGGGCGGTATGCATCCGCAGGCGACGGGCTTCAATGGTATGCAGCCACAGCCAACAGGATTCAACGGCATGGGTGGGGTGGGCATGCAGTCGATGGCTACTGGGTTTGGACTGCTGCAGCAGCCGCAAACTCCGTTCGGCATGCAGATGCAACCCACCGGCCTTGACATGCAGCAACAGCCGCAGTCAACATTTGGCATGCTGTCAGAGCAGGCGCAAAAGCATGAGAAGGAAAAGGACATGACGCCGTCCAACATTTTTGCCCAGGTAAGCCTTCACTACAATCACTTGATCAATGGAGACTGCATGCTCATTAGACATCTCCGGGTCACAGATGAAATCGGGCGAATTCGCAAGAGACGGAAGTAGTGGAGCACAGCCGGCTGACAAATACGATGCCTTGCGAGGATTCCAGACTGGCAGTGTCATGTATCCGCAAAACACTGGCTTCTACGGATGAGCAACTTTTGGCTTCGACATCAGTGGCAAATGCGTTTCTGACTAGAAAGAATGTGATGTAGTATACAGAAAATCACCCGCACAATGAGGGCATGCAACCCCATGATGGCGATGATAGTTTCTAACCTGGTCGCGCCTGTTCGTGACCTTGGGCATGACAATAATCCGCGCACGTGTCGATTCATGATGACGACACTTTGGATAGGAAGCCGGCGACGCGCGAGAGGTCCATTTCGGCGCCATCGCTCTCGATGGCGACGACGAGGTCGTCAAGAATCTCCAGGACGCGGTCCTCCTCGACGCCACAGCACATCGCGACAACTTTGCGGCATTGCGCCTCCTTCGTCTTGGCCTCCTGCTGCACCGCCGCGATGCGCTTCTCCAACGCACCGCTGGAGCCGACGAGCCAGGCGTACAGCCAGCGCAAGCGCACGAGCTCCTTGGCAGGAGCGTTGCCGCCCACTTCGAGCGTTGCGATTTGCTGCTCGACGAACGCCTCGTTCGCAGCCGCGCGTGCGCCGGGTGCGATCGCAGCTTCGCGCAGGCTGCCGATCATGCGCTTGAGATTGGCGATGTTGTTCCGATGCTCGTCGCGCTGCGCGACTTTGGCTTGGACCTCGCTGAATATCCGTCGGCGGCTCGCGAGGTCGCGCGTCGCTCGCTGTAGCTGCGCCTGCGCGGCGGCGAGCTTCTTCTGCTTCTCGGCCATCTCGACCTCATATACCTGCTTGACTTCTTCCACAGCTTTTTGGATCTCTGCGAGCGTCGAGGTGAAGAATGTACAAACAAAGAAACATCCAGTCAGCATCTTAACACACCAGAAGGCAAGCACGTGAGCCGCGCACACTCACCGCCAAGGACGTCCTGACTCCTTTGCATGGGCGGCCGCGGCGGCTTGGCGATTGCAGCGACGATATCGTGCGCACGATGATTGGCCAATTCGCCCGCCAGCTTTGTCGCCTCCCCTTCCGCGCTACCGGCCGGTGCTGCTACCGCTGGGTCTTCTCCCTGCTGCTGCTGCTGGGCGGCCGAAAGATGCTGCTCGAGCCCCCAATCGCTCGGTCTAATGCCAAAGTGGTTGACGATGTCCTTGCGTGCACGTACCTCGAGCAGCATGCGCACCATGCTCGCATTGCCGATGCGCGCAACGATGCCCAACGCTGTCTCCCCGCTCTCGTCCTGCGCGTCAATCAGCGCTGCTGCGTCGCGTTTGGAGATCGGCATTGCGGACGCCCCTGCAGCCGCGGTGCCTTTCACAGGCTGCTGCTGCTGTGCCTGCGCGAGGTACTCGAGCACGCACGCGAGGTAGTACCTCGCGGGTGCGGCGCGGCCCTTGAGTGCAGCGACCATGGCGATGTGGTGCAGGATTGTCCTGCGCTTGTAGTCGCCCGTCATGAGGCTGGGCGCGAGCAGCGCGAGCACGCTCGGGAAGGTGCCCGCCTCGTAGCTGTTCGTGACGAGGACGCTGCGGTGCAGCGCCGTCTCGCCGGCAAAGTTACCGGCATGCACGTTCGCGCCGCCGTGCTCGACAGGCCGTGCGAGCAATGTGCGCAGCAGCGGCAGCTTCGATAGCGCCGCGGCCCAGTGCAGCGGCGTATGGCCGTGGTCGTCAATGACAATGTTGACCGACACGTTCGGGTTATCCGGATTCCCGAACGGTACTCGTGATGCTGGTGCTGCTGATGATGACGAGGGTGTGGATGCTGCGCCGCTCTGCCCGTGCCCGAGGGAGATGGCGGCGGACATGCGCCCGAGCAACTGCTTAAGGTCGGACTCGTGATCCCTGCCTGTCACATCGTCAGCCCCGTTGCGTTTCGCGGCGGCGGCGCCTGCATGTTCCTCTTCCAGGAAGAGGTTCGTGAGGATCTCCTTGAGCGGCCGCTCCTGCGCTTCGTCTACACCCTTGAACGCCTGCGCGCGATCGGCGTAACGCGCGCCGCTACCGCCGTCACTGCGCGCGAGGTGATCTGGCGGCCCGAGGACGATGCGCGCCGAGCGCGCATGGTGGTGTTGGCCGCCATAATATGTGCCATGTGCACCGCCGAAGCGCCCATGCGCACCAGCCAGCGCGGCGGGGCCGCCAGACGCGGCCCGCAGACAGCCACCGGCCGGACCGAGGTTGTTCAGATCCCGCACGGGCGATGGGTTCGCGATTGCGTCTGTATTGCTGAGTAACACGTTGTCTTCGGTCGCTGCGGCCACTACCGAGTCCGGCCCGTCGACTTGCATTGCCTCGTGATCCCTGCTGACACCCGGAGCGGTGAACCGCGCACGTTTGTTTGGCGTAAAACTTCCCGCTGCTGCTGCTGCTGCATTGTCCTCTCCCGCCGACATGCCTGAACCTGTGCCGGTGGAGCCATTGGCGACGGATGTGTCGGTGTCGTTCAATGAACCTGCTGGCGGTGGGGGCGGCCGAAGCCGAAGAAACCGAGGGGCCTGGCTCGGTGCGCCAGCCGTGCCAGCTGAAGCACCGGGACCGTATATGCTACCGTTCTCCATCGTGATGACCGATGGCGAAGTACGCCGTGGTTCCTGCGATGTTGTGTCTGCGTCGACATCTGTCGCTACCCCTGCCCCTGCCCCTGCCACTGTCACTGTCACTGCCCCTGATCCTGTCGCTGCCGCTGTTCCAGCTGCGGCTCCTACTCCGGCTACTGCTCCCGTGCCACTTTCTGCGTCCACGGCGACGTCGACAAGAGTGCTCCCTGCAGCACTGGACGCGGAATGGATATTGTTGAGACGCTGAGCAGACGGCGCGTTCGGATTGGGCCGCTTGCCTTTGGGTGCGGCCGTCAGGTTGGCTGCGCTTGCTGGATCGAATTCGAGAACTGGCTTGAGCAGATGCGCAACATTGTACGCAGCAGACAGCTCTTGTGCACGTTTGAGTGGAATCCTGCCAGTAAAAACGTGGACAGAAGCGAGAAGAGGGGGGATATCGCGTTTCAGCCACCCTCGCGCTTTCTGCATTTGGCTGATTCAGAAGCGAGCAGCGCGACTGACCATGTACCCTGATACTTTCCATACCCGCCCTGGACCTTTTCATGCTCGCCGGTGAGGATCTCTTTTTCAAGAATCTTGGTTCGGCGTCCCTTTTCTATCCCGGCGACCTTCAGGATCTGGGTGGCGTTGAGGAAGCCGTCAGCTCTGCGGCGCATGACGGCGATCCCGCGGACGGTCAGCTCGTAGACGGGCACAGACGAGTACGTCGCGAGGTAGACGCGGGGTGTTGGGCCTGTATGCTGCAGAGCAATAGGTGGCGCGGGGATGAGTGCTGGAGCGACTGTTGCGCCTGCGTGCTTTGCAGCTGTCGCGCCATTGACGACAGCTTGCGAGCAAGGGGAGTCGTCGACGTCCATATCGCCGCCTTGTTGCTGATGCTGTGTGCTAGCCGCTGCCGCTACCTTTGCCTTGTCCGCTTCCGAGATGGCTGGCGGTCGCGGTACCGATATGGCGGATTCCAATTCTGTGGCCGCCATAGTTGTAGCGGGTGCTGCCGGCCTAACCTAGGGTAGGGTCGGTGAGGGGAGGCGGCGCGAGGTGGTGCCCGGGGGGAGGTTCGTTTGCCCGCTCTTGAGTAGATATGCGGGGAGGGGGCAACATCCGATGTGCCTCCGAGGAGAATGTATGCTGGCGTGCCGAGTGGTGCTGTGCTCGTTGCACGAGCCAAAGGTGAGGGATGCCAAGGTATGCGAACGAGAGAGACCAGACTGAGAAAGGAGAGAGAAGGTGTTGGCCGCCACGCCAGACTGCTGACTGGAGAACGCGCCCGCGTCTTGCTCTCAGTCTCCGCGCGCGTCGCATCCATATGCACGAATACCTGTAAACCCACGCGTTTCCCCTCTCTACGGTGGTAACTATCATACACTACCACAGATGCAGCAGAGGACCCGCACCACGCAGTTGTAGGCATACTATGAAGGTGGTGTGCACTTGGCAGGCAGGCTCTGTACAAACGTTGCGTGGCAAGCGTCAGCCATGTCGAGGCCTGGACAGACAGGCTGATTCTGGTGTTGTAGCCTCGCTCTGTCGCTCTGCTCTCCCTTCTTTCGATGGTGTTAGCTCGACATGAATATGTCTCCGCTGCTGCCTCTTGCAATTCTGGTTCAAGAAGCCGTGCACGAGGCACGTGGCATGACCCGTCTATAGATAAATGTATGCTGCGTACATTGTTCAGATGATGTGGTTGGTGCTTAAGAGGCGATGGTCTTACGGCAGTGCCTTGGACCGCTGCTCGAGCCACCGCTCTACGTCCCAGCCCTTGAAAACGAGGTTCAGCTCTCTTATCGCGGAGTCCTGCGAATCTGCGACACAGAGAAAGACAGCGGGAATCAGCGACGGCATGATGTTTCGGAAGGCAGGTAATGCAATGGACGAACCGCTTCCGTGGAATCCGTTCCTCGTGTCCCCGAGACCAAAGATGGCTCGTAGGCAATCTGGTTGTTCCCATTTCGCTCTAACGAGAGTGTGATAGCAGCCACATGGTCAGCCTGGCCTACCCCTCTGGCTTCACCGTACAGCTGCTGCATTCTGCTATGCACCTGTACGCTTTCGTCGGGCCTAGCATGGCACGCCACCGTTTGATTACGTCTGGGCCTGCGAGAGCGAGCGCGATCGACGGCCCGCTGTAGGTAGAGAATACGCATCAGTCCAGCTGTAACAGAAACCCGGTAAATACCAAAGAGATCCTCACCTTGTCATGCCCTGGATCAAGCGATCGTAGTAGAACCTCCCCTCGTGTTCCGCATAGAAAGCCTTCGCGTCCTCCTCCTTCCAGAACAGTCGTTTGGTCCGCACAATCTCCAGTTGCGCTCGCTGGATGTGCTTCATCACAGCAGAGACGTCTGGTGGGTATGACACCAGCGTCGGTTTCAGCAGTGCAAGCGTCAGCTGCTGCTGTGATGGTGGGGGTGGCGCTGTTGCAGCGCTGACAGTGACTGCCCGGACCATCGCTGTTCGCAGCATGTTTGCAACCTGCCCGCACCACTTGGCTCCGCCAGACGACCGCCTACGGCTCTGCCCACTGAACGGGGGACGCTGCCCGCGTGGAACGTGCTCATGACCTATGTCCGTCGCAGGCCCATCGGGTTCGGGAACGTTGCTGCACAAGCCGTTGCCAAATGCAGGTGTCCAAGATGGAGAGAGCGAGCTGCGAACCGGCCACATCTCCAAAAGTCTGCCATGCGATGGTTCCGCGTCTCTTCGCCATCATCGCCTCTTTCTGGAGCCACAAAGGCTCTCCACTTGCCTTTCCATTCGTTGAAGGATGAGCGTGGGGTGAGCCTTGCAAGTCGCTGCACCACTGCATGGTTCACAGTCTGGTTGGAGTGGCCGAGCCTCTTGACCTCGAAGCCCGACTTTCCCCCTCCTCCTGTGATTCCAACAGCGCGCTCGGTCGCAACTCGCAAAGGGAGCTCGCGCGCTCAGTGTCTTCCTTCAATATTAACAGTGACGGTGCAGATCTGCGGCACCCTCGTCCCTGGTTGCTTTTCGCAGACACGGCTGCGCCACGGATCACAGAGAGACGTGAGCGTAACAATTTGAAAAGTCACTCGCACCGCCAACGAAGGCACCTGACAAGAAGCGGGCAGGATGCAAGACCGTAACAACACAACCGCCGACTTGCGGACCAACTTCCTGAAGAGTCGCTTGGCCAGGTTGCCACATCTACCAGCCATCGCTCCTGGTTCCGCAGGTGTGTGTGCGATGCATGAACTTTGAGAATATCATACAGGCGCAAAAGTTCACTCTCAATATATTTGTATCCGTTTCCCCCTCCCGCTTTGCAACACCACCTTGCCGCGCAGCTGACCTGGGTTCCCAGAGCTGCACAGCACCCAGCCTGCAGTCCGCGGCAGATCCAATGCAGCAAGATGACGCCGCAGATGGCGAAGAAGGTGACACGTTTGGTGCGATGCCTCCCCCGCTGAATATGAACCCGCGAGGATCAAAGCTCCGCCATGTCGCACAGGACGATTGGAGTCCATTGACCGCGGAAGGCTGCTTTGCCGAGGCGCTAGAAGTGGACGTGGCATATCCCATAACCCTTGGGTCCGCCTCGGCTTCTAGTAGCAGGGGGCCATCGGGGACAGCCGTTTCAGCTCAATCAATGCTCCAGGCCTCTGGGTTAAGCGATCATGGAGTCTTTCGGGTTTACTACACACCGCCCATCTCACCGTCGTTGCGAGTAAAGCAGGAGACGGCTGGGAAAAAACTTCCACCACGGTCAGCTGGTGGCAGCAGCGGAACAGCAGAGCTTTCCAACGAATCTGTAGGCGTGATGGCGATCAACGGAGCATCGGAGGCTGCTCTGCTTAATTTGGAGCCGCTGGCGTTGGAAGACGATGAAGGTGAAGGGTCATCCTCACTAAACCCGCGACATGCAGATGATGACCCGGGCACGGTATTCTTCTTGATTCATGGCGCGGGTTTCAGCGCGTTATCCTGGGCGTTGATGGCCCGCGAGATCACAAAATCTACCAATGGCGAAGCTGGGCTCATTGCAGTCGACTGTCGCGGGCACGGTGCGTGTTCCTTCCTGATTCGCCTTCTTCCTCACAATGAACTCAAGTCAAATCGTTACATTTGCTGCCGCGTTTGCAGGACGAACACGGCATCCGGATCACCATTTACCGCTGGACATGTCTCTGGATTCGCTCACAGCCGACATGATCGGTGTGCTGCGTGCCCTTTATCCCTCCCCAAAAAAAGTGCCGAACCTCGTCCTGGTAGGGCACAGCATGGGCGGCTCCGTAGCCGTTTCGCTCGCGCACGCGCTGCTGCCGTCATTCGGAACACCACCGCCGATCCCCAGCGTGCGCCTGACCGGCGTCGCCGTCCTAGACGTCGTGGAGGGGACGGCGATGGACGCGCTGTCAGGCATGGAGGGTATCGTCAAGTCTCAGCCGCAAGGATTTGTAAGCGTCGAAGAAGCGATCCGCTGGCATGTCGAGAGCAACACGATCCAGAATCGCGAAAGCGCGCGCAGGAGCGTCCCGCCGCTTGTCGTGCCGAATCCGCACTTCAAGCAGGAGCAGTCGGCGGAAGGGCTAGTTCAAGAGGAGGAAGTTGAAGAGATACTGGAGGAGATCCAGGAGAAACGCTTGGCAGACAAACCGGCGTCCAATCCACATGATTCAAGCGCGAGGAGAGCGAGCAAGCACCCGTACATCTGGCGCGCGGACCTGCTCGCCTCCGCGCCATATTGGAGCGGCTGGTTCCAGGGCCTCTCTTTGCGCTTTTTGGAGGTACGGTGCGCGCGGCTGCTGCTTTTGGCCGGCGCAGACCGGCTGGATAAGGACCTGATGATCGGGCAGATGCAGGGAAAGTACCAGCTCGTCGTCTACCAAGACGTCGGGCATTGCCTGCAGGAGGACGCGCCTGCGCGCACGGCGCAGACGCTCATCGAGTTCTGGAGGAGGAACGAGAGCATCAAGGTCAAGAGGATTGTACCTGGTTCAGGCGTCAAGGAGAGTGTGAGGTTGCACAAGGTTGGGCAGTAGCATGTCGAGTTCACAAGAATGATGCTTGCTTGTCGATCGCAATCTATTTTTAGCCTAGGTATATTACTGGGCGTCTTGCAGCATTAATAAGTTGAATTCCATGATGGTGAAAGGCCTTGACCCTCTTTTACATCCTTCCCATTACCTTGGCAGCTTCTCTTTACGCTTGCCCTTGGCCTTCCGGTCGGCATCGCGTTTGTTACTCTCCTCCAACTCGACGGCCTTGCCCAGCTCCTTGTTCAGTTTCCTCGGAGGCTGGACGACAAAACAGGCTGTGCCGAGCTCGTCGGTGATGGTCGTGACGACGTGCCAGCAAAAGTGGCCGTATAGCAGCGCGGTGAGCACAAGGCTGACGTACACAGCCGCACGCGTCGCTGCCTGCGAGTGCTGGATGAGCGGCGTGGGGAGTTGCGCGTCGATGGCGCCGAGTGCGCTCCATACGAGCGTCAGGTTCCAGAAAGGGAAGCGCGCCTTCGTGACGTGCGCGACGATGAGAAGGCCGACATTGTACGCGAAGCTAAGCCCCCAGAAGATGCAGAAAGGGATGAAGGCTTGTCCGTCGGCGATGATTCGCGCGTCTTGTGCCGTCAGCCAAAAGATGTTGATGGCCACTTGCAAGATGAGAGGCAGCAGGCCGGCAGCGGGCGTCAGTGCCGACTGACCGCGTTTGCTCCGTGCGGCAGCCACATTGGAGTAGCTGTATAGGACCAAAAGGTAGAAAAGTCAGCACAGCTCTGGTCCTCGGAGGGGGATCAGCGGTGGGGGTACATCGTTCGAACTCACCTTGTGATGACATTCGCAAAGAGCCCAGCAGCCCCAAAGGAGAGGAAGGCGTCGTTGAGCGGGAGGTTCCAGTTCTTGAGCGCGCTGTTCCTGACAAAGCTCGCTTCGCTCAGGCCCGTGACATTCAGCACGCCTTGATCCCAGAAAGCGGGCCCGCCCAGTAAAGCAGTGATCACGTAGATGACGCAGATCATCAAGATGCCCTCTACGGGTCCTGAAAATGCGGAGAGGAAAAGTGTGCCGGTGTGATACTCCTCCCAAGTGGTGAGGTAAAAGTTGGAGAGCGTCGCAACGAGCGAGGCGATGGTCCAGTACGAGCGACCCAGGTTCATGGCCGCAGCGCACAGGAGGCACTCGAGCGTGGTGTTAATTGCATCGCAGCCGTGGTCGAAGAGCTCGCCCAGGGGCCCTGCCATGCCTGTCCGGCGCGCTTGCTTGCCGTCGATCGAGTCCAGCGATTGGTAAGCGAAAAGACCGATTGCCCAGCTGCAAGCATGTGTGCCAAGTGAAATTGTCATGAACAAAAGCACTTCCCAAGCATGACCACAAAACGTGGTAGCGACTCACGTGAGGTAGACCCAGTGCGGAAGGCAATGGCTGTGATCGCTGGCTGTAGATCCGTGCGTAATAAAGTTCCAAAACCCCCAGCCAGCTTCATCGACCTCGATGCTCTTCGGCAGGCCATATCGCGCCAGCAGAGGCCGGACAGGCAGGCCCAGGGTTAATACTGCAGCACCAACGGCCGCTGTCGCATTTGCCGCAGAGGTGTTCAGGCCCTCTGACAAGTTCAAGTCGCGCGCAATGGCCTGCAGGCGGGCGTCTGTGCCGCATTTGAGCGCGCCATCAACGGCGAGAAGAGTGATGAAGTTGAGAAAAACTAAAGCCAGGCCGGAGAGCGTGATGGTGTTGGGTGCGACGCTCTTGGGGAAGAACGAGACAAGCGCGTTCCAGTAGGGCCCTAGGATGTACTTGGATACGAGGGACTTGTCCGTGCCGCTGTACTTATAAGCATGCAGCGCGGGGCGCCGCGAGGCAGAGATGTAGGTGAAGAGCGAGGGTGCCATGCTTGCAAGCACTACGTGATCGCCGCGAAAACAGAAGGAGCAGACGCACGCCAGCTGCAGTCACGACACACCACGACGCTGAGCTGGCAGCAGCGAGTGAGCAAAGGGGGGAAGCAAAGCAGGGGGTGAATCCCTGGCTGGATCCGGCGATGCCTGTCACGACAAGGACATGGTGCTTGCGTAAGGAAGGCGACCGCCCGACACCTTCCTTTTTTTTCTCCCTTTTCGACACGTGCCATCATCCTCGTCATCACATCGTGTGAATGGGAATCAGAGAGTTTGTGACGTAAAATATTACGTAAGCATTGAGTGAGCAGCAGCCCACCACGCCTCAACTACCTGATCAGCCATGTGGGGCGGGCATGATCGCGTTCAGTGGAGGCATCGAGAACGAGGGTCTCGAAGCGTTCGAGTGCAAGATGAACGGCGATGTGCGCTGCGTGTACATCGGCAGCAACCTCTCCGTCGAGGAGATGATGAAGCGGGAACCGAGACCGCTGCTGGCGAAGCTGGAGGATGATCTGAACTCGAACCAGCTGGTAGACTCTTGGAGAGAGATCGAAGCGCGGCCGAGGCTCAGGCCGCCGTACAGCTAGTATATTGGTCCGCTGGTATCTACGGCCAGGCGCAAACAGGAAGGTGATTTCGATGCCCGAGGCTCAAGAGGGAGTACCATTAGTATTGGTGAGCATCTTACAGCAAGCTCGAGAGCAGCGCCCACGCTGAGTTGTTTCGCAAAGTCCTTGATCACGCAGGCAGCATCCACAGTCTGATCGGCGGGTTGCGCGAGCTAGTGTACGCAGCGGTCGAAGGCGCAGTGGCCAAATTCAGTCAGCAAGCTGCGAGAAACAATGCTTATCGGCGCATCCAAGTCAACTGCAACTGCCCCAGCCACCTCGACACAGCCAAGACGTCTAACATCCCGCTTGAACTCGCCGCGCAGAGACCGGCAATATGGCCGCACCGAAGTGTCAGGAGAATTGTAGCAAAGACAGTTGTTCTCCTCGCTCAGGATGCGCCGTGGGTGCCGGGGAGCACCGTTGTGGTGACCGTTGGCACCACTGCTCGGTAACTATTTGCAGTTCATGCGCTGCAGGTGAACTACATTTATATTTACCGGCGCATAGCCCGTCGACAGTGATAAACAGCTCACTTTCCCGCGAAGAACTTGGTTTTGAGTTTTTCAATCTTATGCCGTATGCTGAAGGACAGTTGTACGCTGGTGCCAGAGAAGCACGTTGTGCAAAGGTCGATGAGGAGGAAGCACTCGCAACTCACACGGTACAATTTTCAGCGCAATCTTCATGCCCGGGTAAATGCAGATGCTAAACGGCATTCACTGGAAGTCTATTTTCGCAGCCTTGCTATCGCCGTTACCCTGTGCGCATATGCGGTCATCGAGCGTTACTTTGGCAGCGCAAGCGGTGCACTCAGCGGTGAGGTCGCCTTGTTGCGCTGCTGGCGGGATAAGCGCATCTTATAATGAGTATCTGTATTCAGATGCAGACGACGCAGTCAGCATCATTCGATTGACCCGGTATGCATTTCTTACGCTCGCTTAGTTTTTACGAAGGGCTCCCCGACAAAAGCCAACCCCAGCCCCTTGGTGATTTGCTCGTCCGTCGCGTTCGGCAGGCCGTACGCAGGCACGGCAAAGGCTTTGATCGTCTGGAAACAGCGACGCAGTGCCGCCACGAGTTGAATAGGTAAAAGTGCGCCGTGGGGCTGTTGAGACGCGTTGAGAGTGAATTTGAGCTGTGGTGAAGAATCGATAAAATGTCCCAGGGTATTTGCCAGTGAGAGAATCACCTTGACGTGATTGAGGGGGACACGTTCCAATTCACAAACAGCCCGTTACGGGGCACACTTGGTCTGATCAAAGAAGGACTGTGAGAACTGTAGAGCAAGTTATTCCACTACTATCGCCGACTAACTCTTTTCCTTCTACGCAAACGTGATGATTTCCGCGAGTTCTTCTTCAGTGAGCTGCATCTGTCTGCAGCTGAATCTCGCCAGGTCCGGGAAACCTGGATCAGCCCCGATGATAACATTGTGCTTCTTGGCAAGCTTTACCGCTTATCTACAGCGGGAAGTCACATTTTTAATGTAAGAAATGTTGCACCATCAAGGCCTAGTCGACATACAATTGTGCAGCGTCGTCGGGTCAGGAGCATGAAGGCCAGCGGCTGCGTCTGCGACCTAGGTCAGCGGCATCAGCTGTTTCGTCCGTTCCGAGCGAGTAGCACCCGAAGGCCTCTCCCATCTGCACAATTCCAAACCAGATGGGAGTTTCGAGGTGTTAATATATATAAGCGTCATGAAGAATGAATGGCTAGGACGGAAAGGGGTACCGGAAACGCGTGCATCGAGAGCTACTCACGTCACTGTTGACTTCAATCTTTGTCGGAAGGTTGCGGGCCATGTTGCTGATGTTTCTCGGCCTAAACTATCTGTCTGCAGAGACACCCCTCCCGTCTCCTTCTAGGTCTTCTGTCTCATCGGATGAGGAAGACTGAATTTAGGGAAAACAGGAAGCACAGATTGAAGGGGTGTGTTTGGACAGTATGATATGAGACAATGGTTTAAGTCAGACGGTTGGGTTGCCGGGTGGCGGAAGGGATAAGGGTGTAGAAGGCGATCGAACTGAAATTTGTTCTGCGCTTCCAACGCCACACACTGGCGCAATGCCCGGCGGTGCCAATCTCGACATCCGCGAAATCCGCCCCGCTTGCAGGCTCACTGCAGTGACAAATTCTTGCCTGCTGTCGCCACCCCACGCGGTATAAGTACCCAAGCAAGTAATCCGTTACGATGCCCTTGGAGAGGCATGCTGCAGCGCATCGTATCTCCTGAGTCGAAACGTTCAACGGCGGTGACCTGCACCCGGTTACCAATCGCGATACATACTTCAGCGGAACACGTCGAGTCCTAGCAGGCTTCTGCCGAAATGACCAAGGCGAAGGACTTTCCATTGGTGCAGTCCGGCGTGACGCCCTGGTGGCCTAGCTAAAGACGCGAGAAGCCCAAGCATGGGTTAGTAGCGAATCGCGGTGGAGTCTCCCTCTGTATAGGAGGTATCAGTGTCTTGACCGTAATGACAGCAAAGGAACCGGCGGGACGGACTGGAGCTCGAAGTTCCGCGCCTGCACCGCTCTATGGATCAAATCTGCCTCCGAGTACGCGTCTGAAGATGCAAGCGCATCGCATTTTCAGGCCGGTACCGTGTCCGTATCGATTCCAGGCCGCAATTCCGGTATGAACGCTCCCAGCAGATACTTGCCGAAGCGTGCAATCGTCTCCGCTGCAAAAAGCAAAGGGCTCGAGCCACTCTTCCAGACTACAGCTTCGTGGGCGAGAATGCAGACATTACCACATTGTACAAGCAGGCTTGCTTGCTGTGTCACAAACCCATGGCTCATACCATCTTCGGCTTTGGAAGCAAGCGCGCGACATGCCGGCTCGCAATCAAGACGGGCGTGCTCGTCGTGAGTAATAGCGAGCTCCTGACGGAGGTCTAAATGTCGCTTGCTGAGATCACAGGGTTGGATGCCCCGTCATGCCCAAACCCGCTTCCGGTGGAAGTGGATATGCTTGCAAGTCTTCCATAACGAAGCAGAGCTTGAGGATGATTTTGAAATGATCTGGAACTGCAGTTAGGCACTGGACGGTGGCACCAAGTTCTTCATGGAGAAGTAATTCGCCGACGGGCAGCACATCGAGGGTCAACTATTCGCAAATGGTCTCGGAGACGTCATACATTTCCGATAGTGCTAATGCAGAATCCAGCATATTTTTCAAAAAGTTGTCGAAAAGCGTCCCAGTCTATTCTTCGAGTACATGCCAGGACTTAGAGACTAGCTCACGTAACCGGCAGTAAAGCTTGGATGAGTGATAAGATACAGAAGCGCAGGAACAATCGAGTTCATTGTGTCCAAGGCAACTGGTGACTTTTATTATTTTGAGTCCACCTGTTGTCTGCAAGTCGAGCACACGGTCACAGAGCAAGCCTGGGCCATCGACCTTGTCGGACTGATTCTGCAACAAGCCGTCACAGGATTGCCATCATAGGGCGAAGGCAGACCACCGCGCAACTATCTGTTATTTCCTCAAACATCATCTTCGCCTTCTCGTATCGCTACACACAGTATTGAGATCCGAATGTATTCGGAAGATACGATCAGGCAGTATATACTTTCTCCTGGGATGCTGCAGAACGTCTGCTAGCCCTCGGAACGACAGAAACGAGGCCCCATCCGTGTCGACAGATGGATACAGACCAGCACACAAGTCATTCTCTCATACGACCCTTTGCTGTCCAAATTCATCGTATTCAGCCAGGAGGGACGAAAAGCCACATAGAATCAGTTGCCCTCGTTCCTATCCGGCGCGCTTGTGCAAGGCACGCTGACCAATTTGCGCTTACGCTGAGGTGGGTGCAAGCGAGCCTTTCGCGTGCCGCTACACCCTCAACCGCTTCCTTGATGGCGGCGATAATGGCGCCTTCACGTTCAACCCGAAGGTTGTCGAGTTTATCACCACGGGGCTGAGGACCTCAGTGCAGGATGCGGGTAGAAGGGATCTTGGACACGGCCTGCCTGAAAGTGGGGCCATGGACATGAGGCGGCCAACGTCCTTGTCGGAAACGCACAAGCCACAGAAACATTGGAGATCGTCTTCTTTGGTGCTAAGATCAAATTCTACTCGCCGATGGCCGCAGCCAGAGCTGGCAAAATTGAACTTTCCGGAGGGTAAACCTCCAGCGTGGTATTTGTACTTCATGGTGAGAGTGAAAGAGGGGCTTTCGAGCGTACCCCACGGTCAAACGTGGATCCTCGGGCATTGCAACGTGGCTTGCCCTCAAGGCAACCAGCTCAGCAATCGCTTTAGGCCGGTACGAAGGGCACAACCTGGCTACAGGAACCACTTTGGAGGTCGCGCCGGTGACTCTGACGCTTGTTCTACCGTATGCTGTGCAACAGCAACTGTGGCCATCGATGCTGGTCGACTCGATGTGCACACTACAAGTCATTTGCAAGTATCATACCCGCTGCTTTGTGGGCGCTTCTGGCCTTGTGATCCCTGTTCGGGTACTACATGCGAGGGACGTATGACACTCCCGATGACGGGACAGGTGACGATGTCAAGAAGCTTTACGGAGAGTGGACCGTCAGCGCGCAGTCTGCACACACGGGCACCCGTCTAGGGCCCGTTGCTGGACTGGGCTCGGCCTAATGGGGTTGAAGCAGGCACATGTCCGAACAGCATTCTGCGAGTTGCTGGAAGCATATCCCGTCGTGAATCAAGCGTTGACCTGTGTGCCATCTAGGGAGATCCCCTACATGGCTCCTGGCATCAATTGGAACGGCAACACACCTGTCATCCTCGGTGTCGTCGCCGAAGACCTCGGCGGACTGCCAATCATACATACCACCATCCAAGACGAGTATGGAGTTGGCGAGCTGCGACCCGGCGATAAGCTGACCTTCCAACCTGTGTTTTTTGATCAACATGGATCACCCAGTACGTGGACACCTTCCTGCAGCAAGTGGGTTTCGCAGCAGAACGCGAACGTCTCAGAAAGGTCGAGTCATTCGACACGACGGTAGATTGTTCCAGCGAGCTCGACGCAACAGCGATTCTGGTGAAGGTCGCAGCCGGTGGAGTCAAGCCCTAGGCGATCATTAGAGTGTCAGGAGATCGTTTCATCACATTCGAGGACAGGGAGATGCAAACTAATTTAGCCTATCGGCTCCGTATCGAGCTTGCTGAACCGTCTGATGGCAGTGAAAAAAGAAAGACGAAGCCAGGGCTCCGGACGAGCCGACAGTGCACGCTCCTCGGCTTCTCTGACGACCTACTGACCAAGCTTGCGAAAAACAGGTACCCAAAATTGGTGAGGAGCAAGGCTGCCAACATCTCTTCCAACAAGAAATATTTGCGGCGCCCAATCGGCTTGAAGGATGGTTGGACGTCGATAAGCGATCCTTTCCAACCAGTTCCTCATCGTAAGACTTGCCTTTTCCTAGTTACGCCAACCTTGCTGCCCAGTATCTCGCTCAACTGGATTTTGTCCCAAAAGGACAATCCTATGAATAAGTCCGCATGGTAGACCGGCTGTGAAGCCGTGAGTTTGATACCTCCTCTTTCCAGCTTATACAGTATCTGCTGCTCTTGAGTTTGATGGCTCATGCACAGCCATCGACGACGTTAAAAGTGCTGGCGGGTACCGCGAGTGTTGTCGTCACACCTTGTTTATCCAGTTTCCTTGCGTGAAGCTAACGCGGTCTTTATCGTGCCGTACGTAGAGCTGCTCGGCCGTGATATCCCATCGTTGGGTGCATAACCCACCAATCCTGGCTTCACGGAACCGTGGCTTTTCAGGATATTTGACACCGCCACATCAAGAAAGTAGCGTAGGAAGAGTCCGGTCGATGCGTTTTGGAATGGTAAAGCCGCACCGGTCAATTCGACTTCGTAGGTACCGAGTTCGATGTCGCGCAAGAAGTCGCTCCTGCGCAGTCATACGCGGAAGAGATGGAAGCCTTCAGGAAGAAGCAGTGCGAATCTATAAAGGTGACAGAAGGAGAGCCGGTTGTTCGCCGAGTTCTCGAAGGAGCAGCAATTAGCGAAAATGTACGGTTCCGCATCGAAAGCCCGCCTTGCGACATTGCAAAGTGATCCAACAAATCTGGGTGTGACGGCAGCGCTGAATTACAATGCCTGGTACGTTTTTGTCAAAGCTGACATAATTGAGCCATGTCAAAATATTGCAGTGCTGCAGGAAATGAAGGAAAGCAAGGTAACAATGCAGCTGAAGGCATTCGCAAGCTTACCGCTGTGATAGTCAAGCCTGGTGACAGTGTTAAGTCGGGCGATGCTCTTATAGTCAGTCAAACAGAATAAAGTGCACCGCAACTAGCCTGTATAATACAACCAACCGAGAAAATAGAAAGAGTGAGCAGGTCAAGCACTTCGACCAGCATTTGGGTCCTTCTCAATCCGAACCCATTCTAAAGCCCCGATACGTTCGGCACCATCTGCCGCATCTTCACCGCCAAGTGCATCGTCAACGTCATTGCTCGTAATTCCGAGACCAGCTTTGGCCATGTGCTCGAATGCATTGCCGGAGCTAAGGTCTAAAGCAGCCGTTCTGGACGCGAAACTGTCCTCTCCAGAGCTACCCTGCGGTCCGATGGAAGCACTGAGAGAAAGTCCCTCCTCGTTGGCCAAATGCAAAAGGCAGATGAAACAGAAGGAAGTGCTGATCTCCTCCATCTTATCCTTAGGGTATGTTTTGCGCAAGCCGCTGACAACATCTAAAAATGTTCTTGGCTCGTCTTGAGGAGTTGGAGGACCAGACTATAAAGGAATACGATCAGCTAGGTCTTATCATCGACGCTGCAGAGCATAAAAATCTCACCTCTCCATCAGTATCGCTTGCCGAACATGAACGAGGTATCGCCAATTCCTTCCAGATGGTCTCTTTGAGCTTGCGGATGTCGACCCGTTTCGCCTTCTTGGCATAGTTGACATATTCGGGTTTCACCTTGCGTAGCGTTTGGCCCATGAGCTCAGATTCGTCCATATCCACCTCCTGCGTCGCGTTGCCGAAGGAGATCGGCCCTCCGTCTTCCATTGGCGGGAGCTCATCGTTGTAATCGTATTGTGATTGCGTCTCATATGGAGCAGCGCTCGTCGACATAGCTAAGCATGAATGATACAGATGTCAATGGTAAGGTCAAAAGGCCGAAAGACTCAAGGTTTATCTCACAATCGTCAAAGTCAGGACCGTCAGCGCCTTCACGCGTGGCGGCTGCTTGGGCCCAGAAGTCCTGATCTACCTCGTCCGCCTGAGGCATGTCTTGCATGAGGAGTCGATCCCCATGACGCCGGATATTGAGCTGAAGAGAAAAGATTATTCAGATTCTATCATCGCAGCGAGCTCATGTTGTGTAGCATACTCACCGCCATCCGGGGCTTTGAGAAGAGGCGGAGTAGCTGCTTTGAGTTGAAATGGCGATCCTCTGGCAGCAAGTAGAGATCTGCCTTGGTGGATTTTGGCCTCTTGGGCAAATTGATACTGGCACCCCGACTGTCGGCTTCAAATAGCTCCTTCGTCGAAATGGCCCCCTCCTCGCTCAAGAAGTCGATAACGAACGGCTCTTTGATCTTCTTAGAGCCTTTGACGCGCTCGGCATCGCCTGTCGAGTGCAAAAGCATCAAAGTATCAGCTCCGAGTTAGATGCATGACTTTGGCTCTCTCGGAGACCAGACTCACCAAGGCCAGCAGGATTCTCCTTGTTGCCCGTCGGCAAAGCTCGCCTCATCTTCCAGTGCTCTGGCCCAGCCCAGTTCTTCGCCAGCCTCTGGTCGAAGTAATCGAAGAGTCCATTTCCATCTTCGCCATCCGCAGCAGCGCGAATATCTCCGAGCGCCATGAAGAGATCTGGTCCATTGCGATTGGGTACCATGCTGTCGCCTAGCCGTCCGTGCCCACCTGTGCCGGCTGCCACAGTTTCCATTCCGTAGTCGTCGCCCATGTCGTCAAAGTTGTCCGCTGCATAGTCTGTGGCGCTGAGGCCATTGGTGCCAGGGCCTGCATCCGCGAAAAAGTCCATTTCGCCATCTGCTTCACCAAAGTCTGGCATATCCTCGAGTTGTGCCAACTGGTCATACCCAACGCCGCTCCCGCCAAAACTGAGTCCACCATCGCCTGCACTGTCAAAAGTATCATCCGCATTTGCTCCGCCAGCAAGGTCATCGAATAACGAGATGTCGTCTTTGGAAAAGCGGAAGGACGCAAATGTCGGACAGATCGTACGCCGCGCGAGCATCTGCGCCAAAGTGTCGGTTTCTACAACATCCTCACTGCCGCATAGCTTGGCACGAAGCCTTCCTATGTCGATCATTTCGATTGGGGCGTTCAAGCCTGCCACGGGTCCTGCCGCTGCAGCTGCGCCGGCAGCATCGTCTGCCCCATCATAGGACTCGTCTGCGATCTCCGCCATTCCTGGATCTTCGTCATCTGCAATACCCACAGCGTCTCCAGCATCAAACACGATTCTGGCGTTGTGGTCCACACCGAGGTGATTCATGAGCAGGCCACCGGCGCCACCCTCGTCGAAATCAGCGCTGGTCTTTTTGAAGAGCGGATCCACGGTGAATTCAAGGTCGAGTTTCTTGATTTGGATCTGACTGAAGTCTTTGGCGAGGGTTGACTCCTTGGCCTTGGACCTTTTGCGCTTCTTACCCCCGACGCCGCCTCCATCATCGTCCTCGTCCCCTGTGCCGTCCTCAATATCCTCATCGTCTCCTTCTTCCCCCTTGCCCCGCTTCCCTTTCTCCTTTCCTGCATTCAAGTCGTCTTGCAGGCCGTTGAGCAGTCTCCCTGTCTCGACGACTACCGAGTCGACTCTGCTCGTCCAGACCTTAATGCACCCGTCCAGTGTACAGCTTGCCTTTTGAAAATTGATGCTGCCGTCGCCCGAGTCATTGCGCAAGAGACTCATGTCGTGGAAATAGTCGATGAGCGCAAAGTTCCATGTGTTTGTGGAGTTGATCTTGTTGTCCGTCGCCATCTTCATCCACTCCTCAAAGGAGGTGCTGTCGACTCGAATGGCAGGAGATAGGGCCGCCGAGGGTGCAGCCGCACCTGGCAAGCCGACAGCCGATACGCGCGGTCGACGCGCCAGTGCTGCCACGCGCTGTGGTGCTCCAGCATTTGCTGTAGTGGAATCTGCTGACCGCACTGCGGCCGCAACGTTTCGACGCCGCTCGCCCTTGCCAGTGTTGTTTGGGTCTGGCAAATCTGCATCGCATGCGAAGGTGAAAAGCCGATCAGAGGTCATGCGCTGATTGCTCCTTCGACCTACTGACCGACCGACTCACCCCGAGGGATTCCCACGCTGGCATTTCCCTGCAAACTCTCCCCTAATGGCGTCCTGCTCATACCACTGGATGCAATTCTACCCCCTTTCGACGCGATCCGCCCGGCGGGAAGGCCCTTCCCAGGCGGGTTCTGGCTCGTTGGCCGAGGCGCCTGTCCGAAATTCATGTCGCTTTATGTTTGAAAGCAGGACACTTGAGCAGCTCCGATGGGTGATCAGCCGGCGAGCCTCTGCACGGCATTACTTGCAGAACCTTCAAGGATTGACCGACGGCAGATGCAATGTCAGGTTCTTAGGAAAGCAGGAGCATTTTGTCGCCAGAGTGTGTTTTGACCCTGAAGCAACGCGTCGCGCCCGCACCGCGTTTCAAGTGGCAAACGTGTGTCACGTGGTGACAAACTCCATCATTCGTTCAAGCTTGTTGTCCATCCACACCTTTCTCGTTTGATCCAGCTTGGCCCTCAATTATACTTGACTGATGAGCAGCCAGGTGGTGACAGAATAAAGACGGACAGCTGGCCTAAAAGTTTAAATGCAGTTACATGCAAGCCGTGTCTCAATTCCCAATGTCGATGATCTGGTCTCATGCAGTCGAGCAGGAGAGAAGACTTACAAAACAAATCAGCAGCGTCCTGCACACGTGCCTTCTTGCAGTTGACCTTCACAGCAGGAGGGTGTTTGCAATGACCGCGGTGAAATACTGGGGTAAGCGCTATTTACATGAACACGGGTCACCGCTCGCTGTCTTCAGCAAGCACCCTTCGTACCACACGCTCGATCATGCGCTCCAGCGCATCCTGTTGCGCTCCATCCTGTACTCGGCCTGCATCCACTTGGTGCGCTTGGGCCGGCTCCGAAGCTTGTGAAGTCTCTGATCCATCAGACATGGAACCCAGCACGGCGCGATGTACATATTTTCCGACCATGTCGAGCTCAATGTTGACCGTATCGCCTGGCTTCTTCAATGGAAGACCAATGATCTCCTGTGTATGCGCAATGAGCATTACGGTGAACTCTACCACTTCTCGCTGCGATGATGCGGTAAAAGACTTCATGTCTTGTGCTGCCTGCTCTTCTGAGACCTTGCGCTTTTGCGCATTAAGTGGCCCGCCACTGGCAGATGAAACGTCGATGAGGGTCAGCGACGCTCCATCCAGGGTGACGTAGCCTTTCGGAATGAGGTATGGCGAAAGTGATGATGGCGAGGGAAGCCTGCCTGGCGCATTGTCGAGTCGCAGAGTGAGGGTTAACGCGTTGCCCGTCGGTACGATGGAGAGAAGGGTAGCCGTGGTGTCCACGTGTCCCTACAGCCCATGTAAAGCATCAATAAGATTGCAGACCTCGATCAAAGAGCATGTGAATTTGGGAACGAACCTGTACGAAGTGCCCTCCAAATCGCGTGTGCGCAGCCATTGCCCGCTCGCAGTTGACCTTGTCGCCAATGTTGAGCTTTCCCAAATTCGTCTTCTGTAATGTCTCGGGCGCTGCACCAACTTTGAAGTATCCTCCATCTTGCTCCTTGTCGAACTCTGTGACAGTTAGACAGGCGCCTGAAAGAGATTTCGCAGCCGTCAGCAGCAGTGTCAGGTCAAGCCTTGACTAGACTCACCGTTCACTGCGATACTGTCCCCAATGTTGCAATCGTTCAAGATTCCACCAGCTACTCCGATCGTGATGCTGAATCCTGACCCTCCAGATTTGGAAGCATCCAGCTCATTGATGGCGATGACAGGGCAAAGCAGCTCGACTGCGAGAGAGAAACGGGGTCAGAACGGAGTCTGGAGACGGGATGCGGGCGAGGTGCTCACCAAGACCCGTGAACATCTTTCTGACCAGCTTGCTGCTGCACCTTTTGCGATCTAGCTCTGTGTCAGTGAAAACAGACCGCAAACATTTGAGTTGCGTTACCTTCACTTGCGACGAAAGGAAGATGCATGAGCTAACAAAAGATGGCGGCTCGATATTACACTCTCATAATATGTGCAACCAACAAGCAACTAGTTGAAGTCGTCGGCAACTCCCACATGTTCCCCTTAGGCAACCAGAAGTCGGAACGGGTGGGAAGTCTAATGATGCCAATTTGGTGGGCTCGAGCGCTGGAGCCACACAACACCTTTTTACTTTAAGCAGGGAGGGGCTGGGCCATACTCATCGCAGACGTCAGTCGGACGGTCCACAGATGTCCACAGACTACCGAGCTTCACCCCATATGTACAATACCCCATTCACCACGGTCCTCCCTGCCTCGCTGCTTCTCAAACGCAAAGGGAGAACCTGGGTGAGGCACACTGTGCAACTCTTTCGCGCTGCCAGCTCCGCGTTACACACCTGACGTATACTACAGCCCTGCTCTTGATTGGCCGGATAATTTGCCTAGAGCACGCAGTCAGACCCCAAGGCCAAAGCAACCGCCACCATGTCGACAATTGCTCATTCGCTGCGGGACTACCGCTCGCCGACTCGATCTCAACTGTTCGCCTATGCATTCAACCTTCCATCAGACCAGGCTCCTATAGATGAACTTCCAGCTATCCTTTCGCTTTCCACTCCATCGACGGCACCCGAGTATCAGGAAGACCAAGTCTACGCCGGACGTTTGACCCTTACGGATGCCTTCCTCTGCTTTGCGAGCTTGGATCGGAGGAGCTGCCGTATATCCTTGCCCCTCTACTGCATCCGCAGAGTTGAGCGCCTCAATGTTCAACGCAGCGGGGTATTTGCGCTTAGCCTGATTGTATGGCACGGCATGAAAATTGTGAGTCATGCTCACATTAGGTCTCGATAATTTGCTGACTTCTTGATGCCTCCATTCAGATCGTACAACTCAATGCTCTCCGACCACAATGCGAGGCTTTCTGTTCCTTCTTGCGAGACCAGCTCCGAGCTCAGCTTTCGAACATGAAGAACCTCAAATCCTTCGTAGGCAAATGCTGCTCCGAGTACATGGTCAAGCAAGCTCTAGCGATTCAGCATCAACAGCAAAGCGAACACAGTACAGCAAGCATTCAACCGCCTCCGGACAACACTGACATGGAAAGTTCTCTTCCAACGCCGGGGCTCAGTGATGCGGGAACTGCGACGCCGACATGGGAGAAAGGCGGGGAGAAAAGCGTATCAGCGATTGAAGACATGGCTGGTGCCAAAGAAGGCGAAGACTACCTTGCAGGTTTGGGTGCTACATTCAAGTATCCTGGAGACCCTCGCAAGTGAGTTGTGCGGCAGCCTGAAAGCCTCATGGCCATCACTAATCTGCTATGATGATGCGACGACAGACTAAGAGAAAAATCAAAGATGAAGCTTTGGCGAGATTATCTATCCACCCACGGCCGCAATCTCACGCTCACTCGGTATCCGCAATTCCTGCGACTCGTTCAGGTCGGTCTTCCTAATCGCTTGCGTGGCGAACTCTGGGAGCTCACAACAGGCAGCATCTACCACCGCTTTGCGAATGTTGGAGAATACGAACGCATCCTCAAACAATACGAGGGTCAGAAGAGCACCAGCACGGAGGAGATTGAAAAAGATTTGAATCGAAGCCTTCCCGAGTACCCCGGTTATCAATCGAAGGAGGGAATCGAGACGCTACGGCGAGTCTTGACTGCTTACAGCTGGAAAAATCCGGAGCTAGGCTACTGCCAAGCCATGAACATCGTAGTGGCTGCCTTCTTGATGTGAGTAATCAAACCGCAAGCACCGTGCGTTCTCGGTACTGAATTTCACATTGAACCCGCAGCTATATGTCAGAGGAGCAATGCTTCTGGCTACTAGATGTTCTGTGCGATAGATTGCTACCGGGATACTACACGTGAGTCTCTCGGCGCTTCGTTTGATTCGGTCCCGATACTCAACGTACATCGCATCAAACAGACAATCGATGTCTGGTACACTCTTGGATCAAAAGGTGTTCGAGCACCTGGTGCAGCGCTCTCTGCCCATGATCCACGAGCATCTCATGGCAACGGACATTCAGCTCTCCGTCGCTTCGCTCCCGTGGTTCCTTTCGCTCTATATCAACCCAATGCCTCTAGTTTTTGCATTCAGGATCTGTGATTGCTTCATGGCCATGGGCCCTCGCGTGCTCTTCCAGATCGGGCTCGCCATTCTCAAGATCAATGGCGAAGAGCTTTTGAAAGTGACCGATGATGGAGCATTCATCGGCTTGATGAAGGATTATTTTAAGGGCCTCGGCGACAGTGCGCATCCGAATAGCACGAATCCAAAGCATCGTCAAATCACCAAGTTCCAAGAACTGCTCGTCGTCGCCTTCCGAGAGTTTGGTGTCGTCTCTGACGAAACGATCGCAAGCGAGCGAAGACGTTTCCGCAAAGAGATTGTCCAGGAGATTGAGCTTTTTGCGAAACGATCCGCCGTTAGAAATCTCTCAGATTTGGGCAGGTTCACCAAAGAACAAGCGTGAGTTTTTGTGGCGTTTCCTCCTATGCATATATACTGAAGTATCCCATTTTGCTCTGCAGAGGTCTAATCTATGACCAGCTTGTCGAGGCAATTTATCGGGCTAAGCACGCTCCTATCGCAGGCGCCGATGAGAAGGGGCGCAACCAAGCGGCGCTCAGTGGCCCACCTCCGGAGCCCAGAGTGGGAGGCGATGCCACGCAAGACTTCAAAGAGATGCGTATCGACCTGAAGACATTCCGCCTGTTCCTCGGCGAGACCGCCACGTGGGCGCGAGACGAGTATATCGTGTCTAATGGCTTGCAACAGCGCATCGAGCGTAAAGTGCCCGAGCATGAGACCATGGAGAGGCTGTTCAAGTGGTGGGACACAGAGAAAAAGGGCTGGCTGAGCTTGCAAGTAGGTATTTTCGGAGTGTGCCGCAAGAGAGCAGGTCGCTGATTGCAACTGTGTCTACAGAATATTGTGACAGGCTTGAATGCAATCATGAGCGTTGAGGGCCCGCTCGAGGCGATTTTGTGGCTCTTCCAGATGCACGCCTCGACGTATCCAGGCGGCGATGGGAGAGAAGCGGCCTTGACTCAGACAGAGCTCCTAAAGCTGAGCGAAACCTTGTGAGTGGAGCATATTACGGCGGTGATATTCAGGCCAAGTGATTTACAAGTCATGGGTTCCGATGGCTCCTTTGGCCTCCGCAGGTTATTCTTCTTCCGCAATGAGCCCGGGGATGCGTACCTGGGAGCGGTGAGTAAACTCATCTCCGAGTCTTACCGGGAAGGCTCGGTTCAGAATGCGGAGGAGGCAATTCGAGATACGAATGCATGATCAGCATGTAGTAGCTGCACGCCGTTGCTTGCAATGGCGAGCACCCCCGAGTGATCGGGTCCGCTTGTAAAGGACAGAGAGACTATGGACAGTTGCAACGAAACTCTTGCAGGCCAATCCATTTTTGCATGATTTCTTGGGGTCACCTCAAGGCGGAACACATGCTGGTATACCCTTCATAGCCAAAAAGCAAACAAGCGATGGCGCCAGCCACCCCCTTCGCTCGCCTGCATTCATCTTCTCTCTCTACCTCCTTGTATCATCCGTGCATGTAGCTAGTCTCCTCAGGCT